AAGCACTGAGAACATCTGGAGAGTAAGAGTGCTATCCTTATTGGCTTTGATCCTCCCGAAACGTACGATTGCTTCCGGAAAGAGTACCAAAGACGCGATAGATCATATTTGGAGTGAAATGGACCTTCGTTCGAGACCTCAGACGTATTAAGGTCGGTTTAGATAAATGCACCGAAAGGTGCGAGTGACTCGCGCCCTTTTGTCGAGCGGCATCTGCCCATTGACAATGGTAATGGGCGTGAAATTTCCGAAATCCCAAAGTCGACGACGGTGCTGGAAAGGACCGCGTCGAAGGGAGCGATGACAAATTCTGGTTTATTGCGAGACAACCAGGTGGTCCAGACCTAGCAGCGATCGCATCTTTAGCTATCTTCCAAGCTTCGCTGTTAGGGTAATCGCTGGAGAGATGTTTGCAATTTCTAAAAACACAGACTTCTTACCTCGTCGCGTCAAAGAGAAATAAACAACGGATACCAAACTCCGAATCAACGTAATCTTTCCGTGACGCTCGGGATCCCCGAGTGTCCAAATATTTATGAACGGCGGTGCAAGAGTTCCGGGAAGCTAATTCGCTTTGTGCGTCGATCGTGTGTAATCCTGCTATTAACAAGGACACGTGAAGGCGGGAGATCCTTCTCGAAATAAATGTCAGCTGCGGGGTCCACGCAATAGAAACGATTTCAGCGGCACGGAGGAGGGCGTTGTCGCGTGAAATCGCGTCTACCCAAAATATTTGTATTTTTCGTCCATTGTCGCAACCCGTGGGTTCCTGGGATGCCCGACGGAGAATCGGAATGGCCTGCGGTCACGAAATTTTCATGAATGAGTCCAGCAACCCCTAACCGAGCTTGCCGGGCCCACCCAAATCGCTTAAATATCTTTGAATTTTTCGGACGCGTTTTCTTACGTGAAAAATGGATGGAAAATTAGCACGGCGTTCACGGGTGTCGAGTGGCTCGAGGGAAATAGTTTGCGAGAAAAAAAGAGGCTGATGGCGAGAAAAGTCCCGAGGAGGACATAGAGGCGGAAGGACGAGGCGCGTTACTGCGCAAGAAACTCAGGACCGGTGAGCGCATGATCCTCCTGAGGCTCGTAAGGTGAGGAGAGCAGCTAATAAGGCGTATCAGTTACCAAGGAGACGAGCTTCTCCTTAACGGCGAAGAAGAATGGCGGACCGGAGCAAGAAGAGGAACCCCGAGGGCCCCGGCGAGCCGCGCCGGTTGGAAAACTCATAAGTTTCAATTTACACGGGGATCAGCGTCCTCCGACGAGCTTTACGGGGCGAACGCTGCGCCTTATATTGATTTTCGCGCATTTCAACCATCCCCCTGGACACGTTTCTACTTCTTCGAGGATGGAACGTCCCTCAGGTGGAAAGCGTCCTGTGAAAAATCACGGGAAACCGATCATCCCTCTTTGCGTCCCGTTAAACGTTTCCGGATTTAAATTCTCGAACGTGTACACTGGTCAATTTCGTTTAAATTTGTTCCCTACGTTTCTGTTCTTTTCCCTTAAGCTTCACGGTCGAAATGGAGTTGTTTCCAAGATGGGGGGGATCTACGAAATTAGACTCTATGCACCGGAACTGTTTGTTTTCCTGCGCGAAGCGATCTCCACGGATCCGTCGACGCGAACTACTTCGTCATGCGTTCAATTTTAACCGACTGTCTCATTCATCGTCTTTCGCAATTCAGCCAGCACCCACGCCTACGATCCTTGCAGGCGATTTTTAACATCCCGCCGCCTTGATCTTCGGCAAGGTGACGCGTCGTTCTCGATCGCTTTTCGGAAAACGCGCGCTCGCGACGCGCCTTACTCCAATTTTCGCGCGAGGTGTCCAGATGGACGGGAACAAGGTCGCGAAAGTTGGTCGATTTATTCGTGGGACATCCCGCGAATTTATTATAGAACCGCGTCCATCGAATGAGATGAATTTACGAGTCTCGATTTAGCGGTTAAATGAATTTAGGGACCGATGAGGTTTCGGGCGGAGTACGAACATGGATCGCGTCAGCGCGTTTCGAGGAACGCGTAAAACTCTGTATAATTGCGCAATACGATAAACGTCAGAGTGTTTTCATCGAAATATTCCACCCTGTATGTTACGGCAAGAGTGTGGGTGACGCGAAACGTAGGCGTCTAAATTTGAAACGGGACTGAAACGAAGAGCTGGGAATTGGGTCAAGCGCTGGGAATTAGGATGTTGGACCGTTTATGGGATCGCGGTGCTCGCCTAGACGGACTGACCCCTTTCGAAGGACCGCCTCCAAGAGGTTTACGATTGAATTTAAGGTGAAAATTTCCTATTAGACTCGTAAAAACTATACGAGAGCAACGAGACGAGACAGCAGCTTTGGTTTGCTTTCGTTTGCTGTCTGGTCTCGTTGGGCAAAGTATAGAGACTGCCACGTGTCCGAAGGAAATATTCTGGCCAACTATTAGCGCACCGACAGGAAATTTTCGGTCTCTTGTGCAACACGAAATGTTTATTGTAGCTTGTTTCTCGATATGACTGGCAGAAGAACTTGGTCGAACCAAACTGAATGTCACTGTATTCTCAGAAACACAGTTTGGCCAGATATTTTGAGTATCGCGTACGCTGATATGCTCGTGGCAAACGCTAATGGAGATATTAATAAACAACTGCGCAGATTTGGTAGCAAAGATCGTCGTTTATGGAATAGAAATCAGAGTCATGGGGGTCCATCGACGTCGTGCACGGTTGGCCGTGGCCGAATTGAAAATAAATACACCTCGTTCGTATCTGTATCGCCGGGTCGACCGATACGCGACAACCGAAATAGAGTTGCATTTAGGACACCCGGTACATGCGTGCTAGGAGGTCGCACCGTATGATCGAACAGTGCCAAATCTAGAAGATCACCTTTCTTCCGTCCTCCTTACGAGTTTCGACAAGCTATTGCAGATTTTCACGCGTTTCGATAGTTCCCTGCAATCTTCCTACTGTTCCCAGCGATTTACGTCCTGTTTCTAGTTTCTTCTATTTTAGCTGACACGGTATTTTGGTATCTCGATGGCGACGTCGTATCAATCATGGCGTCGCGTATTCGTGTCCAGTGACGTACGATTTAAAGATCACCCGACGTCACCGCGGCGTATTGAAACAGATGTATTTGCACCGGACGGCGTAAATCCATTAGTCAGCTTCAAATCCCGAACGTTTCGATAAATCAGCAATGCCACGCCATCATTAACGTAGGACGAGTTTAAACTTTTATCCAAAATCGTTAGAGCTACGTTTGCGTAATCGTTTTGAGTTTTTAACCGCGTCGACTATGTATCTTCTTTGGTGGGAGAAAGGGAGGAAATTGTACCGTAAAAGATTAATCGTTCTCTGAACAAATATTCAACGCGCGATCGATTTTATAGTAAAAAGCAAATAAAGGGTTCATTATTATTATTATACAGCGGTAGAACCTTGTTTGCAGTGAGCTTCGCCAATTAATAATTGTCGATACAAGACAGACACTCTGTGGACGTAAAAATTTCGTTCGAAAGTAAACATTATATTTCGTGCAGGGCTTGCACGAGCAATGACATTTTCGCGACAAATATACATGCTCACAGCCTTGGAGAAGGCCTCTCCTCAAGGACCGGAACATCGGATACTGCCAATGTCAATTTGGCTTGATGGTCGTCACCATTTAGGTATGGCTCGCGGTTAAGACACGAGCCTCGCGACGATGGAGGGAAAAGTATTCGACTTCCGTCAGTTTTCGAAACGTCTATTATTATTATTTTTTTTAACAAGCGAGGAGGAAAATAATGTCGCGGAATCCGTTGGACAGCGACTCGAGAGACGCTTAAAAATAGAACAAATGATCTTGCGTGTCCAGGGAGAAATTGAAAAACGTCCTACGTCGAGTTTTGTTTAAAGAACGCTGATTAATCGAGGGAGAGCAGCTTGCCAATATTAGCAAGACTTCCTGTACTGCGTCGCGCACTATATTTTCCAATTCAATTCCGGTTGCGATTCTCGGAATGACGCCACGTTAATGATTCATCCGGTGTATAAAGACAACGAGACTTCTAAATTCAGCGAATAGTCTTTCTCCCGATAAGGCCGTGCTATAATTATGGTTTCAAGAGCGTGGAGTAAGATCGTAGTAATGATGAGTACCGTTTAATTAGAAACTGATTCACGATCAAATGTTTCGATTGTTTACTAGCTTGTTTACGATCGAATCAATGTCTCATGATCGCTAGATACAATGTCGATTTATTTACGGCTAATTATATCGCGAGTCTAGGAATATATAGAATAATAATTAGAAGTATTTGCATTATCGCTTGTGATTCTCAGTTAATTTCTACATGGACAAAGTAGGCGCGTAAATTGGCGCTTAAGTGGAATACTGGTTCGATGATCAGACGTTCGTTACTACACTCGATCGTCTATGATTTAAAAACGTATGTTTAGGAAGCACCCTAAATTTTAAGGGATCAAAGCGTCCAATTCCATACTCGATCTACTTGTGGCTAGATTGAGGACGTTCGTGGGACTCGTGCAAGCGTAATTTCGTGCTTTGGTACCGGAGAACGGAGAACGAGGGGTTAATTAACGAGGATTCCTCCGCGTCCCTCGACGTCCTTGACTCCGATGTTCAAGATCGTGATTCGGGGGCGAAATTCCGCGGAATTACGAATCGATGAAAAAAGTGTCGGAAGGAAGAAGGGACGCGTGGGCGTGCAAAGTAGCGACCGTGATGATATCGCCGAGTTGGAAAGAAGCAGAACGTAGTCAGGGAAAGAGGAAGGTTCCGACCAATCGCGTTCCGTTGGCGGGGGTTGTGCCATAAATGTCGCGTGGCTGATCGCGGAAACTCGCCGCTGGTCGGCGCCACCGTACCGACGTCCGGTATACTAGTCCACACTTTTGGCGGCAGCCGCCCAGTCTAAGGTCCAATCTCCGAACCGAACGGTCGTCCGAAATACTTAGGTAAAAAGAGCTAAACTTCCATCGACCACCGGTCTAAAGCTCGAGTTTCTCGCATACATTTTTCTTTTCTTCCTATTTTTTTCTCTATTTGTTACTTTGCTCGTCGAAACGTAAGTCTCTTTGAAACCGATCGGCGACCCCCTGTGCCACCCACGAAGAGAGAGACATAGAGAGATCGAGAAACCGTAGATACCCGGAGAGGGATAACGGTATTGGGACGTGAGTGCGACACTCAAGGTCGAAGACTCCAAGGGACGGTCCTTTTTTACGCGAGAGGGAAGATCGAGGGGATCCATCGTCACGTTCGCATTATACCGCTCTCAGTTTGTGCGACAAGTGAACCGAACGAAAGAGGAGAACGCCTGACTGGACGTGGTTCTATATATCGTTCTGCTTGTCCTTTGCGTGTACTCGCTAGGAATTACCTCCTCCATTAACCCAGAGAGACTGAGCTGTTTTCGTTCACCGAGACACCCAGCCCCGGATGCCTATCGTCTCGCTCGCCCACACCATTTGCGAGTATTTTTAGACACTAATTGATGCTACTAACCGCTCGACGATTAACTAATTGCAGTGTGAGCCTGCCCGGCGCTCGTTGTTGTTCCGCGAGACGAAAACGATCGTAATTTCAATGTTGCGCTGTTGGGAAAACTCGAAACGCAATCGAAACACGATCGTCGTTGTCTCCGTGTTTGCTGTTTTTTTTTACCCACTTCTAACAACTACCCTTCCCCGATCCTGCTTCCCGCCGTTGTGTGACGCAACTTTTAAGATCGGTCGAAAAGCAAAGGCTGAAATACACGAAATAACGGAACAGTGAGACTCGTAGATCCGACGAGTGTGAAGTGACCGGTTGACGGGCGGTGATCGAGATCGATTTATCATCGTTCTAATTTCGTGGAGGCGCGCTCGCAATAGTTGGCGCGTCCCGCGTCTCGGTTTCGCTCCGCTCGCATACCAATTCAAGGCAGACGAGGGATGACCGGCGCGTGTCACCGAGCTGCTCGAAAACCTGGACACGGTCGAGTCCGTTGCCAATCAAAACCGGCCCTATTGTTTATAATAATTGGCAGCGATTTGTTTGGCTGTTACGTAACGCGCCGCGGAGTACTTATATCGCCGGTTAAAAATAGTCCTGGGAGCACGAGTGCCGCCAAGTCCGTTGCGTCTCTTATAGCCGCTCCCTTTCCACGGCTGAATCGCCAAACACCTTTTCGCCGATCGTTAGCGCCATCTCGCGTGAACTACTTTTCACCCGTTAATTAAATCGGTTTTACGTAAGGAACATTCGATCTTCGCGATACAATTCGATGGAAAAATGCCAAAATTACGTCTATCAAAATCAAATACGCGTATCCGTGGCTACTTTAGATCCACACCGATATCGTGCGCGAAAGATCTTGCGTACGGGCGATCTATAGAGATTTAAGTAGTAAGGCAAACGATGACGCCGACGGTCCTTCTTTTCATTTCAGGCAGCCAACGCGCGTATAAAATTACAAGTACCTAGAGAGACACGCTCCAGATTGCTCATTCTCTTAATATCGTAGAGTACGTCACAAGTGCCAAGAGGCGCCTCGCGCCGCTTGACAAGCTAAACTGCGCGTCTGACCGAATTAAGGCGTCACTACTTTCGGCTACATCCAGCTAAATATAACGCCGCGAAAAGGCTACTTTCTTGGGCCAAGCGGAACTTTGATTCCGAACCAAAACAATTATAACCGACGTCCACTTCGCGCCTTTCGACGGATCTACGCAACATTTGTATCCGTTTAACGATCGTTGTGTATTTAAATCTCGAGAATTAGAACAGCGGCAATTCCATCGAATGTTATACACACGGAACGAATATAAAATAGACTCTGCACTTGAACGGATCGACGATGGTCTATTTGACCTTGTTATGGAACTACCATCCATTTCCTCCCACGCGTGGCTTTATCAATGCTAATCTCAAGTGAAACACCTATGCACCTTTGATAATAACGTGCAAGGTTTGTTTCGTTTCCGGTCAAGGGCGTACAGTCGTCGAAAGAACAGCGTGGAATTAAATCGTTTCGAGTATCGAGAACGTGCGTAAAGTTGCCAGGGAAAGTTCGATAACTTTGTCAGCGGATTGCTATCGATTTCCCAAGAGCCGTACGAGAGCAAAGTTTCGATGGAACCAGGCAGCCGGTATATTCCGGTAACACCGTTTCCTCGCGTTTCGCCACAACGCGTCGTGTTCGTTGTCTTCTCGGTCGATGGTTAAAGTTTCCCGGGGCGCTGTGTAGGCCAATACGCGAAAGTTTCCTCGTTTCTGAGGTGGTGTCGGGTCTCGTGCAACCCTTTAACGAGTCACGCGAGACGCGCGCGGCTGCTATAAAACTTCAACAACCATACCACTCGGGGAATTCGTCCGTTCGCTGTCAAGTATTCGACACGAGCCGGTATTCCCCAACACGACACGCTGCTGTTCTCATATACGAAGCAAATCTTAATGAAAACGTATTCGTAACCTTGGTCCACGTAGTTGACGACCATGTATTTTTTTTAGTATGTCGCGGGAACGAATAACGTCGGAATTAGCGTTGGCATTGAAAAACGAAACGCGACAGGTGGACGAGCAAGAGCACCTATCGCTATCACCTGTCATCGAGGCGAGCCCACGTGTTCGTCGGGTTAGGTCTGGCGAACGTCTCGGATATTCGATTCTTTCGCACCGACTGGCAACTTAGTCGAGCACCGCGTATGACGCATACAAGTGGAACGCGCAGAAAACTATGCGCCTATGAGAAGCTATGCCGGTCGGGGCGTATTTCAGTTTTTGGACCTACGCCCCAGATGATTTGCTTGACCGCGCCGCGCTTATTTTTAGAGACCATCTAGATTACACACGCGCGCCTCCGTTTGGGGGATTCACAGGGTGACCCATTTAAATATCCCCCGAAACTATCAATGATATTTTTAAAACAGAGAATCCCATTAATCGGAAAGCGCGGTCGTTTAATGGGTCATTGTCGCGAAGACGGCAAGCATTAAGGAGCCCATTCCGATGGGAGTTGGTGAAAATCGGTCAAAGTCAGACGGAGAGCTATGCTGGTTGGATGTCCACCTGTTTCCGACTAAAAACGGACCGGGGCCCGGGCAGCCTAAATTTAGCGACCGCGAATCCGGGACTCTTACGTCACGCGGCATCGTTCGCGACCACCGAGCTTTCTTATTTTCCCTTTTTCTCGTCGCTATCTCGCGTTTGAACGGTCTCGTTTCGATTATGTCGGCCAGTTACTCTACGATCGACCCATTCAGATTTGTTTCGAACGAATTTTGAAGCTATTTTACTCAAATCCAACGAACGACCAAAGTCTGTATCCCTGGTAACTCCTAGATCTACGGCCCGATACCCGGAAACGGACGCGTTCGCCGGGAATAAATATTTTAAAAGAGTCGATTAATTTCTATCACGCGTTTCAAATTTACGCGGATGACCTTCGATCGGTCTTGCCGAGAATGAAATAGGAATACGCGCAGAAAGCGTTCGGGTGATCCAGGCCGAGTATGAAGTGCGCGCGTTTGCTAAAATTAGCGGCGCCGTTGCGTCAACAAAAAGAAAAGCCGATGCTCCTGTTTGTGTCGCAGTCCTCGATTGGCTGATCCGGGGAATGCCGCGGCCAATCGTAATACCCGTAATACTATTCGGTATTCGAAAACGGAACGATAGTAATTTCACAACGCGGGAACCAAATTCAGGCTTGCGCGTCTCATTCAATCGACAGCCTCATTGATATTCGACCGAACTTACTATCGTTTATTATTAAAGAACCATTTCTCTCGGACGGGGTAAACGTACAGAATTCCAAAAATCATTTTCGGCGCGAACGATGAAGAAATCGACCGTGAAAAATGCACGCGCTATATTTAGAAAAGAACGCGACGCCAGCAAACGCCTTTGCGGATAATCGTCGATAATTCTTATATTTTTAGCCGGTTGACACTCTCCTAGCGTTACATGCTCTAAAACTGTCCAATTCGCGGTGCCATCGCACTCTGTATACCATTTTTTGAACCGATACTTGGAACTTTCCATCACAGTTGGCAATCTTCCAGTTTCCCCTAACGATCTTATACTTTCTAACAGCTTTGATAAATTAATATCGATATCAACGGAGGAGAGAGAGAGCGGTACCATGAACGATCTTCCTTCTCGGGAGCAAGAGTACGAAATCGCGTCGCGTTCGGTGAAATTGAAACAACTTCTGGTCGCGAAAATGATACGAGACTCGCTCGAGGGTGCTTACAGTAGTCCGGTTTTGTTTGTTCCAGCGAACGAGTGTGGTTAACAGTTCAGTAGAGCGGTAAAATGGACGCGCGCTTTAGAAGCAACCTCGACATGATCGGGCGCAACGAGCCCATCACAAGGAAAGCCAAATTCTGGCAGAGTTATGTCCGAGCCTTAAAAGGTATTCTATTCTCCAATTGGAAGTTAATGCGATCAGGACCGTGGCACACAGTGTCGCTGAAAATAAACAAGTTCGTTATATGTATGTTTAGCAGAGATCTCTTTTCCTGTACAACTTTGCACCAATATTTGTGATTCGTTTATTTATTATCGAGAATGGAATGGACGTGTTCTTGTTCAAAGTGGCTGATCACGGCCCTGAACGCAATAACGAAATGGGTATACTATACCAGAGCGCAGATCTATTGGCATCGGCGAGTAAACTTGACCCCGAGTCCACTAGAGCTTAACCTTGAGGACCAGAGTATTTCTGCTCCCCGCTGTAGTTATCTTTGGTTCGGAATTACTTACCGGTATCGTTATATCGTAGAAATAGGTTCCATAATTAGTAAACAATTTGTTTACGGTATAACAGGTACCGACGACATGAGGGCTCCCGAACACACGCACAGGCCCCGCAGCATTTTCCGCTCGGATTACCCTGAACTGTCCCCCTCGTGGCCCTTTGGAAAATCTATCTTTGAAAATCCCCTTCACGCAGCCGATCGCATCAACGTTCCTGGATACAGGTATGTAAACGCGATCGCCAACTTCCTCGTCCAGTATCATGCGTTTTTCCAACCCTAAAAAAAAAAATCCGGTTAGAAAAGAATAAATTAAAATATGCATAACCCTTGATCGTGTTCTGAAACGTTTCCAGGTGTGTAATTTATGGTGCACTAAAATTCGGTATCGATCCTCGAGTAATTCTCATAATCGAAAGAAAAGGTTTCAGGTTTTTCCACGTCTTGATTGGTCGTTAACTGTTACCATTTTTTTTGTAAGGTACCTGCCCGTCCACCGTGAGATCTACGGTTACTCACCGAGGCAGATCTACCCCCATCAATACAAACCTGTAGAACGCTTCACTCCCGGTACGTACTAAAGAACTCTGAGCAAAAGTCCCAAAAGAGAGTGAACGACGTCTGAGATAAGAATAAAATGAAATAAAATATAAAAAAAAAAAGAGAGCAAAGAAATCGAAGGCGCGAAACGAAACGAAAAGTTTGATGCTCGACGTAATGTAACGCATACATCTAGAAAGACGAACGACAGATTCTTACCGGTAACGGCTGAGTGAGAACGAAACCAAAGAGAAATGAACGAAACGCATGAGAAACGGAAACGAAATCACCAATCGTCACTGTGTAACTGTTAATCGAAACGATTATACTATATAACCGCTCGTTCTCGGGGTTTTTTCCTAGGTTAATTATGTTCTTTGTTGAATGTGACCAGGTGCTTTTGGCTTCTGGTTGAAAGAGAACAAGAAAATTTTAAAAAGAGTATAAAAAGATAAAAAGAAAACTATATAAGGAAAGGCAAAAGACAGCTATGTCGGAGGTGTCGATGTCCCTGCTTTCGCAACTGACCCTCCGAGGCCTTTCTCAGAAGCCAGAAACGCCACTCGGAGGAGATCGTCTCGTACCCTAAAACCCTCCACCTTTGCCTGCACTCGATCGTAACTAAAAAACAAAGGAAAAATAATAATAATAAAAAGTTAAACAGAAACCGGGATTCTATTGTTATGTGTCATCCCCTCCGACGTGTGTGAAACGCGTATGCACTTAATCAGACCATGTTTAGCAAAACTCGAAATCATATTATAAATAATCTACCTTCATACCATACCATATGTGTACCACTAATTATTACTCTACACATCTTTGTATCTAAGTTATTATACGTATATGTCGCTATATAAGAACATGCATCTACATAAAAAATATATAATATGTTTAAATATGTCTAAGATTTGTCTGCTTCGCGACTCACTTCTGCGAACGGACGAACCCGTTTATCTGTCTATTGCGTCCTCCATTCAAAGAACATAAATCGCTCTTCCACCTTCCAAAGACCGAATTCGACGACACTGATAAATCCACCGATTATCGTAATTCCTATTTTTAAATAAATAATTAAACTTGCAACGAGTAACCGACGCAAAACTAGTATTTCCAATTCTTTTTTTTTCGCTCTGCATAAAAAAAGCTACTCGGTTTCGTTAAAAACGTCAACTATAATTTATTATAATAATATCGACAAACGTAAACTGGAAAGGAAGGCCTGCTGTCTCCGAATTCCGAGGACTTTGAACGACTCGAAAGTGAAAAGGAACGAAACTAGCAATGGTTAGAGGCACTAGAACGACTAGCAACGAATCAGACGACGGACGAAACGGTTCCGAGCATCGTGGATCATCGATCATCGTTCACCAACCACACAGATATCACTATCGCGCGTGTTCTTTACGTACGTGTCGTCCTGTGCGTGGTTTTACGTCGGGAAATGCACCGTCATCGACAGAAATCTCTAAGCTGACCCTGTTCTTTTGGGGAGGAGAGGGCAGAACTGATTCTAAATGTTCTTTCCAGGCACTAGACCCGACAAGTGGCATTTACTCAATCGCGTCGTCGATTTGAGCGACCTTAGGAGACAACAAATTATACGACACTGGCAGACAAACGAGCGAAACGTGCTTACCACGCACGTACGACTTCGTCATTGCTTACGAAGAAAGGATTACTAATTACAGCCCCCATCTAACGCTCATCCAATTAACTATTCCGTGATTATACTCTTAATGAGTCTTCATCATAGATTTTCATGTTATTAAATTATTACATTGTAAACTAATTCCTGACAATTGCTACGTCTCACGTTAATAACAATATCACAATGATTCGGGTTTGATAAGTATACAGTAATTGATATCGTTCGCAACATACACACGTCTTAACAAACTAACAATTATCCTTGGCACGTGACTAATTTCCCTCGTTAAAAAAAGTCAAGCAAACACGCACGCAACATCGTTTTTTGACGATCGTCGAGAAAATACCGATTTTCCAAGGTTCGAAGAACCAGAACGAAGGAATAGCGATCGAAGCCATCTAGAAACAGTGGCCAATCACAACGGATAAACAACGATGTGGTTTCACAAGCACAAGAAAGCTGCTGTATACTGTACACATAGAATTTTTTAATAAAGTTTACATGGCACCGAGAAACAAGACCGTGTTGGTGAAGACTTTGAGTTTTTTGAGGATCTTACCAATTTTTGTTCCATGTGATCGTGAAACTTTTTGTGCAATCGTTTCCCCAAAGACTTTTTGTGATTTTTTCCCCGCGATCGCGATATATTTTTCGTAACGTTTCGCCAGCGAGCCTAATTTTGTTTTTTTTTGGAGGGTGAGCGTGTGTTCGCCTACGATTTTTCCCCGATACTGCGAAAATTGTTTGGAAAATTAACTCTTGCAGCCGAGGTGGAGGTCGCAGTTTGATCCCAAGTAAATAAGCACTTCGATACGCATCGAAAGACGATCGCCAGAATGGGACGAATGGTTTTCGAAAGATCTCGTGAATAGAAAAGGACCGCCTGACACGAAACGTGAACGCACGGCGAAAGATTTATTCAAAGTCGAAGAGAACGAAGGCTGTAGTAAGAGAGACAAGTAATGGGAGACGGTAATTCGTGAAGCCCAAAGAAAGAAATAAATCAAAGCTCATCGATGGCCGCCAAACTTGAAAAAGCTGGAAATTTTCTCTCGACGCTTACGCGTTCTAATTTTTATTGCTACCGATTTTTCCTGTTCGCCGTCGTTGCTCGTCTCCCTTTGTTCCACGATTTCTCGTTAGACAGAAAGTTACGATATTTATAAGTAAAAGAGACGCGAGGACGATACAGAAGAATCGATAGCCCCTAACATTAATACACGCTCTCTAATTTTTATAATACTGTGCACGAGTATCGAGCATTCTTTCCACTAACAAACGACAGACAGTGCAATTAATTACAACCGGTTCCAGAAATTTCTATCTTTTTCAGGAGATGGCATGTACTCTTTTTTAAACCCAAACCACCCCCCCTTCACCCTCAACCCTACTAGCTTAAGTAATCCGATTATACAGGTTGCCCTAAAACGCGTCGTACCGATTTCTATGCTTTTTTTTTACATTAATTCATTAATCGTTTCTGTTATGGGGCATCCTGTATAACGAAACCTGTCGATACTAATTGATAGGGCGATAAACAAAGCACAATGGCGTAGGGAAACACGTTACGAACGGAACTTGCAAGATGGATCGACACTCGGACGACAACGACGACTATCTATAGTTTCCTTAATTCGTAGCCACGAGCTTTTTTGATCATTAACAGAAATAATGTTTGGGCGGTTGCGGCTAAAAAGTCGAGTAAATTGAGCAGTTTTTCGGAAATTTTGAACCAAGTCGCAGCTTTTTTTCTTCGCCTCTCCGTCGGGGGAGGACCATTTTTTGAAGCAGTATTTTTCGGTCCACTCAGGTCAGTATGCTTTTTCTCCACAATTACACGTGACGTCGTGTTACTTTTCTTTATTTTTTTTCTCTTTCTCTGTTATTTTGGTGAGAGCGTCGACATTTTTCTTTTGCCCCCGAAGGAAAGAATTCCGCGAAGCTAAGCTTTCAAAGGCCAAGTCTGTTTTATTTTTCTTCATGAAGTAGGAAGAACACGCACGGCTGACAACTACACGAAACAGGGACAGAACCCTTTTGCACCCTAACACTTTGCGATCCGATTAACCCGTTACACCCGTATCTGTGTCTGATTATGCGTTTATTTTCATTTTCTTCTCGTCAAAGCTTTCCATAAATGTTGCATGAAACTATAGGCTGATCTAAGAATTTGAATCCTCGAGAAATTAAACGCACTCGCTAACGCGAATAACTTTCGTTTTTCGTAAACTAGGCGCTTCGAGCTAAAACACTAAACCAGAGAAAATAGAGCACGGAATATCTAATTCGGCACATTCAGGCCAACGCGGCGAAGAAACGAAACCGATGGTACGCACGGTTTTCCATACCGGGTGTCGTGATCGTTCGTAGATTTGTAGATCATGGTATACAGAATGATTAATCGAGAAAAAAAAAAATCATAAAACAAATGGACGAGAGAAATCCATAGTTTAGTGACATGTTGTTATGTGGACTTGTTAGTTTTTTGTAGCGCATCGGATCGAACCCTAGCGATCGATATGGATCCTCTGCGACGCCAAAGGAAGGACGCAATCGTCGATCGATTATATTCGCCTTAAAGTTATATTTTCTTATCAGAGAAAGATTTTCTGCGTCCTTCTTTCGCTCGAAGAATTCTATAAAGAACGAATGCTTGTATTTCGGATCGAGATCGCAAGAACGTGTTTTGAAACGTTCCTCGATGGAAGAAAAATCGACGGTCGAACGTTTGAAAACAAGTTCCGCTGTTTAAAACTGCAACGTGGAGAAATATGTAATAATTTCTCGACGTTGCATATATGTATGTAACGCATCCCTGCACGAACTCCGGCGACCAGCGAATATTTATGATCGAATAACGGAGGATCTAGTTTCCCAACGATATAGAAAATAGACACCGAGAACAACGAACCATGCACGATGATCCAAACGTTTCTAAAAGTCAGTTACACAATGAACACTTTCGATGCATGAGATCCTCTAATTATTTTAAGCAAGATTCGCGTCGGGTTCGCAAGGTTCGGGAGTGTTGATCGGTGGGGATGCTTGTTTCGTTGCCACGAATTTTTGTTTCATTGCCATAAATATCACGATACAGCGAGACCGTTCGACCCTGAGAAAGCTTGGACCGATCATCTGAACCGCTTGGCAGACATCGACAAAATGTATCCGAGCAAAACGCCTTTGCTGTCTCGGCATATAAGCCCTCCGCTCAGTACGAAACGACTGTTCGACATCCACGGTGAGTATCCCTCCTCGTTGAGGTGTTTTCGCTTCTCGACGGATATCCTACAAAAATGTTTCAACTTCTAATCGGTTTCTCGTTTAAAAGAACAGTCAAAAAGTGAACTGTGTTTGCTCGAAACTTTTATTCCGTTTTTAAACCATTTTTCTGCCAAATCGAATCGTGATTAAAAGAATTTAATTAAGAGTACTTAGTGTTGAGTTTCTGGCGGTGATCTGTGAACCTAGAGGAAGTTGTCCAACAGTCTTAATTAAAAATCTTTGTGAAACTCATTATCGTAATTCCGGTTTTATAAAGGAAGTTCCCCTCATTGATGACATCAGGCGAACTATAAATGTCATAGTGATCCCTCTATTATTAAATTAAATGCAAAGTATCTATTTCCATACGGGATACTTGGCTTCTTGCGTTGAAGCTTTCGGTAACGCGATATCCTATAAATCTTCTAATTCTAACAATGAATATAACTTTGGTGACAGTTGTTACTGCAAATGACAATTCAAGATAATAAAATTAACCCTCTGCGCTCCATCGATAGTATCGCAAACTAAATAAACGAAATTACAAAAGCACCGATAAACTTTTGTGGAAGGTTCTCGGAGCGCAAAGGGTTAAACGCGTGAAGGTTTTGGTAATTTATTATTGACGATGCTGTTTAATTTCAGGTAACTTGTTATTCGATAACGATTTCTTACCGTCTTTCTCTACGTTGCTTCGAAAGAAGCCCTTGTTCGACCTTCTTGAACCATCGCCAATGATGCCGATCAGTGCCTTTACCAGAGACCCATGGTGGTACCCGAGCTACGCTCCTTATATCCCGAGCTATGCTCAAAGATCCACGCCGTTCTATCTGAGAGACAGTTACCTCAGTCCTGTAAAGCGTTGCTACCTATGGAGCCGACATCCAATCAGGCCTTTCGGTACGTAAACTTTCTTCTATCATTAACCGGACGTTTCGACTAAACATCGTCGCTCTTCGTCTGGCAAAATCGCATCCCTGCCTCTGCATCGTTTTCTCAAATGAAGAGCGAAGCTGTTGGCCAGAAAAGAAAAAATAAATATAAGGTGAAAAACAGGGGATCAGGGAATCTTTTCTCAACTCAAAAACATAACGAAAATTGCAAAGTTGCGATTAGAAAAAGAACGAACGCGAGAGGTTTCTTTTTCACCAGTCATTCATCATTTTACGCGAAAAATATGAAACGCGCGATCGGTATTTGTCGCGGAACAATTCGTTACAAATTTCACGATTATTTTGAGATATCCTTCGCTCGAAATTTGTTCGCGTACTTTCCGTTGCGTAATGCCGAAAAAATTACGATTTGGCATTATCTGAACCGTTTGTTTACTGGCTGGCTCGCGCGCAGATATTGTTGTTCTTTCGAACGATCCGTAAAATTCGAGACGACTCGCGCCAAACTCGATCGTCGAGCCAAACTGATCAACCGGTTGAGCTTGGACGCGAACGACGTTTCGAGATGACTATATTAATTCGTACATCGACGCTAAAGGCGTTTAAAAGTTGCACGATACGAATCGACAAGTATATTATTAATTTAGTAAAAATGTATCGTACGGCTTTTATTCGATCGAATCGGTAAACTTGACTAAGTTGGAACAATGTCGCTGACTCGACAAAACGGGCTTCGCGTCGATACGAAGCCATCCGCTAAGTCGTTTCGCGTCGAGTAAAAAAAGAAAAGATAAACGAAAATTCACCATCGAAAGTAAATGATATAGAACACGAATATGTCTGTTACATTTCAGGATCGTTATACTACTATTATTCGAAGCCAGTTCCACGATTTCACTTTACCAGCCCGTGGTACAATAAACGTACCACATATTAAGAAACAAAGTGAGCGATAAAATTAAAAATGTGGCCAAGTGTTTTTTGTCCCCCTCACCCCTTTACTCGTTAATAAAGTGAACAAATATTAATCGAAACGGACGGTGACGTCGTCGCTGTACATATTTCTGGCTACGACGAAGATTTACTTGTATAATTAACACGCAGCTAAACGTAACAATCATTAATAAGAGAACAAAGGTATCTCGGTTTGAACGAACAAGAACAACCGTCGACCCTAATCGTGTCATCGTGCAATCATAAATCATATTCGTTACGATACGAAACACATTATATCATCAAATTACAAAAAACAAAGAAAAGAATTGTGTTTTTAAAACAGTGTCGCACAACTGTCTGTATTTTCTACGTGACTTACGTGCCTGTACTCGCAACGTCCCCTCTAATAGGTCTGTTTACTCGAAATATACTCCTCTATGTACATTTTTACTTGACTAATATGTATATACACGTGTACATATCGACGAGAGAGTCGAATTGTCCCCTGTAAACAGATACTCCCTAAATTTTACTAAGTCCCATCCACCCACTTCTCTGCAAGAGCTCTGCTTCGTCGATAGTTTGTGTTTGCAGACTGTGTTCGAACTTAACACGAGCTTTGGATGTTACTCGAGACATCATTCATTCTCTCTCTCTCCCCAGCCCAGCCCAAACGTACTCTAATTGTTATTGCATCTTATCGTTATTCTCGTCGAACGGAATGATTTCTGTGCCTGATCCATCGATCGGTCTTTTTTACAGCTCACGCCTACTGATGACTGTGTCGCCCCGCATGGAACGCGTGATACGAAAAGAAGCGATGAAAAAAAGCCAAATAAAACCACGAAAAAAGAAAGAAAAAAAAAACAAAAAAAAGATATGAAAGAGTATTCGCATCGTATCCCAAACAACCGTTCGGCACCTATTGTCTGAATCTCTGTCTTTTGTTTCTCACAGTGCGTACCCGTCGTCCACGGAGTTTTATTTATTAACAATTCTCGACACCATGGTTTATTGTACTATACGTTCGTTCTGTCTACGAATAAAATAAACACTGCCCAAATTTTACTACACGATGTTCCTTTCTTCGACCTAATCATCATGCATCTTATCACACTCATTCTCTCACACATTGTTGTCCGTACGGAGCAACGTGATATCTGGGATCGAACACCAGCCGAGAGAACAGGTTTGTACAACAATATGCATGTTTATTATCTGAAAGTTTTACATCTTTAGGATGTCATTGCATAGGCGTGCGCCGTCGAGATTCGAGATTCGTTATTTCCGGTACTTCATATTCATTTACTATTCCATGAAACATCATCGAATCACGACCGTTCAGCCTTTCACAAATATATCTGTGTGTGTGTGTGTGTGTATATAATTTCGGAGTTTTCGGGCAAAACGTATATCGAGGGATCACAACCGCTTCTTTTACAATTAAACTTATATCGCGGGGAGGAATGACAAGCTGGAGCGTGGAGGGGAAGATGGCCGTCAAATTCGGCTAAAACGTGACATTTCGAAGTTGCTAAAAAGGGGTATAAATACTTGAAATGATTATAACCACGTCGAATACATTAACAATATCTAATAATCATCGTATAATAAATCGATAAATGTTTACCAAATAGAAAGAAAGTGATTCTGTCTTCGCCGCTTAAACAACGTTTTCGGTAAACATAAATTACAAACATTTATAAACAAACTATCGCCGATCACTTTATCGCCTAACGATGCATCGAAGTAGATTATTTCACTTTCAGATAATACGCGACTGTTGATGCTTTCTCATTTCCGGAACAAAGTGTATTCTGGCATTGGGTAACTCCATCTAATATAATTTTAGTTTTTTTTCTTCTTAAATAGTGTATCGTTCCATATATACGCTCTTGATAAATCTTTTTAAATACTTATTCTCTATACACGTCGGTATTTTAATCGTCTCTAATACTTTCTATACACGTAATTTTCAATTATGCACTCTGCTTTTATATCTGGACAACTCGTCGTGAAAAAAATACGTAATATTTAATGGAAAGACTTTAAAGAAATGCACGAAGAAAATATAGAAGATACGTAACAGCTACACTATTCAAGCAAATGTTACGAATTAAATGCTGCGTATGGCTTTGTCCAAATCGAACGGTAAAATAAAAATCTAAAAATTCAAACTATATCCAGAGAAGCGAAACGACAAAACATCTGAAAGTGAAATATTAAGTTCTCAGAAATGACAATCATCCGAGTCTTATTTATCTTTCAGCGACCGAGATTCTTCCTCTTAGAAACAATCCCTTAATAAGTATATTTTGCATCTTAGAGAATTTTCATATCCGTTAATCTCGCTTTTATACGTGCATATATCCTTCGAATAAAGGCATAATTATCTGCATAGAGACATCACCTTAAAAATACTGGTTCTCTGTTTCTCTCCACCATTTTTCTTCTCGGAGACTAAACACTCGTAACATTTCTACAACAAACCTTGGAACGTGCTGTAAATATTTTTAGAATACTGTGAACTAAGATATTTTAAATCTGCATAGGCACGACATAACGAAGAAGAAAAGTTATGGATCGAAATGAAAGAAATATCTATGTACATGACGACGCAGCGCGTATTGTTAAACGATAGTAATTAAATTAGCTGCAAAAGCGATGAGAATAATAGTAAGAGGAATATTAGGAATAATCAGCAACTCTAATAATTACACTGAACATTTAACATGGAAGCAATAAATAGTCAAACGAGATTCTCGAAAATTTCCTTTAAATCGCAAATGGCGTAAAGGATCACCTGCATCTGGAAGGTGCGGGTAAATAATTCCCAGAAAATACAGAAATGATCCTTGATCGAGTTAATGAAAAAAAAAGTGTCACTCGTAATTATTATATTACTTATCTTATTAAAATGTAATCAAGGAAGAGGTAATCTAACACACTTCTCTTGACGTCTTCATGCTGAAACACGAAAATTAATACTCAAGAAAAGTATTGGTAAATTTCAGAGCTGTTTTTTAAAACGTTCCGTAGCAAGCACACTCGGGTAGGTTTCTACGAATATACGATTAATTTTTTTTTTTTTAATTACTAATCAGTCAACATAATTATATACTAAAATATCTACATTAAAATCATACGCAAAAAAAAAAAAAAAATAAAGTTAAAACTGCGTTTTAAAGTCTTTGACGATCACAAATAATTTCTGACGATCAAACAGCACTATAATATCTCACCCATTGTTTTCTTATTCATTTCCCGGTGTAACTGCTGGTAGTGGTAGAGCGTATTTTACAACATTATGCTCTTAAACATTACTCGTTAATATAAATTTTCTTGTCTATTAGTTTAAATTCCCTTAATGTTATGTTTAATATTAGGTTCCATTTATTGAAATTAATGATAAGTTTCCTTAAATGCCAAATCAGTTTACCTAACACAAGAGCATCCACTAACGGCGTTGATGTTAAAAACTGAACGCGAGGCTGTCATTTCTTTTTCACTGGATTCCTCTGTGGTGTAGATGGTCTCGTGCCCTGGCCTGTATTCACTGCTACAAACTGATACTTTGCTTTCTTCTCCGCTGGTTTCAATATCTGCGCCCGGAAATAGGGGTGAATAAACATTTAATATCCACGCGGTATACAGTACGATCGGAAACTCTACCTGAAAACTGCACATTAGGGTTTCATCGACGCTCATCATTCCACCGGCGTTGTCAAATTCTCCGCAATAATTCGGCGCGGAAAACAAAGTGACCAATTGGCGTTTCGCGAAAAATTCGTAACCATCCTCGACAACCTGATGCGCTCTACATATTAAATCCATATCGTGACGATTTAAGAACTTGGATACTACGTCCGGACCGAACGTGAACGAAACACCTCTATCATTCTCTCCCCAGCCCTACAACATAAAGAACAAGTCCATGGTACGACCCTCGATTCGATACTATACGAAATAGCAATAATACTTGCACTAAATCGACTAATAAACAATCCCATAGGATAATAAAATTTCGTACCTGGACCTCCTTATCCGGATCTGACCATAACAAGTCACAGAGAAGGCCAGTATCAGGTACATCGGTCGGCCGCATAATTCTTCTGATTTGTTCCATGTTCTATGGAAAACATTAAAGATATTCATATACATATAATTATGTTATAGGATAATTTTTCATTATTATTCTCATCGGAGAGAAGAAGAAGAGCTTTTCATTGAGGATTTCTAACAGAGGCAAAAATGAATCCCTCCTTTGGGCATAAACAAGTCGGATAATAAAAAATCAATATTTCTATCCACAAAGATATTAATTCTCCGTTAAAGATAAACACAGCCTGAACTTTTACTCTCTTCCTCCTTAAAGTATAAATAGAAAATCAATAATTCGAGGTTGTGTCTGTTTTTAAATTTCTTTCATTAATGCTAGTTGGAACCCTTTATGAAGCTACACGATACTAATAGCTGGCCTTTCCTTGGAACAAGAATAACAGGACTCTACTTTTTGTAATAGCTTCCAAGAACATAGTGAAGAACATTGTATAAAAAACATTCTGTATCTACATGACTATCATTACTAATAAACACTTTGTTTGTATTATTTGTAATAGTAACGCATTTAATTCATTATAACATTATAAAATTATTTATACTGGCTCTTTAATATATTCTAAAAATATAACATTAAAAATAGTAGGAATTTTAAATATGAATATAGTAGAGATCGTTTCGAAAAACTTCTAGGAATAAAATGTTAATTCATACTTTGTAAATGCAACAACGGTAGTTCCGCTTTCCATTTGAAAAACTCGATCCTGCATCGAATATTATAAATCGTTAAAAAAGAAATGGAACAGGAAAATGTTTTGTATTTCGAGAAACGAAGGAACAATTATCGAAAATTTTATTCTGAAAGGTTTCAAGAACGATACTCGGCGAATAATAATAACATATTGTATCACCTGCAGATCCGGACTGAGTCCACCGTGGCAACAGAATATCTTTTCGTCAACGATCGCGGCGATCGGCAAACAATTAAAACAATCCGTGAACGTTTTCCATAATTTGATGTTGTACCGTCTCTTGCACTCGTCGTAGAACCCGTATATCCTGTTTATGCTTGCGCACTCGTGATTCCCGCGCAACAGGAAGAAATTTTCCGGGTATTTGATCTTATACGCTAGGAGCAAGCATATCGTCTCCAACGACTGTTTGCCCCGATCGACGTAATCTCCGAGAAACAGATAGTTCGCCTCTGGCGGGAAACCGCCGTATTCGAACAATCGTAACAGATCGTGGTATTGTCCGTGAATATCGCCGCAGATCTTAAGTGGCGCCTCCAATTCCAAAAGGATCGGCTGTTGTAGGAAAATCTCCCGTGACTTGAGGCAAAGGCCGCGCACCTCGCCCTCTGACATTAACACGGTCTTCCCTGGCCGGCTTCCTCTGACTGCACCACAAAAATTTCCACATTTAAATACATTTCGTACTCGGCGCCGCGACGAACGCGAGGCTTTGGTGAGATTTGTTTCACAGGTACATCGAGCATAATTCTACGCTGGAGCATATGAAGGTGTCTGACTTGCCGAGAACCGTTTCAAGGGAGCAAGGGTAATACGATTACACGGATTCCACGAATTCTCGTGTCCTCCTGTTTGGGTTCTCGTTGCATGTAATACTATCTGATATGTTGGGGGGGTTTGTCGGGTCGGAGCAAACGATTTTCGCCGTTCAAGGCCACCGAAAAGCGAAAACGGTCTCTGACGAAACGACCTCGAACGCGGTTGAAATCGTTTACTCGGACTTGGCATTTTCATCTCGAGCGACGAGATTCATTACTTATACGATAGGTTGGTGCATATGAAGTGTCGTTCTCTTGAAATCTAAGCTTTGTGATATAATAACGTAAGCTAGATGATACTTGATTGACGATCGCCGGCGCGTGATATAAATAATATTTGTCGCGGCTTTCAGAGACGAATCTTGCACGTACGGACCGGGTGCAGTTTTGGAGAAATAATCTTAACGCTAAATTCGTCTTCTATTCGAGGAAAAAGAAGCGACGTTTCATGTGCATCGACCTAGTATCAGATGTCGTCGACACGTACACGTTCCCAATAGTTGGAAGAAGGATTTGTTTAGAAAACGTTCGAAAATATGTAAATGCTAGACAACACGTATTTTGTTCTTTTCTGCGAAATTATTCTCGCGGGAAAAAAAACGAATAAGACAGGCGATTCGATAATAAAACAACATCCAGCTACGTAATATAGGTTTTCTCTTGATGCAATAATCGGGAATACGAAAGCTTGCCGTACACTGTAGTTATAATGCTTCGAAGGGATTAAGTGGCTATATGAGTTCGAATAATGCGCCGTACGAACATAAACCTACGGAATACACTCGAAAACAAAAGCTTAGAGCCCAGTTTTATTTATGTAATCGCCTGATCGTGGTATTCGGAAAACAGGCTTAAGAGAATATGTCTAGTCGAATGGAATCCGAAGCCACCAAATAAGAAACGAAACAATTTCGCGTGCAGATAACTCTCCAGAACCTTGTACTAGTGTCACTGTGGATTATTTATAGCTATGAAGGAATTCACAGTGCGGTTAAACTGGGCCGATGATGGTTATTGGAAAACTGCATATCGGCAAGGTCACATCAACGAGTATCAAAGCTCCATGATTAATGGAAACAAAGATACCAAAATTCGTAAACACCAAAACGTCAGAAACGATTTCTATAAATATTACGGTTATTTATGGAAATAGGGCGAACGATACAGAAAAATGAAGAAAATCCGTAATTATCGTCGGTGGTTATATTTGATCAGACGCGCGATAGATAGTTTGGACCGGTCTCTCTACTCGCGATACGTTACACGATTTATTTCAATAATCTTATCAATTTGCGTACAAATACGTATTTTGCAGGAAACATTTCACGAAAACACGTAAACGACGATTCTGCAACGCGTGCAGAAACGATCAGTTCGTTTCGTTAGAAAATAATTTATGGCTTCATCAAGCGTTTAACATCTTCGTTCTAATTATAATGTATTTTCAACGAAATGTCTAATAGAACAATGACTTGTACATATTAATTAAGTCTGTCTGCGTAAAGATAGCGAACGCTTTGTGTTTATTTGTAATACTTGCAAGACAAACAAGGCATCGCTAACAAATATGTTGGATAAAGTCAGTGTTGTAATGTACATTTATTAATTGAATGAATATACAATTACATACTTTAGGGTATACACATTAAAACCAACGACATATTAACCAAGGTACATTCAAGTTGTGCTATGAGATCTTGAAAGAGAATATTATCTAATTCTCGTAAAAGATGGCTCATTTATTAATAAAAGGTGATAAAGAAGCATATGCACAGTGTTTCTTGTAAAAAAGAAGCTAACTCATAAATCAACACTGACGAATATCGTACGGGGCATGCAATTAAACAAATTTGCATTCAAGCAATATATTCCGTGCAAACTGAATCATTAAGAGTTATATCCCTTGCATAAATACAACATGTTGTTTCAATAGTTATTGCTTTACAAACACAGATACCAAACGCTTTCCTGGACATCTAACTTTAAAAATTTGTAATCTTAATACAAAGAATTTGTAGAAAACTGTGAAAAATATGATCGAGGTGCAATAAAACCAGAAAAGCTAAGGGGAACATCAGCGGTACGATGAGGAAAATCAACTTAGAACAAAGATGATATCTTGGGGTGAAGTCTGATGTTGCAGGTGCCACAACGCTATAACTAACTTCTACTTCATTGTATATTGTATATCATAAGCAAAACGATAGCGAGCGATCACTCACGACGTTGAGGCAGGAAAAGACGCAACTAAAAAACGTAAAGAAAACTACGTGGGATGGTTTCCTTGTTGCGTACCGACAAAATCCGACGAGAAAATATCTTTTAGCTTGGCTTTCTTCTGAACCTGGTCTTTCTGCGTGTGGTATACTTTACCGCGCAGAGTTCCGACACGTAGCATGAGAAAGAGAACAAACAAAAAGAAATAGTTTTGCCTTGTGAGAAAATAAAGAAAAGTAGGGGATAAATCCGTGGACAACTGGTATGTACGAATTACGACTGCAACACTGAAAGATCGATATTTGTTTTTTTCTTTTTTCTTTTAATCGACGATTCACGAGTAAAACAAACTTCCAATGAGCAAGGAAAATCAAGAAAAACCGTTTTGCAGATTTATAAAAAAAAAACACAGACATTAAACGTCGTAAAGTAGATCGCGCACGACTTAATTCCTTCCTTTGGCTAAAACGAAACGTATATGCTCGATGTACGCGGCACCGACTTCGTATCGAGCAATTTTCGCAGAATACTTTGGAAAAACTTCCGATTAACCGTACACCAAATCGAAGACAAGATTCCCGTAAACAATTACACGCTTTCTTTTCATCGAGGCTCTCTTTTTATCACGTACCTTCCAACAATCTTTCTATCAGGTTGTCGACGTTCAACTCGACATCCGCCATTTTTTCTTGCCACTGACTGACTGACCCGATGTTTGTAGTTAGATGAGACGTTTGTATACGCATTTACTATGTATGCATATATGTACATGTATTGTAAGTGCATGTATATGTGCGCTGTTATCGACTGCCGGTCCTATATAAATATGAGAAAGATTATGACAAACCAAAGACGGGGGGAAAAAAATTTAAATTCAAGTATTTACGATACTCATGCTCTGATTCGTTATTTCTCATTCGTTAACTCATTCCTTGGCACCTAACTGTAAAACATAAAACAGATTTTTCAAGTTAACGGTTTACCAAATGGTTTTTTTCCCCATATTTTACCCACTTCTAATGCACAATTTATTTTAGCTTTATTTCCATTGTCAAGTTAAGAATAAATCGATTCAAATAAAACTGTATTTCTATTTTAGTAATTTCTATTAGTATTAATATTCCTCGTGTAAATAGAAATACGGTTTTGTATAATGTAAAGTTTATTTCCTTTTGATAATAACAAATAATGAAGTGTTACAATTTATACATCGTGAAAACGTATTGTATATCGCTGATATTGTTAAGTTTGTGAATTAATAAATAATTTTGTTTGAAACAAGATACGATTGCGTTCTAACATAAATATTGCGTCCCTTTGAACAAAACTGTACCTATTTATTTTAAAGTTTTTATTTTATAATTGCAATACACTCGAGTAACCGTAAATTTTATTTCCAAATTGTTGAAACGATATTAAAGAAATACGTATTTAATTCGGTGGTAATAATGAATAAAAACAACGTACGTTATTTCGATCGAACATCCTCAAATATGTATAAAATTGTAATTGGGTAATAAAGTTGCAATACATTATATTTACAATAAATAAGAGACATTAATATTTTCGTCTAGACTAAAGTGTATAAGTGTAATATGTTTTTCTGTACATTTAATCAATTAAAAAATTAAGCTCACAATTCATAAGATTATTGAATAATATTTAACACAATTTGTAAAAGTATTAAATTTTTACAATCACCTAACTATTTTGTATAACAAATTAATTATAATACAATAGTGTCAATGTACATGTTTTTTTTTTTTAAACAATTATTGTAGCTGCAATACGAGATACTCCAGACAAAAACGTGGTAATATATTGCTTCAATTAATTAAAAATATCCATTAGTTCATACTAACTTAGGCATATTTTCTGTGATAATCGGGTGGCGAATCTGCATAATCTTGCTGAAGATTGAAAAGTTCAATGTTATTTTTCTGTAAATATTGTAAAAAATCGTGAAAATGTGATAGTAACAATTGTATGCTTCTTTCGTCTAATGTAGTATACGACAACATTCCGCCGAGTCTCACTGCAAGAATAATTTAGATATAGTAATTTTCGTCATCGTTTCGTCAAGACATTATCTGACTTGAATAAAAGTAATACCAAATAGCCTTAATAAATGGAATGCACCATATAACTGGCTGGGCAGTGTTTCAGGGTTATCATTCATAATTTGAATAAATTGTGGGCGTTCCCATTTATATAATAATTGCAAACCTAAGGATATATTGAAGTATTCACGAATACCTTTAGTTATTTCTAATACACTTTCCCTGAAAATGTTTAAGTTAAAAATTATGAAAATACTAAATAAATATAAATAAATTATGTAAAGATCATTGACATTTAAATACCTAACAGAATCATTCTTTCCTAATGATTTTGATTCTACATAGTCATCCAGAATTTTGTCGACTGTATTCTTTACAGGTAAAGCAGGTAATTTATGATGTTTTAATATAACTTCTGATTCGTCTATAAGTACAAATTTCAATTCTTCCGGTATTTTAATTTTAACCTCAACCTTAGTGAGGTACTCTTCAGTTTCACCGGATGGTTCCAACCGACTACAATGAATTTTGATCATTGTTTGACATTACTCAAAGTATTAAATATTCTTATAATACTGGCTTAAAACAGACCTGCGTTTTTTACGTGGAGCATCCGGAGTAGAATCATGGGACGACGATGGCATGATAGTACTACCGGTAGTTTTGCTAAATCGATTAATACTTTTTTCAACCGTGGCTACAGGGGTGCTGGCTCTACTATCTGTATCTTTTTCACGTCCACCCTCGCTCCTGCGACCTTGAGTTTTAGAGGAGGTATTGCCTTTCTTATTTTTTTGTGTAGACTGTTGGTTTGAGTGTGCCCTTTGAACCTCTTTTTGCCTTTGTACATTTGCTTCATTGTACTTAAGAACTCTACTTTCCGGAACCCACTCGTCCCAACTGTTACATTAACACAGATAAATTCACGTCCTCGTAAACAATTAATGCACTCTGAGTACTCACTTCTTATTCCATCCGGCGTAATGAATTAAATACTTGATCTGTTTTTCTTTGGTAATGGAGGATTTTAGACATTTTGCTTCATAAATTAATGGACCATGAAAGCATAGAACTTTTTCTCCTACGAATGCCACGATTATTACAAATAGAACGCAAAACGAATAAGAATAGTTAATATCCGATTATCAACGACCATCTAATAGACAATGGAAATTTGTATACAGTTATATTAAAAACTAATACACGTACCTTCTTGAAATTTACATTTCGGGGGCATACTCGCGTCCTTTGAATTGCTTATTTTGACTGCGGGTTTTTGGGTCGTCAGTTTTAAATATCGTGTAATTTTTGGATATTTCTCAATAATTCGCGCCAACGGAAAACAATTGATTTCCACTGAGCAACTTAAAGCATAACTTTGAAAGCGGCGTCCTGCTTTGTCTTACATGTTTTGTACATAAAGGCTGATACGCAATATAGGTGAGGACACTATAGAAATCTAGTCACCGTGCTAGAGATTTTTCATCTATACAATTATCTTAGCTTGCAGAGAGAGAGAAACGTAGATTCGACATAAATTTGATTTAAAATTTAAATATCAAAAATCGTACGAAACATTACAAAATTGAAATCTCAATAATATTTAGTTGAATTAAACTAATACGTGTCACGTTAAATATAAATAACTATTAAAACGAGAATAATAATACGAGTACAGTTTCATTTTTGTTCGAAGCAAAAATTTACAATTTTTAATACCGTTTTTGGTTACAAAAATTTATCGTTTGACTCAATTTATAGTAAATGGCTATAACGAATGTGCATGAAAGTGAATGATACTAGTATGGGTGTACATATTTTATATTTAAACTTTATTTTTGTATATAACACCGTTACGTAAATAAACACCAAAGTGTACGGAACACGAGATGCAACCTCCTCGACAGACGACGCGCGAATGATCAGCGGTCAAACGGCAGCGCCAAGATAAGCAGTATACGAACGATGCGCATGCGCGCTTCGTTAAGTAACAGATGAACACGTAACTTTTAAATTAGCACAATAATTAAGCTCTTACACATTTCTGAACATTCGTTTTTGTCAAATTCTTATTAGAATCAAATATTAACGTCTTAAATAGAAATAAAAAAATCACTTTAGTCATGTAAATTCATAATATTCAGTAATTTGCTACCACGTATGAACGCAAACTTTAAAATTAAGTTTATACGTTTTATTTCTTTTTCTTTTATCCCGTTGTATACGTTAAACGTGCATAAAAAATATCTCTTCTGCGTACACTTAAGGATTAGTTTGATTCAGACGTTTCGAAATTGTACAAACAACAATTTAAAATCGAAATGGACAAATGTATCCTATTGCTTTTATAAAACTTAGAAAATAAACGAGATTTACTAAGTAAGTAGGTTCTTAAATGTTTGTACAAAATAAGCAAAGACGAAGGTTATGGAAAATTAAAAAACGTCACATCTCCTTATGACGTTACACAAGGTTATATTTTGTAACTTTCTCTTCTTTTTTTTTTTTACGATGTTCTTCCTGCGGGTTGTGCCCGTAAAATGTGACAAAATTCTCGTTCGTCGTATTGGTACATACATTACTCAATTTTTGTTAACCGTTTGAGTCCCAAGCAGCGCGATCGCGCCGTTTAGATTTTATGTCGAGAAAACCCAGCACATTTCGATCGTTGTGGACAACTGACTTTTAAAGTAAATAATACATTTCACAATAGGTACAATACTATAATGATAGTGCAATAATACATTACAAAATAAAATATTTTGTATTTCATTGTTATCTTCTTAATAATTTTGATCGAGTAAAACTTGAAACATTTATAAACTTACAGCACGCATATGTAATAATACAGATGCGCAAAACATAAAATAAACGAAGCGCTATCGCGCCGCTTGGGATTTGTCGACATAAAATAAAAGAAGCGCTATCGCGATTGCGCTGTTCGGGATTCTTCGACAGTGTATTTTCAATATCCCCTGGGACTCAAACGGTTAAGACAATCGATCAGAATCAATTTTTCCTTTTACCATTAAATCTGAACAGTCTTTCAAATAAATGTGAATAGTGGTACTTGAACTAATCCTAAGTACGAAGGAGTGTATCGACGCACCTCTGAAACGTAATTTTTCGAACGATTACAAATTACCACTTTGCTCTGTGAAACAATAATTTATTTTCAATTTTGAGTCGAGTAAAGATTATAAAAAGTCTTGTTGAACGAAAGAAAATAGAAAAAGTGCCACTATTCGAGAGACTGCCAGAGGCGGGTAGAGTTTCACGAATATCGGGTTAAAAATGAAACGATGGACTGCCATCATCATGATAAGTTATTATAAAAAGATCTTGCGAAGTCTGAAAACGAGGGGAAACAACGTAGTAGCTTTCACGGGGTACCGTTTGATGCGTTAATACGATTAACTAACAGAGTCCAATATCAATCAATTACTCGTAAATGAAAAAACTTACGTCTCGAGACTTCGTAAGATCCTTTGTAAGATTCAGGTAGAAAATATTGTAACTTCTCACTGGTGCCTGTGACCGAAATCACCGACCTTTAACATTCGACAATCATTAATATCATTCATTATACCAGTCATACACGTTCCACGCACTCGGTTTCTCTCTTTGCTTCCCCTCTCGTTGCACGATGCGTATGAAAAAAGCGCGATGCCACCAGTAATTGAAAAACGAAAACGAAACTAGTACAATCCTCTCTGTTGCAGATAGGCATTGCATGAATATTGTGCAGAATAACCGTTTGCAAGATTCGTGAACGATAGAAGGATGAATTATGCTGAGATCTGTTACGAGTTAATTGGAGAAACGCTATAATGTATATTCCATGAACAGACATTGAAGATTGTACGACGTTCTTTTTCTAGAGTAAATAGTAGTATTCTCTTAAATAAATATATACTGTCGATGCAAATATTGAAGCGACAAAACGCTTAATTCATTGATTTCACTTATACCGTCTATATTCGTTTAAAAATAATCCCCTAGTCTCCTTTGTACATGCACGTATTAAGTAATTCACATCTACATTATTCTGCACAACATTCATTTGACTATAAAATGTACGTACTTGTTACATATGTATATATGTATATACATGTGGATATATATATATATATATATGTATGTATATACAGGGTGTTCGGCCACACCTGGGGGATTCTAGAGGCCAAAATAAGACGAAAATCAAGAACACCAATTTGTTGACGGAGGCTTCGTTAAAAAGTTATTAACAATTAAATTCAAAAATTTCAAATCGTTCTGGAAAAATTATTTTCGGTTGCGGGGGTCAATTACAATCATTTTTGGTGAATAGACACACCCCCGAAATCCTGCGCATTTTCGAGAAAAAAAATTCAACACGGGCGGAACTTAAAACGCTAATAACTTTTTAACGAAGCTTCGACCAAGAAATAGATATTCTTGATTTTCGTCTTATTTTGGCCTCTAGAATCCCTCATTAAAAGTTTTTCCAGGGGTGGGCCGAATATCCTGTATAACAAGTGAATTTATAAACTAACATTCTCTCGTGTAATGCTTCAATAATAATATTAATAATAATTAAAACTAACTAATCGATATTTTGTGATAACCGTTAATGAGGTGTCTACAGCATCTCTGTTCTTTTTCTTTTCAATCGGGGTCGTCACGTCCTTATTTGTATATATGTATATATATTTGTATTATTTACAATTGCAGAAGGGTGTGATCATTAATGTGTAGGCACTATGGCTTTGGACGTACACTAAGTTGTACGTTAGGGTACATCCTTAAGAGACTTCCAGCGTAGACAATTCCTTCCAGTGCACTCTTGAACCCTTCAGGAACATAGAACAGTGTTTAGGTTTGCATTCCATGCGTCGAGAGAAGAGAAATTTTCCACGCCGTTTTCACGCGGCAGGGTTCAAAGTTGCACTGGCCGAGAAATTCTCTTTCGAAGAACCCCTTAAATCAGATCCAGAATAGTACTGTATCCTGAATGAATCTTAGACGTTTATCGTTACGATTAGAATTAAATATGCGTTTATATGCGACGATACAGCCTAAGATTTTCTGTTCTCTTTCTTGTACGCTTGAGTTCGTCTCCGTGTTCGCGACCATCATCGAAGAAGCTAATCAACACGAGGATGTACATAGCAAAGACTGATACAATAGAATCAGCGTAGGATGACAAATCTGCCAAAACTTATTTCTTTTCCCCCTCGTTCGCATCGAGCGATAAATTTAATTATAGTTCATGCATCGTCGAACCGCACGAATTCACTATCGGAAAAACTCGACCAATTACAAAAGTATATAGAATAAAAACTATGCCTTCCTGCCGTTCATTTGTTCGTCATATTTTTTTTTCATTTTTTTTTTACAAACGATTCTTCATCGATAAGCTACTATGCATCGACTGCTTTCAATAAATTTATAATGCATTCTTCCGGACGGTGGCCCTCCGCTTTAAACACGATTTAGAAAAAAACAATTCAGTCCCGGTGATAAAAGAGGACGACCGCCCGGAAGGAGAACGTTCATGTTTTTCATTTTAATTATCACGTAGATAGAAACATTACACTAGGAGGGACATTTTGATGAATGATTTCGCGCGCTATCGGCTCAATTAATTTTACAATTCAATAACCACAAAATATCTTCGTAGCATGGCTGTTCGATACGAGTCCAGTCTCTCTTTCTCTTTGAAATTCCAAATACATTCTCCTCCATCGTTTTACCCTTACCTCATTTACAATATTATAACACATTGCACAGAAAAAATGGCTTCGATTCGCCAGGCAGCTTTACAAACTTATTCCAGAAGCTTAATCGGTCTCGACCGTATCAAGTCGGAAATACACGAGAGCACCGCGTTAATATTTGCGTGTGATATGTGTCCCCTCTGCTTCGCGGCGCGTTTTCTACTTTTTCTCATCCACAGAGGTCGAATTTTCAAACCGACCGACATGATACTGTGTGCTTGATGATCTGTTAAACGTCTTACGAATCCCGGTTAAAACACTCATACGCAATACACTCTCGACAAAATACTATTCGGTATTAAATCGTTACGCGAATTGATACGAATCAAAAAATCCTATCTATACTTTGTATTTACATCCGCGTATTATCCGATCGGGCTAACAAGCAAAATCATTTCACCGAGGTCAGCAAAATCGGTGTTCATTCTAGTAAATTTGATTGTATTTTAAACGCAAGATATCCGCGCGATCATCCTGTTCATACGGCATCGATACGAACCTTTCCTATCCTAATGAACAACAGACCAGGACGACATTACACAATTATACACTTTCTTGCCCCGTACGAGCGCCGCGTGTCGATCGAAAATCCCCAATCAGAATAATATATACGTAGCTCGAAAGCTCAAATTCATTGTATTAACAAATTATCCTCTATCCGTTCGAATACTAAGGAGGCGAACTCAGAGTGGTAGTCCAAAAAGACAAAAGTGCTGTCACGATGACGATGATAAGGATGATATAGTTTTAGAATTTGAAATCAAAAAGATCCGAAAGCCCTTCCTCTGTACCTAACGAGAACGAATAGTCGTTTTCGGAAAGAGGTGGTTCCAAGGACAGCAGGTGTTCTCCAAAATCGAGAATACTTAGATCTGTAACAAAAGAGAGAGCAAATGGTGGACTTGTCCAGTGTTATCAAACACCTCTGCCTTTTTAAATTCTAACTAGTTTCTTTTTTTTTTTCGGCCGCTTTCTATCGCGATATAGACAAATAAGAAATTAACGAGATATTTAAATCGGATCGACGAAGAACTAAAGAAATCGTAAAAGTAGAATTTGCAGCCAGGTGACAAATAGAAGCAAAAATGTAATATTCGAGTCAGACTTATTCCCCCAATGTTATGTACAACAGCGATCCAATATGAAATCCAAGTAATCGAATGTAAGAAGAAAAATAAGAATATATTTAATACGATCAAGCCAATAATTATTTTCTCCGTAAAACGTACCTTTGCGCGATATGATAGTTGTTGTTTGAAACCGTAACCTAACTAGAACTCTGCCTGTGATGTGATTTTTATTCTTCTAACACACAAGTCACAGTCAGAGCTCCATCAGGGTACGGCTATCCTCCATTGTTGAAAAGGTAGAGGACAATGAGAGAAAGGTAGCTTGAGTCACTAAATTACCTCACGCTATCTTCCTTTCAAAGAGATTACTCTCCACGAGAAATTGTACAATTTATTGCTAACATGCAACAACGTTTCTTTCCGGTTCATAAATAATTATAAATATTATACGACGCGGCAAAAGCTTCGCGCAAGAAAGAAACGTGTTTCTTTTCCTTTAAAAGTATTCCGAAAGCATAAAGATAATTGCAGTGTAAAAAGCATTTATTAAAAAAAAAAAAAAAATAAAAAAATATATAAAAATATAAATACATCAACAGAAAAAGTGACAATAATTGTAGATGAGGGAGATATTGCATAGAAAAGAACATTCATAGAAAGATATTGATTAATTATATCGCAACGGGGTTTAGTAAATAAAGAAAAATATGTGCAAACAACGATCTAACGATTGTTAAGGCGCTACTTCGTTACACGCCGATATTAATAACAAAGTTGAAGGACCGAAGAAGTAAATTAAAAGACAAAAAGGTGAAAACAAACTTATCACAGCTCGTACAAAAACTATACAATTATGTAAAATGATATATATGTATATAGTATACAATAAATCTTTGATTTATTTTTATTTAAATCACTAATTAAAGAAGTTGTATCCACCTAATTGCGATCAAGGGCATTTTATGCTCGGCATATGCAATAAAATCTAACAGTGCATACAAAAGCGTACATGCAAAGCAAAAATAACATACCGTAATAATATTTTACACGAAATTTTGCAAATTAAAAAAAAAAAACTAAAACTTTAAAATTAATATTGCACCAAATATTTGTTCGATTATTCGTAGAACGAATAAAAAAGAATGCGTGATAAATGAAAGAGATACACGTAATAAATCCTAATTTAAAATTGAGACGCGATCCTACCTGAAGTACTAATTTGATCCTCTGTTTGGAGTTGGAATTTTCCGCCACCCATTGGTCCGTAATCGTCGGATTCACACAAAAGCGCGTCTCTCATGCCCGCTAAACTGGTAACCGCAGAAATAACTGGAGTACACAAACGAGTATTCAACGAACTCTCGACAGAAGGTACTGGTTCGACCCGAACCCCACTTCCTCCATTGGCCAACAGTTCAGGAGGCAGATAAGGTAAATCGGATTCTTTTGACGAAGGCACAGGTTGCGTCGTCGTGTACCCCGGATTAGGAGATGTTTTAACTGCAGGGTCATCAGGACAGAGGAACACTTCTATTTCTCCATGAGATGACCTCATGTGCATTTGAAGCTGTAACCATATAAATAACATTGTAAATTAATACCGTACACGCTGGATTTCAATCTCAATGCAAGTTATTTTCGTACATTAACTAACAGTTACCTTTTGTTGACCAAGATTATTGATAGGTTGTGGAACATGAAGAGTGGCTTCTGGCGGAGCCTTCACTGCCATTATAGCCTGGTCTTTGTACATTGGGACAGAACGTAAATCGTGATACGTTACATAAGCGTATTGTCTGTCTGCGCAGAGTTCCCTAAGGTTTTTATCCGCACCGTGAATTAACCGATCCAAAGTGTTTTCCTTAGCTTCTAAATCTGCTACTTCTCTTCTGAGATCAGCAATGTCATTCCTATCGTTTGGTAACTGACCGCCTCTGTAAAACACGAACGTCGCGTTTATCGTATAATTGCTCGATAGCGTTCCCAGCACACGGTTCAAAGTAAAACAATATATACATACTTCCATTGTATATTGTTTTTACTTTTCTTCTCCAAAATACCTATACCTTCCAACACGTTTGTAATGTCATATATACGACGTTTCTGTACTTCCAACTTCTCAGATGCTACATTCAAATCTACAACACCGTCCTCGCTGCTTTCAACTAAATGTATGAACTTTTTTGTAAGTAAGCTCAGTGATGTATCGTACCGCGTTCGTTCTACCGTTTTACCTAAAACGAACAAACAACAATTATTTTTTATAAAATAAAAACTAAAAAGGAAAACTAAATATTATATTTACTTTTGGTAGGCGTGTGGCCAGTTATAGAACTCGATCCGGATCTCCTACGTTTACCTCTAGGAGCCTTAAAGGCAGATTGGCTGGGTCCTGTTGTTCCCATTTCCAAATTCAGTCTTCGTTTTACCGCTTGAACTGATATTTGCTGTGAAAATTTACCAAATTAAATGTAGCAAATCATTCGATTCAGTCAATACGATGCAACACTGGTGTTGTTTAAAAATTTTTAACCGTATGTAAATGTAAATCTAGAATTATTTACTTCAGTTCGTGGTGGTGGTTGTGTAGGTTTCCTTGTCACTTGATAACAAGGTGTTTGTCCATACTGATGGTCTTGAAGATGGGGACTTGGGGTCTCTTCAGCCACCTTTTGTGCTTGTACTTCATCCAAAGAGCCATCATCCAAAAATTCTGTTTTTACTAAAAAAACAATGTTTATGGTTATAAATAGAGCAATATACATTGAAAGGGAATTAGAAAACCATTTACAACTGTTTGTACGTACTCAATTTGGTCTCTACCATGTCTGGTGTAACAGGCCTGGCAGGATCTTCCAAGACCACCTGTCTCCTTACTCGAGGCATTTTTATAGTTTATAAGAATCTAAAACAATTATGAAAATACACATGAAGCAACAAGATTACGTGGAAACAGTTTAACGATAAAAGATTTAAAAATACAATACCTACAAAGTCAGCATTTAAAATGAATCGACCATGAATTTGTTTTAAATGATTTCCAAGACTCAAATATCAAATAAATAACTGCAAGGCAAATTATATAAAAGTTCTACTTTAATGTATTAGAAGGAATTCTTTGTAGTTTACATACAAGGTTTCTTTTTATGAAATCTCTATTTGAGTATGGAGATTCTATTCATTTAATCAATATACAATGGCATTTTTGTAGAAAAAAAAAAATACATACATATATACTTACAAAATTAATAACATAATGGAGAATACATGAAACAACTGTTCTACAAGTATGTTTATTAAACACATGTAACGCATGAACAAAGATTTTATTAAACACAAAATACAAAATGTATTTCCATAATATTTGCTAATGTATATTCTTCATGCAAATACAGAGTCAAATACATTTTATTTTGATCCATTTATTTCTCTAATTATTACTAAATATTTGTGCGACTAGATAAACATAAAATCAGTTGTTGACTCATTGATAAATCGATACAAATTTTTGTCCTACTCTCGTTTCGAAATATCAAAATTTCCAAGTCTTGCAGAAAACGTGCCGTACATTCCAGCATTGCCCATGAAGGTTAACGACTGTATATTATTCCGGCAGACATATATTTTTCATTTTGTTTCGTACAATTGTAAAGAGTTGCTCATTATTTCGGATAAGTTGCTGTTTATTACTTATTTAACAAAACGTCGTGCGTAGAAAGAAAAATCGAATCGCGAGGTTAAAATACAACGTTTAACGAGATATTAGTGCCTTGTTAACCTTGTCGGCGATATGCTTTATTAAAAATTCCATTTATATATAAAAAAAATAACGCCAGGTAGGCGTGAAAATTCGAGTAAAATTTCTATCGATTTTCGTCCGTTCATTCTCGGTTTTTTTTTAATGCTAACCATTTGCGAGCAAATTTTGTTTGATCGCGATAGCACTTTTTAGGTGCACATTAAAGAACAGACACTGTAGGAAAGAACTTTTTTCCTTGTTTAAACAAATAACGTTTGTAGAATAATAGAACTTGAATTCCAAAGAATACCATGCACGTATGTCTCGAGAGAAAAAAAGACAAATTTTAATATTCGAATAAAATGGAAACTAGAAATAATGGGGCAATAAATTAATATTATTATTACAAGTTTGTCAGAATGAACACAAGAAAACTTTCAAACAATCTATTTGTACAATGAAATTTACAATTTTTTATATTGTCTCGGTTTATAAACAAATAATGACAACATTAAGATGTTGGAAGCCTTATCGTGTATAAAAATAATCGTTTTATGGAATAACGAAACGGAAGTGGTTGGACGAATGGCAAGGTGACAATTCTGCACGAAATGAACATCTGGTAAAAATTGCAGGCCAATTTTTAGCGTTTCTCGATACGAGAATACCGCAGCTGCAAATGATGAAAAAGAGTAAACAAAACGAAGTGAAAATGGAAACACTTTATTATGCGCGTATATCACAATCTGTACTTTAAATCTGTGTGTTTGGAGTTCTCAGTTTTCACGATGTTTAAGTACATTAAATAATTCGGAGCAACGGAATATCTTAATTTGTTTATAAATATATCGAACAGTTGGAATTGTAATTACTCCGAGGCTGAGGCGATAAGAAAAATACGTTTAAACAATACGCGATATATATATATATATATATATTTTCATTATTGTTGAAGAACGATATTATTAACAGATGGCGAACATGTACGATCGGTTCACAATTTTAATAATTTAGTGGAAATTTAAAGATAAAAACGAAACGTCCGTTTAAAGCTACGTTATAGCCGTTATCGTCGTATATGCTTAACAATTATTTGCAATTTGAGAAAAAAGTTTATCATCGTCGAAGAAGAAATTCGTTAGAGTACATATTCGTAAGCATTTGTTTATTCGAATTTCATAATAGGACGTTACTTTCTGGTTTCGAAACAGCGAACGGAAACAATGTGTCCGCGAAAAAGAGCAGAGAAGATCCTAAGGTCCTCGTTTTCAAAAGACTGGTTACGCGCCTGAACGGACCCACAGTGCGGTCGTACGAGAATTTTTCGAAAAAAAGAGCAAGCGTCTCGAGAACACGAGGCAACGTTCCGGGTGTGGTTTAAAGAGGCATGCCGTAGGATCGTCGTGTTACAGCAGCCTTGCGTTGTAAGCAGTTTTAGAAGCAAAACTCTCTCGGTGGAATTGCGTGGTTGTCTCGTTTTGCGCACGTTTGGCCAGGTACACACTGTCGACATTCGTCGAGATCACGGAGGCCAATAGCACGGTAAAGCGCATTCGAAGGTTGGGAGCAATGCACGGTTGCGGAGGCATTGATTGGTAGGATGTTATCTCGAAGATAAAACGGAGTATGTAACTCCCGTGGACGGCATTGGACGTAAAACTGGCATAGCATCGATTGGCAGAGACCTGGTGCCTTTTTAAAACCACGAAATTATCATCGAACCGTACGTTGACATCACGACGTGAATATAGTAGTTTAAAGAGGTGTACGCGTTTAAATCCCGTCCCTCGTATAAAAAAGCGTTTATACAGTTGATCGAGTCATCGAATGAAATCTGAAAAGTGTGCGTCCATACGAGACAGGAAATATGGTAGAAGCGTCGGTGGATTTCATACAATTACACCGGGGCATGCCTCGTGTGCACGAGGCTTCAGGCCCCAGATGTCGGCGACGAACCTTACTGTCCCCCTTTTTTTCCGCTCTTCCGCTCGTAGAAACCGCACAGGTCGCGAGGTCTATCGACAAGACCCAGATCGTTCCCTTTCTCTTATCATAGCGAAGTAGAAAATGCGCGTGGATCAACACCCTGCCTCACGCGTACATAGCGAGTTGCGATCAGCTGTTAACGTCGATCGGAGGTACATTGGCTGGGCTTTCTTTATTGGTGTTTGTCGGTTGAATGTCGCGTGAAACCGTTCGGCCACGGATAAATAACAAACGAGAGGCGATCTTCGCGAGCGAGCGGCAATACGTTATTCGCGAAAATCGTACCGAAGCGGCCATGCATACGAGAGCAAGCGAACGAGCGAACGAGCGAACGAGCGAGCGAGTGAGCGATCGGTCGGTCGGATGGGCAGGCGGGCGGGCGGGCGGGCGGGAGGGCGGACAAACGAGGGAGCGCGATTATGCGAGCACACGCATACACACATACACACAGGTTCCCCGCAGTACTCACACAACGAAGCGTAGGATTCGCACGCGATACGCAGAGCCGTTTAAAGAGCCAAGCCGGGACTAGAGTATCCCTAGTTAGGCGTGCTACCGGCACGCTCACGAGGAAACGTAGAATCGGTGCACGCTTTCGCGATTGATCGCGAGAGATGCCAGCGACTTTCAACGCACCAAATCAGTTGCGCTCGAAATAACGGTCATCTTTTTCTTTCCTGTCTATGTGCGCTCCAGTGAGCATATCTTTTTTCCACGATTGCGAAAAGGAACATCGGACTCGTGTGCGCGTTGGAGATGCACGCTAGTTCGGAAAACGGAGGGGGGACTTGGTGTTTTTTTTTGTTGGAGCAACCTGGTAATATATCTCGAGGTGGAGGATTAACCAGAACAAATGAATATACTGAAACGGTTTGCGCGTATTTATTCACTTACTTGGCTCTCGAGAGTGCGGTACAAACCGCACAGTATTTTGAGACGGAGGCCCACGCTCTCTTCCGGGAGGTTCAGCCAGCACACGGCGCGGCGCGTGTCACAGCACCGACGAGCGAGGCATATCCTTGCCTCCTCGATGGCAAATACGTCGCCGTCGTGGTCGTGATCGTTGCTTGTCGCGGCGTCAACGGCTCTAGATGCAATTTTCACTGAGGCCTGTCGATGACAGGACAGACAAACGTGCCCGGGACGACGAGAAGTTAACCCGGTCTCCCGAGGCCAACGTACACGAACGTTTCTCTTGCTTTTTCCTTCGTTAATATCATACACGCACTTGGTACATACGATTACTCCCTCGCCCTCTCGCGTTTTGTTCTCCCTCTGTCCTTCGTTTCTCAGCTTATACCCGTGTCGTCGTCCTCGTCGTAGCCGTAGTAGTTGCGTGGCCTTTATTTCTTTCTCTGTCCCTGTCCCTCTCCTCCTCTTTTCTATATATCTGTTTCGCTCTGTCTCTCTACCGCACTGGTGCGGTGTCCATTTTCTGCGGGGCCGATCTCGGCAATAGGAACGACAGTCAGGCAGTCTGGGGGCCCGAAATAATCGAGTGCAAGGGCCGAGCCGTTCAACCGATCGACGTGTTTTCAGGTTCCAGGGAATGTAGAGGTTCTAAAGTTCACGATAAGCCCCGCCTCGACATGATCGGTCGACCCACCGGCGAGGAAAACGAACCTTTTCTGTCGGGGTGTCGCGCGCGCACACGAGGCCGGCTCGTGAGCTGGGCGATTGGATGGACGGGGCTGGCTGGCGCGCTGGCAACTGGCTCGGGCTACGAGGCAGATAGACCCGCCTGTACCGGTAGTAGTAACACCGAACCGCGTGTCCGTGCGCTCTACTGCGCTCTCACAGCGCGCAATGTCACCGTGGTAGTGGCCTTCTACCACTCTTTCGGTACGTTCCTGAACGCGTTTCTGTCACAGTGGTAGTAACGTGCTTAGGCGCCTGTCATGTGTCGGTGTGTTCGTGGACGCGCGCCTATACGTACCGGCGCACCGGCGCACCGGCCATCTGCCGGTCGCACACGGGAGTCGTGTACGCGCGCCAAAACCGTCACTTCGCTCTTCTCCGTAACCACCGCGCCGCCAGCTATCACGAATATCCAAAAAGTTCCTAGACTCTCTTCTCTTTCGATCTTTTCACACGATTATCCGTTTTAACCACCGATCGATCGGCTACTACCCCGATCTATCCAAACTACGACTGCCCTCGAGCTTTCACGCCAACGTTTCTTTATACGCCTTCGAGTTCGATGTTCCTCGGCTAACACTCCAACTTCTACTTCTCCGGTATTGTACGTCACGATCGTTCGAACGATAAACGTACCAGGAAAACGACGGATCCATCGGCCACTCCAACAATTTACGGATATACCGAACACACGCGCCAAAACTGTCGCTTTCGTTTTCCACGAAACTGCCACGCAAGCTCTGAGCCATGTAGGTGAAAAATCCCTATACCACGACTTTCACGCGACACGTTCGTATTTGATGGATCGGTTATTCCTTTCTGACATCCCGGGATCTTTTTATATTACTGTCGTTGGAGATTATTACCGTGTCAGTCCGCCATGGTCAGGGGTGTGCGCTTTCAGAACAACGTCCACGCTTGATGTTGGCAGTGAGTCCCTTTAACGTGGGCCTTATCGCAGAGGTAACGGGGGCAAAAAGGAAACCGTAACACACACACTCTCCAATTATGTAATTCTCTAACCGTTTGATTCCCTTTCTTCGACTACGCGAACTTCCCAAGATTGGGAGGATTCCGATGCCTGTCGTTTCTTGCCCGAAACTAAGCGGGCGGTCGTCGCTTCCTTCACGATGGAGGGGTGTTGGACGCAGGGCCGTACTCTTTACACGTGTAAAATTTCTTGGCCTAATTTTCTTCCCGCTCCGACCTTTCCCACATCGATGTAATTTACATTTTCGAGTAAATTTTTATTAATTCGTCACAATTGAGATTATCTTTTCAACCGTACATGTCCGTGCACGTTCAACACCGAACGCCCTGTAGCCAGGCGTCAAATATTTTTATTGGCGGGAAACGTAAAAAACCATGTATTTTTATTATATTTTTACAAAAATATACAAATACGTGGTACAACGCATTTTATATCTCCTTAATACTTAAAAGCGTAAAATATAATACATTTGTCATACTTTTCGACGACAATAAAAAATCTAATAATAGGTAATACGTCGAATCAAGTACTCAGGTATATACATTAGCGAAACATACGTTAAGATAATTACATGTTGGTCATATAAATTCATTTTTTTTTTAATTTTGATCCGTGAATCGTTGGGTTTTCTGAAATGTCGGTACGTACCTGAGATAGGTCGTCAAGAAGGGAGCCCGGTGTTTTCTTCGTAACGTATTTATTTGAACCCTACGCAACTACAAAAGGATCGTACCCTATGAAGGACGTAAGGGAGGTACACGCTCCCTTCTCGCTTCCATATCCATGTGGTCATCCCTACTTTTGCAATTTGGAGCATTATTCCAAGCCAACATTCAAGAGCGCGCCAAGGAATCGAACGATACGTTGATCCGGGCCCAAACGGCTATATGTCTACGATCACGAAAACTTCGGGTCGATCCGATTGAGGACGATCGAGTATTTGCATCGACGAATATGTAATTGCTTTCACTTCGGCGCCTTGCGTATGTATGCCGATCGTAAATACCTCCCCAATTGCTGTCGCGCTGATCTTGAAGTTCTCGCGATCGAAGCTAGTGATCTTGACTTTCTGACAACACAAAGCGTTACTGTTCATACAAGAGATCGAAATTACCAAAGACGTTCGAGTTCAGTGGGTGGAATGTGCTTTATTTCAAAACTTAGGTTCTCGACGGTATAAAATGAAGCGGAACGTGGGCGAGACATATGTCTCGTACAACGACCGTTGACCAAAGAAATTTTACGTTCGGGAAAAAGCGCGAGCAACGGTTCGTTAGACGCTCCTATGTTTAAATGTACCTTTGCAACGATATACGGCTCGGCGCTAAACATAAATAACAATTCGTCGAGGAAATGGAAAAGGAGGCTTTCCATGTCGTGTCCCTCGGCGTCCACGTTATATACTTCTGTCATTCGAACCCGCTCTAAATCCGTCGTGTAGCCAAACATGGCCATTGCACATTGTTCAAAAGCTTCTTCCAGAGTATCGCCCCACGCGTGTAACCTACGATGCACAGTGACCGTTAAAATATGTATGGATATCATCGAAACGTATCATACATTCGTTTAATCTTTTCGTCGATAGGAACGATTCGGTCGTCTCGTTTTACGTTTCAGGTTATACGCACGGTAACCTCCAAAACGTACATGCTGTCGTTGCAAAGGATCTACGAACTTTATACTTACTGTACGTCGGCCGTGTGATCCAGATCTGTAAAGAGAAACGTTTATAATCGATTAGTTTGATTTACTTTGTAAAACGAGTCGTAAAACTCGGAGTAAATATCGGAGACGTTACGATCACACGTGTAGAAAAATGGAGGCCGGCACAGAGGCACGTCGGCTACCGTAAATTCTTATTCTAATTCGATTCAAGTGTCCTCTTCGCGAATTCAGAGCGTTGCACCACGCACGATACGATATGATTAACTTACATTCGTATTTAATCGGAGGTAACACAAAATCTTCGTCGGTCAGAGCGTCCATGATTGCGTACAGCTGATTTCACGTACGTGAATAACCGATCAGCTGATTCTGTGAAGGTTTAATCAATGGTGGTCTGGACTGACGTGCACCGGAGTTGTACTACGTAGATGGCGTTACGTAGTAGGGTGGTTTGAAACTTGTGTACCGATCGGGAACAGTCGGTAAATACAAATTTTATAAAAAAGAGAATAAAATTAGAAAGTGAAATCACAGACCAAGTATACAAGTAAATTTTACATCCAACGTATTTTTTCGGCCTATTTTTATGGGGCTCTAGAACCCCATTACCATTTTGGTGGTGCTCGCGACATTACCAACAAGTTACACGAATGAACACAAGAGGAAGTGAGATAGAAAATTAAATTACAGAAATTTTATTGTTTTTTTAACGGAATGTTTATATCTAACACTTATATACACGCACGAAATTTTGGGGAACCATTTCTGGCCATACGTTATATTTTCGGTAAAGAATTTTTTTTCTCGAAAATGCGTAGGATTTCGGAGGTGTGTCTATTCACAAAAAATGATCGTAATTGACCCCTGCGACTAAAAATAATTTTTTTAAAATGATTTGAAATTCTTTTTTTCGCCACGAAACTCCATAAGTCGTAAGGTCTGCTCGTACACGTTGCCTGTGGTTGCACTTGCATCGCTCCCTACCGAATGCAGGTCACTGGAGTGTTTACAAATCGCTATGCAAGAGTACGCGCCAACGAACACAGATTTCGAACTTGTGTCATTTACGCGCGTTAACTTTCCTGATAGCAGCAATCGCCGTCCAGTGAGCGGTGAACCGCATAAGCTGGCTGCAAATGCTAATCGAGAGACCTACATATTTTTCTTCTGAACGAGCACGAGATGCAAAGCTACTCGTGTTTAAAAAAAAACAGAAACTCAGACTGGAAAATGAGGCCTGTTACGATTAAACGTTTTATAGAATTCTCGTCTTTGGCGTAACGTGTTACGAAACATTTACAGGGTCTTGAGGAATCTGAAATACATAATTATTCGCTCTGGAGACGATGGAACTGTTTTAACAATCTTTCAGAAAAGCAACTGACTCGCTTGAAAAAGCTTAAAATTGTTGTTACGCGGGAGCAACAACCGACAACTCGTTCACCGATTTCACGTATGCCCGGGTAATAGGATTCAGTTCACTTTTAGTTTTGTCCAGTAACGCGCGTACAAAATATTTTATCGTTCGAACGGCGTAAAATGCATTCGAATGCACAGATGCATCTTCTTGCTTGAAACTTACAGGACCCCCTCGTTCGAAAAGAAGATTTACGTCTGTACATCCAACGGGGTCTAAGGCGATAGATTCACGAAGGCTTCTAAGCCAGCGATCGTCGAGCTTGAGTCCTTTGTGCGACGATTAACTGTGTCGATCGACTAAACGAGTGAGAGTCGTGCCGATCAAGCATGCATGTAGTACAGTTTCGTTGTCCGTTTTTCTTTGTCAGCCGCGTCTTGATGAAAACTAGTTTCTCGTATCGATGCGATGTGATCCAAGGGCGTCCAGTTCGACGCTTGTAATCCCTGTTACATAAAACTGCGTAGACGGTACCGTAGGAGATTCGTTGGGCATCCCGTCATCTGTTTACAGTATCGTTTTCAACGCTAACGGGTCGTCACGGATACTCGCAAGGTCATCAGGGTCACAGATGCTTGCGTGATTCACGCGCAATCAGGAAGCCACAAGTCGCGGTTCTGTTTTTCGGTCGGCTGCCTTCCGCCACTTTCCGTTTATCCTCCACCTAATCATTATTCTGGCCAACGAAGACTCCATTTCAGCGAACAAAACGAATCCAGAGGTTTTGACATTCGGCAGAGATGTTCATCGAGCCGTAAAATGCCCCGTAAATCGCCGCCATCTTGAAAGGATGAAAAAGTTAGCTATCGTCGAAATTAAATGGTGTTAACATTCTTTGCGCCAAGGATCCATTCATATTTTGAATAACTCAAAGTACTTAAAGTTTCGATACGTCTGCCCTATCGTTTGCAGTGCGCGCAATGTCGAAAACATCGTTTACGTCATCTTCGGAAGCATATTTTTCGAGATCCAAACAAACCTCTAGTTGTAAATATACCAAACTCGTTTCCACATTAACCAATATGTACTTGTTCCCGTGATTACTGTTTTCAATCCGAGTTTAATAACCTACAATACAAATTTTTTAATACCACGTTTCCGGTCCCCTCGCGTCTAATTATTCGACGACGGTTACCTGGAAATTACATCGTTGGATTCGCGCTGGGAATGGAAATTTTGAAACAACGATACGCGAATACGTTCGTTTTTGAGATTAGAGGGCAGGTTTTTCGAGCCACCGCGAGAAAACTAATGTTACAAAAGTGGTAGAAGGTAAACAAGCGTGGAAATTATTCCGATAGCAGTTCTGCGAGCATCTAGACGAGAGGGCACGGGGAGGTAAAGCCCGGGAACGAGGATAGAGCGGCGGCACCAAGCCCGAGATGCCGATGCAGTGACAGAAAAGTCGAGGCGAGATCCGTAGGTCGGTTATGGCAAAGCCTAACAAAAGAAGAGCGCGTAACGCGTTCCCCGGAATTCGCTCCTGGCCGAGTTTTCGCCTAATGCCACCTGGTGCAGCGTGCTGATTCTCGCCTCTCACGTGTTGGCGCGCATTAATGACATGCAATTTTGCAACGTAGCTTTGCCAGGAGTCCTTGGCGCTGGAAACTATATAAACGGACCGCTTATAATTGGCGAGGCTAGCTGGAAGATTTTTAACCGAGCAGGATGTCGTGCCGTACCGTAGCTGTGATCTGTGTTGCTCTCTGTGGTGTTGCCCTGGTCACCGGGGACTATCAGCTTCGTAAGTTCCAACAGGTTGTCCCCTTTGACCCGTCGTTCGATAGCAAACGACCAGCCAGGGTTGCTATTTCTTTGTTCTCGCAGGACGAATCTTCCCAGTCGTTGGACATAGGGTAAATGTTACCATTACTGCGCCAGTAAGCTCCAGTTACGTTTTAATATCTTTCGATATCGTCTATCGTTTCGTTAACTCTTGCGTGACAAGTTGATAGACGCTTTGGTTGCCCGTGAGTTGCCAAATTTGGTACTTTGAACCGTCTCCCTCCTCTCGACTATCGGGCATTCGTTTCGTGGTAACAGACAGAACGTTGCAAGGAGTTCAAGAGTTTTTGTTGTCGGTTCTAACGAACCAGCGAGTTAGAAAGTCCGGCGTGGGACGCGCGATCGCGAAGGTGGCTCGAATTTTCGCGAAATCTGTTGATCGCCGTTCGCTGGACGCTGAAAATGTTCTCGTCGGCAACGGGTTACGTTCTTCCATCGCTAGGAACGATTCCGTTGGCCCCGTTTCTGAATAAATTTTCCTACGCATTGCAGGGAGCGTAGTGCTAGCTAAGTAACCTATGCACGTTTTCTTTTTCTTGTTTAGCGGCGAGCGTGAAAACATGCAAAAAGGACTCCGAAGACTTTTCATCGTGCTTGAGACTTGCCATTCAGGAAGCATGGCCCACGATCGTCCAAGGTATGTCATTGTTTCGGTATCTTGTCCCGCGATGCGCTAATCGCAGCATCGGCTTCCCTTAGAAAGCAACAAAGTTTTAGAACAAGTTTAAACAAATATTTCTCTGTACATCGAAACAGGTCTGCCCGAGTTCGAATTGCCACCCTTGGATCCATACCTCACCGAGACGTACGATACCAATTATGAAAATGGCCAACTGCGTGGCCAGTTGAGCGCCAAGAACGTCCGAACCTACGGTCTCGCCAAAGCTCGTTTCCTGTCCGTAAAACCGGAAATCGCCGACGATTTCTTCCGCTTGGAAATCGATCTCGATTTACCAAAGATTTTCATCGACGGCGATTACAAAGCTGCGGGATCTCTGGGCTCTTTCAAAGTGGGCGGCGAAGGTACGCAATTGCACATTCCGAAACAGATTCGATTCCGCGAGCAACACGATTTTTATTTCTGCTCGACAGGAGTCTTCAACATCAGCATGGAGGACGTGAGATGCACGTGGGACATTTCAGGGCACGTAGCCGACGATAGATGGAAAGTCGAACACTTTATACTGACGCCTGTAATCGGAACCATGAAAATCTGGTTCAGCGATCTATTCAACGGAAACGAGGAAATGAGTAAGTAGATCGATACAGTACGGTCTTAAAATCGATACTCGACGTCTAAATTATCCTAAACTTTGGCCGTATTAAAATCAAATTACTTTGATTCTCTAATAAAAGACCGCGATAGGATGCAAGCAGGAAGAATAGACGAACGAACGATGTCACTTTGACATCCTATCGTTGCATAATATTATGTCGTTGCGAGTGCATAGAGTTTATAGCGTTTCGAGGGAACGCACGATGCTTAATTAGCATGCAATTGATATATACTCTTCTGTTATTTGCTCATCGTCATACTTTTGCCTTTGTAACATCATTCATTTCTCCGATTGTAATACCGTCCGGCTATTACGTGATTTCTTACTGAATACGACGCTGTTATTGTTGAATTTTACGTTATCGGACACATTAACAAGCGCTTTTTTTTTTATTATTACGCTATCGTTGAGTAACAGGACTTTGTCCACGACTTGCCTCGTTATTGCGACTCGATTCACGACGATTATGGTCTTCCTGTGTGTTACGTACCCGCTTCTTTAATCTTATTTGTTTAAATAACGGGCACTCGAAGTAACGGAGATAAAACTATTTTCAGACCGTGCCGCCATGCTCTTCGTCAACGAATATTGGCCAGTGGTGTACCGTGGCATGCTACCAAAAATGATGGAAGCGTGGGACGTGTATCTCACCGAAGTAGTGAATCGTTTCTTCTCCAAGATATCGTTCTCTACGGTCTTCCCTTGAGACACCCTAAATCTATAGCAAATAATTAGAAGCGAATCGAAGAAGGGACGGATGAGAGATGGAGCTGGAGCAAACGGAACCGATGGATATACTTAAGATTTTACAACGCGAGCGATACCAGTGATGCTCGAAAGTACCGATTTTTGCATTTAAACGATGTGGTTATCGAGACAATTTTAACAAACAGAGCTGAAGAGCAATGCTCGCTGTTATCGAATGAAATCAGTCAGTGGATGTAAATAAACCAATACCAAATACTAATTCGTTACGATCATTTTCTATCGCGAACTCGTTTACCGATACTTTAGGGCCGAACGATTAAAAGTTTACTCTTACTGACGATTTACGAGCTTATAAATATATACATATATATTCTCCTAGAAAGAAATCCAATAGATCCGTGAATTTCGCTACAACTACACTTTGTATTGATACCGCCTCGCCGTTAAACTTATCATTATCGATACAACCCACATTGCGATCCATTAGTGCGTTACGACTCTATTTACAACGTAGATTGTTCTAATTCTAACAGCTTAGATTTGTACGCGACCGATGCACGCTTCGTTAGAAGAGCCGAGGATATCGGTAATCGCGGTAACAACGAATAGAAAGAAATACGTTCAAGGTAGCAGGAATACTTCGACCGGCACGTGACGTAACAATTGATTGACGATGCCAGCGAAAAGTACGGACAGCTTCCTTTTCAGTTGAGGTTCCATCACCTTTAGCACTTCCTGTCCGTTCTCCCGCAAAAACAGGTTGGTTGCCTCGGCTGCAACAATATTTACAATCCTCAACTTTCCCGCCATTTATTTTTGCCCGTCGAAACCACGGACAGAACTTTATCTTTTGAGAGGATTATTTTACATATCACCTAGATCCTAGCTACTCACTGAGTATCCGATTGTTGTTAAAGATTCTACGGACCCTCATTTGCACGTTTTTCACATCCAGAACGACGTCGAGATTCTCGACGTTCAGGTACGTCTTCTCGTCCTTGGTTTTCGTGGAGACAGTGCCCTTAACCAGAGCTTTCACGTCGTCGAAACGAGCGTGAAACGTTCCGTTGCCGCTGGCTGGTAGAATGATCAACACCCCTGAACTGACATATTAAATAGAAGCGAATAACGGTATTTTTGTTAAAAATAAGGACTTTGCTGTAATCAGAAAACAAATAACTTCCACTTTGCGAGACTCTCTTTACGCAAATTAAATTCTAATCGCGAACGATCGACCGAACGGAGGAATCTGTTGTACTCGTTGGAGCAGCGAAGCGTTCGATTTCGAGAAGAATGCCAAGTTGCCCCAATTCTCAACAGACAAATGGCGAAAGCAAACCTGGAATAATGCGCGTCCAAGATAAGGGCTGGCATTCGAATAATAGCGTCGAAGGGTGAGCCGAGTTTGATGTCCTCGACGGTGTAGTTGCTCGCTCCCTTTACGAACAGTTCGCGTAGCTGGACCTTGTAACCGTTTACACCACCTGTCAGGGACAGAGTCAGCTCGTCCATCTGTTGGGAGAACCATAGTTTGTAAATACGTCAAGCGAATGCGTCAAACGGACCTCGATAATCTTCTCTATTAAAATCGTATTAAAACAGAGTTTCGTAACGATTCAACGATTTAATCGGTCTCCTCGAGGAGGCAAAAACTATCGACCAGTAGATTGCGGGATGAAGAAAACTTACGCGAAACGGTTCGACCGAGGGCAGCTCGATTTCCGGTATTCCGACTCTCAAGTATGGTCTGAGATGATGCAGGGCACCGATCAGGCAAGCTTTTAGCTGCGGATCGCTCCTCGAACACTGTTTCACGTATTCGGCTGGAATCATGCAAAGTACATTAACGTCGATAATCCGTACTCCGTTTAAAACTGATAAAATTAGAGAGGAATGCTTGCTGGAAAGAACGCGGTCGCGGAGTCGGAGGCCGATATGAAGCAAGCGGAAACCGTGAGCCGTTCTCGCGATAAAATAGTTGCAAAGCAGCTTGTTGCTCGGAACAGCGCATTGTGAAATTCTAATGAAATTTCTTAGGATCACCCGTACGACCTCCTTACCTGTTATAGCACATTTATGTAACGATCCTTAAGTTTTCAACCAGCGAAAATTTCTGTGTCCAACTTTCATCCCCGATAGGGTCGCGACAACGATCAATCAAACCGTGACTATATAAATCGGTGTTAAAATAAAATAAAATTCCTTCGCGCGTAACCAAGCTGGCGTAATGTAACTCCTGATCGGACTTTCACCCGAAAATTTTCCAGAATCGCGTCCAAGGAAAGGTGGCGGACGGGAAGCGATCGCGTAAGCGACAAAAAGTCAAAGTTACTCACGGTTCGAATCGACGGAGAGAGTGGTCGAGTCACCCACGACCAGCAACAGGAGAAACAGCGTCGAACCGATCATCGTTGCTCGGTGTTAATCGGCTGGATGTAGGGATCTGTCCGTCGATGGTGTTTTGCGGAAGGGTCCGTGGTCACCTGGACTCTGAGCACGATCCTCGTCTCGTACTCGAGGCGAACACCGACGACGAGGGACTTTCGACGATCGGGCTTCAAATCGTTGGTTCCCGGCTAAACGGCACCGCTAGACCAAGACTGACTATGCAAGAGGGCATTGACAGATGCCGGATCGTAACTGCACGCGGATACTTTCACTGCTGCAACGTGCACCTGCGCCTTCTTCGTCAGCAACGATAGACGAGTCCCGCTTAGGCCAGGTTAGACCCGTCGAAAGTACCCTAGATACTCTTCGATCTTTTCTAATCTCGCCGCTATCCACGTCGAACTGGAAAGCTGCTCCTTGGAATTCCTCTCCCCGCGTGCTGGGCCCTCCGCGAAACAAGTATTTTTATCCCAAACCTCCTTCTAACGCCTTTTTGCTTATCCCCGCGAACCTTTCGACTCCCGACGATCGTAACGATCTACGTAACTTGGAAAATTTTAATCGTCCACGAGAAATTACGACATCTGTCAAGCGCTCGATCGAAGCACTCGTATTAACGATCGCGTGTCGGTAAAAGTTCATAGATCAAATTATTCATCTTCCAAGATCGGAAAATGCGATGTTTAATGCACGACAATGACGAAGAGTAAATTTTCAATTTTGCATAATAAATCGCGCGGTTTTCTACGTTTGGTTCTAAAGTGGAAGAAAAATGAAAGTGACCGGTTTCTATAAATCTGATACTGCACAATTGCTAACGAAATGAATATCTCAATTATTTTACACGCGTACAAAAACGGAGTAAAACGAGTCGCTCCGTTCCGCAAAAAGGTACGACTTTCTAAAAGAATTTAGACTGATTACCGTCGAAGGAGAATGGGGAAAATAACAAAAATCAACGGTGAATCGTTACGAACGATGTTGCAATTTCTAGTTGAGAGTACTGTTCAGGTACAAGATGATAGGATAACACCGAATAATTGCTATTGTGTGACGTTTCTGAAAATCCACTGATGGGATAATTCCCGATAAACTGTAATTAAGGTTGCAGCATTGTACGCGTTACGTGCGATTGCGTTTCACAAGCGACCGACTATAAAAAGGTTAAAGAGGATGCGTTACGCGCGGACACTCGAACAAGGAATATTTTCACCCAAAGGTACGAGTAAAATGGGATCGAAGGACGTCCGGTATCGTAAATTTCGTGAATTTTTACTGGTCAGAGCCAACTCCCACTCTCTGCTTTTCCTGGCATCGAGAGAAAGCGTGAACGATCCTTCTATCGACCAGACTTGTCAAGGAAACCAAAAAGTATCAGACTTTTCTTGGACCAAGTAACAAAATATTAAATCGAGCAAACCCAGCTAGAGAGATCGAAAGTTCTTTGATAAATAACGATAACTACTTAAGCTAATAATTTTATTCGGAATAAAATATTTATTTTCTACCAATATACCGAGTTTCTTTCCAAAAAACCCATACGTTTCGTTCGACAGCGAGATGATCGATAAAGATTCGATCACGCAACACACGAGACCGTCGAGGTCGCGATAGCAAAAGAGAGGAGGTAAAAGAGGACATAGCCGGCGGACAATTGTCCCTGACCTGCCAAAATTCTCGAAAACGATTATAGCGAATCGATCTTTTACAGAATTAACGATTAAACGAACGATCGTGATTTACAGCGAACTACAATTACTTTTAAAGAAAGAAAGGGCAATAGCGATACTAAAATATAATAATAAAATGTGGAAACTCACCAGTTTAAAACAAAATAAAATAATTGTTCCGCGACGTTCGTCCTGGAAGAAGAGATACACACTTTATTCGAAGAATTCTACCTAATTCTGGTCTAAATTGAAAACACGATCTGTGTTGTTACGCACCTCGCGGCTGTAGAACGAAGAGTGTCACAGCTTCAACGAGTTCTCGTCCTCGATCGTGTCCTCGAAGGCGTCCAACGTGGAACCGTTTCGAAAAGGGTTATTGCTGCATTATCGACGAATCAGAACGCAACATTTTCGCGTCTTGCTTCGTGATTAGTAGACGTTCCCTTTTTTTCTCTCCTTCCATGCAACTTGGACATATTTTGGCGAAATGTAACCTGGAAAGTAGCCGGCGATTAGAATGTTTTCAATTTTATTTAGATTATTTCAGAGTGTATTTAAATTTTTTTATCGCGTATCGAGAAGCTTGCAATGTTTTTACACCGCTGTGAGCCTGGTTGCCTGCTCGAAGGCGCAGGTGAATTCACGGTCTTCCAGCGGAGGATGACGACCGACTTTCACGTTTTATTTAATAATTTGACGTAATAAATATTACGCTAAAAGGTTCGTGCAGTTTTCCACGTGCAAATAGACAATAATTCTTCTATGGTAGATTGTTTATACATATTATCGACGTTGAGTTGAGAACTCGGTCCTAGAAAATGGTCTCTCTAGATTACGAAGACCATAACGTTGTAATCAACAAGTTAATTATCTTGCAAAGATTATCAAATTACTTTGAAATATCTGTGAGATGCGACGATGATCATTTTTAGCATTTACATAGTTTTGTACGAATTGTCGACAATCAGTCGGTATAAAAATCATCAAAATACAATATTGTATAATTCCAATATATTGTGTAACCAACTTTCGCTACGAAAGAGTTACGAAGCGTTTGCACACGCGTGGTGCTAAATGCGAGGAAGAAAAATGAAATCGTTTTGAAAATATATTGGATTTTACTGTAGTTTCTTGTTCCATTGATGCACGACCCTATTCTTTGTATTAGTTTTCAAGCTTTTGCTTGATTTGAAATAAAATTGGCACGACTCGTTTCGCCCATACATCGAACGCGATCCGATGGATGTTTCAAAATATTCAGGGTCCTCCTTATGGACTTTGCCCATCGTATCTATCGGTCACGTAATAAATTTAATTAGGAAATATCGAAATGTCCGATTAATTCCCAGAAATATAATTGTACGAAATAGGGGATTCGAAGAACACACGATAACGTCGTACGTCCGCTATGCAAATCGGTTGGGAAATTCCCAAGATCGTTTATCGATAGATGCAATAGCCAAAGAAGAGGAAACGACGCGTTGTATCGACTAAAAATGCATTCAAGGACATTTCGTGGACAGGAAAAAATCCTTCCCCAATAGAGATCCGAACGTTGGTCTTAGCGGTGCAGAAATGTGTCTCTGTGATTCGTAGGGATTTTTGCGCGATCCAAGCCGAGGTTAAAGCTCCGAGGAAGCAGGAAACGCGATTACGTTCGAAAGAGAGGAAAATCGGGCAACAGAACCGCCGGTGAAAATAATCGATCTCGTCCAATCGCAGGCTGGTTTCACCGATCGCGGTTCCCGCGGGCACGAGCGGGAATTATGTAAGGTCGTCCGAAAATTCTGGCACAGGAACGGCACGCTGGTAACCCTTCTCTCAGATGCACGTTCGAGAGTGAAAGCGTAAGCATCGGACGCGTGGTTCACCTTTAGCTGGATCTTACACCGCGTGGTCGCGAGTTATCCCGACGTTATCGATCATAGCGTGGAAAGATGCAACCGACGATCGCCGTCTCCGTGGCCCTGATCCTCCTGGTCGCGTCCTCCATCGCGGAATTCGGTAAGAGAACCACCGATTAACGCCCGGAACGCTCCACTTTCGTCCAACTGCCATAACGAGCGGCTTGTTTCTCGTAACTGGCGTGCAAAGGGACCTTGGGCTACCGATCGCAAGTATTCACTTTCGATTCGTACCCGTTCGATCGGTTTAACCCTAATTCTACAGTGGCTTTTGATCGTGTACCGAGTTTCGCTAACTCCGGAGTCTGCGTCGATTTATTCGCAGATTCCACGGTGACTCGATCTTGGCACGCGACCCTAAGTCGGGGAGGGATCGGGGTTGAATCGGTGTCAAGTTTGTTCCAACGAGTGCCACGTGATTTACCAGGAATTTCCAGTGATTTTAGTGTTTTGGTGATCCATAGCTTCGATAATTAATTTTAATTAATTGATTAATATAACCAGAAAATCCCAAGGGATATAAAGCATCGTAGCAAAACTGAAAAGTGCAGTTTCATTCTCTCTGTCTCAGAGTCTCTTCCTACTCGTCGTCTCTATCATTGTTTTACAAGGATTTGCAATCATGTTCGCGGATGGCTTAATGGGATTTCTTTCCAAGAGGAATGCAGTAAAAAGGATCATAGTATATTTTCTTCGAGCTTCTAGCTATACTCTGCGATAATACGTTTTCCTTTCAATGACAAACCGATTGTCTTTACACGGTAACAATCGGTTTCTTTTGTTTTTCTATCTTTTATATATTCTATTATTACATGGAAAACCTTTACACGGTGACACCATACTTCGGTTAACGTTGCACTTTTCTTTCAAGGATGTTCCAGAATGCAATTGACGCATGCTGACAACTGTAAATGGTAACCTTACTCGATGTGCCTAATCTAGTTCTCCTTAAATGGAGTTTCAGATACATTGACGCGTTTTATTTTATATTTCTAAAATATTTTCAGTCACCAGAGTCGTACAAATTCAATTTAAACGCGTCGAATTTTCGTCTCGAGGCTGAAGCAACACTTTCTACAAAGGCAATTAATGCGAAGGATTAAATCTGTTGGAATTACGTGTCACCGTGATGAAATCGGTCAGAGACCGCCTCGTCTCGGACGAAAGTGACGACAGACTTTCTTTCGTTTCAGAGGACCACTTCGAAAATTGCCATCCGAACGTGGCTGGATTCGATGGATGTGTTCGAAAAGCCTTGAACGAGATTCGACCGTATTTTAAAACCGGACTGGTCAAGTACGACGTGCTTCCGTTCGATCCATTTTTTGCTAGGGAAGTGACGGTGAAGCGGGGAATGCCGAATTTTGGCTTCACTTTGACGCTGAGAAACGTCACCGAGAGTGGATGGTCCGCCAGCAAAGTGACGAAATTCGTCAGTGATCTGCCACACTACAAGGTAATCTCTATCTATACACGCGTCTACACATTTTCATACCTAATCGAGAGTGGGGGAATAAAAGCTGTCGATGACAATCTACCCACGCACTGCCCTCGCTATAATTTCGCCCACGTTGCTCAAACTGTTTATGCTTCGATTTCAGATTGTTTACACTCAGAGTTTCCCGGAGAAATTCCTAGACGGTTCTTACGAATTCAACGGATCCGTGTTTGCGTCGTCGATGAAGAACAAGGGAAGATTTACTTTAGCCCTGTGTAAGTGTACAAAGACTTTGAAGTTGCAGAGTATTTGATATCGTCTGGAGAACATTATTTTTTAACGGATCATCGAATAGAAACGTTAGAATTTATCCATTCTCGTTCCAGACGATCTCATTCAGACAACCACGGTCACCAAGCTACCAGGAGAGAAGATCCAAGTGAGCGTCGACGTGCAAACGATCAGGGATTTGAAACTTCACATCACGAACCTGCTCTTTGGCCGACAAATACTCGAGGATCTCCTCGACAGGATAATAAACGGCGCTTGGCAACCAGGATTCGTAATGACCAGGCGTTTAATCAACGATTTGGTCTCTACGGCGTTCACGGAAATATTCGAGAAAGCTTTCCATAATTTTCCGTTCGACAAAATCGTCAGATCGGTGTAAATCGAAAACGAATCGCGAGCTGCGTATGCATTGTGCTTCGTTAAATAGTATTAATGACGGAAGAAGAAATACGTGTGATATAGGGGCTAGTATACGCAATAATACTATTAACGCTAGATTTTAGAAATTTCATAGAAATACATATACAGACAATGTCCGTAAATCTAGTGTCAAAGTCTACTTAAGAATCGAAATAATTTAGAATATTATAGGTAGAATAATTCAAAGTAATTTTCAGTTCATTAGCACAGTTAATATTTAATAGTTTCTCACTTCAATTTGAAGATTGAAAAGTGTTGAGACGCGTGATTCGTATTCGAACCGAAAGTATGTTACGATCTGCCAGTGTTCCTTTCGCGGATTCATGCAGACGTAAGTACTTCGCTTTAATAACGACTCTTGGCTGTCTTTGATCGATCATTTCCTCGAGCTATCATCGACCGATCTTTTCTTCGATCAGAAAAGTTCTAATCGGTTACGCGATTACCAGTTTTCCGTAGAATGGAAAATTCCATTCTCGGATGTTACAATAAAAGAAATTTTAACCTTTAAAAGTAACGTCTCAGGTTTTCCCGTACCTTGAACCGTTAAATAATTATTTCACGCGTCCGATATCCTAGGGACATCCTGTATGACGAAGCCAGGAGAGCAGAAGAAGCTTTCTTCTTCCGTCAGACTAGCTGCTTGCCTTGAGAAATGGACGGTCTTTGACCTCGCATTCTCATGGTGTACGAGCATGGTGTATCAACATCCGTGCGTCGATTCTTCTCGAGCGGAGTCTATAGATCACTCGTAACGATTTATGCGTCCAAGGATTCACTCCAGCGACCGGAAATCTGAAAATCATGCGGACGTGTTACCGTTGTGCCAATTTATCAAACAGCAAGCTTACGATACGATTTACGAGTCTTTTGGTCTCCTCGATAAACGAAAACTATTACGCTAAACGCGATCGTAATGCGAAGGCATTACCGTTTCATTTCCCATAATGTCCGATCGTGGCTAAAATCGACCGTAATCGTGACGAGTTACGATGTTCGTTAACGGTGCTTAGCATTCCTCGCTGAACCCGTCTACTTACGGTGACGTCCACGCTCTGACGTACGCTTACTTTCGATCTACCTGTTGCAAATATTTTATCGCTGATTATCTCGAATATTAGGAACCGCCATATTTAATCACCTTCCATGCTGTAACTACTGTCCACATTTTCGATCTTGCACTATCACCGCTCGAAAGTTTGATGAACCGTGATAGATCACTACGTTACTATTTTATTATTCCGTAGATTTTGAATTGTTATTTTTCGCTTTTCTTTCTCTATTGCATCGTTAAGAAATCAAACGAATGGGATTCTTGGCTTAGAATTAATTTTAAAAATTAATTTGCGAATAAACGTGTGCTAGATCGTGTAAAAGGGGCGTGAAAAATGGTCAGGAAAGGGGAATAAAATGGTCCGAGGCGCGTATCTGGCCGGATGAGCGCGATCCACGGCCGGATGCGTGCACTCCCTCGGTCTCGTCCTGTTCTTCGTGTTCTTCGGGCTCGAAGGCATAGCGGGGGCAATGTCAAGGTGCTATAAGGCCAGGCGCATCCCTGCTGGCCGGTCATTCCACGCGAAGAAATTCGATCGACTCGTGCCGGACGCCGAACAGAAAATACCGGTCTTCTTCGAGCATCATCTGGGTCTGGATCAGCGATCGCGATCGACGATGACGAGGTACAGCCTGCTCGTGTGCGCGTGTGCGTTCCTGCTCGGCGTCCAGGCGATCGGCAGGTACCAGGGCCTGGAGTTTTTGGAACCTTGCTCCAGAAGGGATCGTAACATCGAGAGTTGCCTAGCGAGGTCCGCCAACGCCCTCACCGAACATTTCCGTCACGGTGAGAAATTAGAACAAACAGTAATAATTCTGATACGGTCCTATATCCGAGTGCATTTGTTTTGCCAAACGATCAATCCACAGAACAGACGCGAAACTGTTTCAGAACCGGTAAGAATAAGTTATGGAATCTTTGCTAGCTACGGGTCCTCGAATAATTAATTTGCCGGGCAAGATAAAAAAAATACAGCCGCGATAGTTTGGATTCGATGCTCGAGGAAAGTGCCGTGACAGTTATTTCCAGTCGCATCGACGGTACACGATATAGTACACGTTTGTTCGAAAGCAGCGGTCCCATTTTCTAAAAGTGGAATTCGAGCGTAAAACTTGTCGCGTGCTCGCGAGAAGAAAAATACGGAAGTCGAAAGTCGAGAATTACCGATTCCCCGGGGACCACGTGGTACCGTGGAGGAAATAAAAAAAAAAAAAGGAAAAAGAAGTTTCGCTGGAAAGAAGCAGGTTATAACGGTGTATTCGAATGGTCACCCAGTGTCCTACATTCCTCGCGCTCTACAAGACGAGCCTGACGGAATAGGTTCGCTGCTCCGACGCGTCTTGAATAAAACATCGAAACCGTGTGACCCTCAAGGGCCTAGCTTCGTACCTTTTCGCTATTCCGAGAACGGTATCGAATCCACGACTTGCAAGTGCGAAAATAACAAAATTATCCTACAAAGTATGAACCAAAATAATCGTAAAGTCTAATGAAAATTTCGGAGGAATGATGTACGGTTTTTTAGCTGGTAATTAATGGAATTTATTCGCGATTCTGGTAGGTTTGCCACAGTTAGGCTATCCAGAAGTGGAACCGATCATCCTGGACGAGCTGCACATAGCTCTGGGCGGAGGGCCCGATGGTTACAGGGCCCAATTCAAGGACGTTGCCGCGAAAGGAGTCTCGTCTTTAAGAGTGACCGGGCTGAGGGCCAGGTTATCCGAGGATGAGGTGCAATTGCAACTGGCCCTGAGCATTCCTAAAATAAGAGCTGCGGCCAAGTACAGGTCGAGCGGGACTCTGATCCTCGTGAAAGCCAGCGGTGCTGGGGACTATTGGGGCGAATACGGTGAGAAATTGCAACTATTACAACCACGACGCCTCTCTATCGCTAAACTTTTACATTTAAACCGACCGTAAACGTCACGCTTTACTCAAACATCGGTAAATCCTTGAATAATTGCGGAATGGTCCTAAATGGGTCACTATACGATTGCCAGTAAAAGTCAAGCTTTTCACCGAAACGTATTACTGGGTTAATCGCGAAATTAGATATTAGTCGGTTCTGTGCCGTGAACAGAGATCTCTAATTATGATTCGAAAGATAGTAGAACGTTGTATTGTAACATCGCAGAGTGAAAAGGCTTAGGTAAAAGTCAAGAGCGTCGTCGACTTTCTCCACCAACGCGATGCAAATTTGTTTTCAAAACCTTTTTGCGTCTCTCGAAGCTGTAAAGAAATAAACTCTCGAACGATAGAAGTTTCTTTTAAATCGTTGCAAAGTAAATTCGCAATCAGACACGAATGTACTCGCTTTGAAATATTGCTGGCAGAGTTTGAGAAAAAAAATTGACGAGGAAAGGCCTCGTTTTCGAGTCAGAGACCAGTAGATCCTGTCGAAGCAAGTTCGATAATGCTGGATTTAGCGTCGCTATTATCGGCGACGCTCGTTAAAAGAGACGAAGTCAGGTTTTTGAGGAATTTAAATCAGGGTGAAAGTCCAAGGCCCTATAACGGAGTTGTGTTTACGTCAATCGTCGTCTTGAGAGGTACCGTACCTGTTTTCACGGAGACGGTACCATTGACCTCTAATAACTTCGCCTTGCAGCCTGCAACCGGATTTACAACGTACTTCGCCGGTATTAGCGTTGCAGATTAGGTTAAAACTAAACATTTTCGACTCTCGCGAAACTCGATCCGAGAAAAATAAGAAAGAGCCATCGTCCGTCCACGACGTGCGCGATTTACATTTAAGCGTTGTAAACTTTCGTGCACGTTTTCAAAATTAAAATGAATTTTATTTTTTGACCGATCGCAGAGGGCGTCAAGGCCAAAGTTTTTATCAGAGCGAAGCCGTTTCTGATACAGGGTCGTCGTTACTTGAGATTGCAACAGCTCAAGATGGACTTCAGCGTGCAAAACATCAGAATGGGAGTCGAAAACGTTCGCGACAGCAACGCTATAATACGTAAGTGCATTCTACCTCGAGTAAAAAAACGAGAGACACTGGTTCTTTGTACAATGTAAAAACAGCAAAGTATATATTGTTCCGCGAAAGACTAAGAGGAAACTCATGAATATGGTTTAAAATATTTACGAGGTAGTATTACGAATCAAAGATCATGTAAGATTAACGACATTTTTTTACTTTTAGTTGCCGCGCTGAACCTGTTCATAAATACCAATAGTCAGGAATTGCTGAAGGAAATGAAACCGGATCTTAGGCGGAAATTGGTCCAAGTCATGACAACCTTCGTCGAGAAGATCTTTGCTCAAGTACCATACGACGCCTGGATAATGGATTAAATTAACCAGAGTGGCGTCTAATACGTTAATGGTTTTACATTGTTTCATTCTCATCGGTTAAACATTTGCCTCGACGCGGAACACGAAAGGATAAAGGGTTTAAATAATAAGAGTTCGCCGCCATTTTTCTTTTGTTTTAAAATTAGATTAAACTGGATAAATAGGTATACAGGGTGTTCGGCCACCCATGGGAAACATTTTAATAGGAGATTCTAGGGGCCAAAATAAGACGAAAATCAAGAATACCAATTTGTTGATGGAGGCTTCGTTAAAAAGTTATTAACAATTAAATTCAAAAATTTCAAATCGTTCTGGAAAAATTATTTTCAATTGCAGGGGTCGATTACAATCATTTTTGGTCATTACATGTACCCCCGAAATCCTACGCATTTTCGAGAAAAAAATTCCTCACCGAAAATCTAACGCGTGGCCAGAAATGTTTGCCCGAATTTTCATGCGAATCTTTAAAACATCATAACTTCTGAACGAATTGGAGGATTTTAATGTTTAAAAAAGCAAACGACGCGTATTTTAATGGAGAATACGTAGAAATCACAAAAATATTGGAAAAGTTGTTCCTTGACCCCGTAAAGTAAGAAAAACCCCATAAAAATGGACCAATCTTCAAACAGCCATAACTCCTATAATAGTGAATATATTTCAATGAAACTTTTTTCTGAAGTAGAGCTCATGGATACCTACAAAAAAGTATTAAACAACTTTTCTGTAGGGCGTCAAACAAAATTACTAAAAATGAAAAACGAATTTCTAAGAAAAATCGAAAGGGGGTAGGTGCCTAAATTTCTCGACGAAAAAAAATATTTTCAAATCACACTAAAAAAAATATCTTTGGTTCCGGGGGTCGATTACAATCACTTTTGGTGAATAGACATACCCTCGAAATCCTACGCACTTTCGAGAAAAAAATTCGAAAAGGTAGACAAATTTTTCGACGAAATTGAAAAGTTTCAAATCGTTGTAAAAAAATTATATTTAGTTGGAGGGGTCAATTACGATCATTTTTGGTGAATAGACGTACCTCCAAAATCCTGCGCATTTTCGAGAAAAAAATTCAGTACGGGCGGAACTTTAAACGTTAATAACTTTTTAACGAAGCTCGCATCAACAAATTGGTGTTCTTGATTTTTGGTTTAGTTTGGCCTCTAGAATCCCCAATTAAAACACCCTGTATATTTAATTCGAAGACGCGCGATATTGCATCGAAAGACGAGGGAAACAATAGAAATAAGTTTTATCTACACGTTTAGCTGCCTCTTAGATGTATAGTTACTCCATTATTTAAATAACTAGTACACCAATCTTACGATTAACTCAACTGACAGCGTGTATCGATACGAAACACTCGGGAGTGATTAGTTTTACTTTCATCTAACATAATAATATTTATATCGTGCAGTAGTTTTACCCATGTTGCGAATGTAAAAATGTGTCTATGATGTTTCTGAATCGATGTGTGATAGCCGAGTGATCGATCAGTAGTTTTAAAGTAGCCGCGTCTATCGTTGAATGAACATTCATTTAAATTCTTCCGAGTTTGTCTACTCGTTGCACGATTATGACTAATTGAAGAACGAGAAAGAAGCAAGTTGCAACAACGGTTTCTTTCGTTCTTCGATTTATACGGAACATTCGCGACAAAACGTAACGCGTGATTTTTAAATAAGTACGATCGAAACGATTAATATAACTAAAAGTATATTACACTTATTCTTGTAATCATGTAGATATCTGCTCAATTTTTACGTAAATTTTGCTGCGAATCGTACGTTGGATTTTTAAACATACGATTCGTGGTCTAACTTGTTAATTGCAAATAATAGTTACGTTACTACGACTGACGTTACTTGTGGAAGTGTAGCACTTTGCATTAGTAATATTTTTATAGAGTTTGTAATAAACGCAGATAAGATTTACGATAATAAATTTCATACGATCACAAGAAAGACTATGTATTTTGTTATTTCACCATTAATTTCAAGCTAATTATGGGATAAGAGATAAAAAATACATTCGGTGGAAGAGAATAATTACGATCGAAATTAAAAATATGATTGAAGGTTTCGCTGTACGTGACATCTGCAATTTAACAAACGACGTCTGCCATAGTTGAACGTACAGACTTTTCTCGAGAACGGATCACAAACAATTATACGCGAGTTTCCGGAAACTTCAACCTCAAGACGTTTAATTATTCCACATGTCGCTTGCATTTTGTGTATTTTTCTCGACGTTTCTGCATCGGGAATCGCGATTCTTCGGCTAAACTGCCTGAACCGCGGGTATGACGATGCAGTATTCGCGTTCAACGAGGGTCCGTGTGCTCCATTCGAATCAGTGCTCCCTATTTCAACCGTGTACGTAAAATTATGTTCTATGCATCCCAATCCCATCGTGGTGATGTCATTTCACGTGATATTATCACGTTTCCTACCATCAGTCAGTCCTGAAAACCGTCAGCAGACCACGATACGTGTGTAGCAATTTTATTCGATGCATTCTATCATGCGTTCTTCCTATTATGTGTAAATAACATAAGTTTACTGTATTCCAATGTTTCAATTGGACTTTTCCCCCCTAAATCGACGAATTAAAGTCTAAAGAATGGTCTAAACTGAAAATATTCCTCCTCGTTTTAAAAGAGAATCTAATAAACAAATGGGTCGATTAGCTTTTTTCCGAACTAGCAATTAGAAGTAATTGTACACGTGTGGCCGACACAAAGAAAGTAATACGGGGAAGTAGTATGCATAAATAAATATGTCGTGAAAATACTCGACCTCCAGGCGTGATTTAAGAAAAGACTACACGTAGTTATTATAAATAATTCGAATTGAAATTCATTTGCATGGCTCGTAAAACCTTTGGTCGGCTATTTTAAAGGAATTTTACGTATAAAAAGATTCAAAGTTGAAATCATCCATTGTAATTTATGCAATCTTAATTTCAGACGTATACTCGAAACAGGAGGATTTGGTAGGCGAATAAATAATAAGAGTACACGAGAGGGACTTCAGTCCATCCGTGTTTTTTCGACGATTTTTCATGGCTAAGCGATTTCTAGATATAATATACGCGGATCGTAGCCTCCGATACAAATGAATCACCGAAGAACTCTCGTCTTTCGAAGGTGTTGCTAATTATCTCCTCAGTCTATTCAAACCGGTGAAACAGCATCGATTAAATAAATCAATAATTCAATAATCGGTGCAAAAACTTTATCCATATACTATCGAGTGACTAAGGTGGAATCCCGATTTTCTCCATACAAGTTCCAAGAATAAAGAGACGGAAAATCCTCTTAGAAAAACGTGAATTCACCCCTTTTTTGTTTTCAGAAAAGTCTAGCTTTTAATTTCTTCTGGACGAAATAATGCTAATTAAATCGTACTAGGGATTAATGGACACGAGTTACTTAGAGTGGGCACTCTTAGAAGAGTTTCTAAGTGCTACTCGTATCAAGTTTGTGTGTCCACGTGTACTATGCTTAGGCACAAAGAACCGGAGGGATTCGGTGCCTTGACCCTGTCCTTCGAGATTGTCGAATATCGCGAACCATCGCGTCGTTTCGTTTGAAAAAGAAATATATAAAAAGATCTACGTACCGTTGTCGACGGTAAAAAGACGATACGTCTCTGGAATATTAGATAGAACCGATTCTTCCTGTTTCTTAACGAAGGGAATCTGGCAAACCGGGTTCCCTACGACCGCCGATTCCACGAACCTTTCGTGCTCGATTTTTCAATAGTCCCGATGCTATGACGTAGTTTCTTTGTTCTCCGACAGTGCTCCTTTTATAGTCCCACTAAAATGTGATTAAGAAATAGATGAATAAAACTACAGCAAACTGCAAGGTTTCGTGTAAAATTTACCATCGAATGACGTTCCATTCCTCTCAAATAGTCCTGGAACAGAAGAAAATAAAACAGGTTACAAAGGACCGAGTGTTCCTCGAAAATGTCCAATAGATCTTAAATACAGCGACGGGCACACGCACGCATACTCGCGCGATAAACGCATGGCGAACGTTGGCGTGGGACATGTGACTCGATCACATGCTCAGAATTCGAGATTTGTTCCATCTTGTTGATCTGGACGGTCTGGAAGGTATAAAAAAACAATAATCAGAGAGGGGAGAGATGAACAACTATAAGGACTTGGGGCTGACCTCTACTCTATTCATTTCTTCACCGACCATCCTAACATTCGTGGGCGACGTTCTTCCGGTTTCGATCCTCCCGAAGAAGAGATGAAGGTCCTACTGACATTATCGATCGTCGCCACGATCTTCGCCGCTGCATTTGCTCGTGATTTGCGTAAGTGCAATTTTTACACGATCTTTCATTCGCATTCTCAGCATTTCCTTTACACGCATCGAAGTCTCCAATTTACCGTGCATTGATTAACAATGGTGTGAATGAAAACTGAGATTGGTTTTTCAGCCAGCTTTCTTCACGTTTGCAAACGGAACGACCCGAACTTGAGCAACTGCATCAAGAAAAGCGTAGAGAATTTCAAACCGTACTTAATAAATGGACTTCCGGAATACAATATACCTACTTTGGAACCATTATTGTTGGACGAATTGGAGGCTGAACCGGGGAACACTATTAAACTGAGGCTGAAGAACGTTCACGTCTACGGCGCTAGTAATTTCACCGTTTCCAGATTGAAGTGAGTCATAGAAACATTATTATTTAATTTAGAAACGAGTTTATTTAGTAAAATATTTCGTGGCTCGTTTCTTCTGCCCCGGGATTCGTACGCTATTTAAATTTATGCTCCAGACATAGTACTCGCGATCTTCGAGATAGAATTGTGATTGTGCTACCGCGCCAGGAAGTTTGAAATTACGCGTTGTTTCGCGGGTGAGATACGCTCCTCGTATTCTCACTGAATTAGATAATTACAAGCGATATCGGTAATTGGATGTATTTAAGAACGTACATGATTTTTAACAGAATTAAAACCGCAAGAAAATTCACTAATTGTTTAGAAACTGTTAAACTTCAGGTTCTTGAATGTTAGGAATTTCATCAAATATTTCCTGCTGTTTTAATTAAGTCGAAAAATGCGTTCCTCGAAGATATAATTCTACGATCAAAGTAAATTTCCAATTGTATAATCTAACTCCGTTTTACATTTACGAACGTCGTTTTATTTAATTAAACGGACGATTCAAGTACCTTCACGAAAGTGAAGCGCAAGGCAAGGACGTTCCGACTAACCTCGAATCATCGAATAAATTCGAACGTAAAATCAATGTGTACGTAGTGCCTTGACTCTCTTGAATATTCGAGTATGAAATCATAATGTTCGTCGCGTGGTGTCTGTTTCGTCTTCAAAATGGTTTTTGCTTTTGATCAAACAAGTCCCGGCACGAAGGATAAATAAATAAAACGAAATAATCAGCAATTATAATTCGAACGAGGATACTTTCGCGAAAATTTTTCATAAATATGGGAATTCCGTGTACGTATGTAGGGCCCTAAATGTTAATTAATTCATTTCCTTACGTAATTTAAAATTGAAAAATATCAAAGCTAAAGAAATTTGATCGTTTAAGCGGCTCGATAAATAATTCCCGCGCGTTTAAAGCGTATGCAATATAACGAAGCGTAATTGAATTCGAGACGGAGTGGTGATTGATTCCCTGTTCATAAATAGATAAAACGACGGTGATGGCTGAGAAGGAGCCATTTGTATTCCGCGCGTATGCGAAGAAATGGCCATGACACGAACTTCTGAAATACGTGTTAGAAACGCTCGGTATGGCACGCGCGACTAACGAGTCACAAAAAGAACGGGCCTCGAATCGTGCAAGCGAAATATTTCACCGGAACTATTATTCCAATCCCTTCTCCTAAAATAACATTCAACTTTGAATCGATATTTTTTCGTTTCCTTCGCAGGGCCAATACAGACACGTTGCGTTTCGTGGTGGAATTGAACTTCTCGAGCCTTTCTATAGAAAGTGACTACGATATAGATGGAAAAGTGATCCTTCTGCGTATCAAAGGATCAGGTCCGATGACTGGAAACTTTACAAACTGCAAAGGACTCGTCAAGCTTCAGGCACACGTGGTAAAACGAGACGATGGCGCGAATTACGTGGAAATCGTAAACTTCATTACGAAAATCTCGGTGGGCAAGGGACATTTGTTGCTGAAGAATCTGTTCGGCGGTGATCCACTTCTTGGCGAGGCCATAAACGTGGCCATCAACAGTAACTTCGACGATTTCATCAAGGAGCTTCAACCGTCCCTCGAAAGCGCCATATCCAGCACGTTCCTCAAAATCGCGAACAGCATTCTGGGACAATTCACTTACGAAATGCTTTTCCCACTTTCGTAGGGTAGACAATTCAAATGTATGATCGTTCGTTAACCCTTTATGGGCAGCCATTTTGATTCCAACGTCACAGGCATCCTGGATCCTTTGTTCTAATAACATTCGTAGTTCGATTCTTCAATTTTCCGGATTGATTCTGTATGTAGATGAAATGTGTTAATACTTAGGATAAGAATGGTTATTTTTTAATGCTTCGATAATTGTTCTTCGATGATTTGATGTCAGTCGTTTTTACCTTTCGAACAACAATACATTTTTGTGATCAATGCGTGTGTTAATCCAGTAAATGCTGAAGAAACTGTATGTTCCTATGTATGTAAATATCTCGAAGATCGAACCAGGGGTCAGATTCCTGTAACATTTTTGGAAAAGTTCTAATAGTAAGGATAACCGATAAGTAGGTAAGGAAATTTAATACAGACGATGGACATCGATGCGATGGCTAATAAAGTTTAGGTATTAAGTAACAAACGTATTAATATACTTTTATTCGAACAATCACAATCCTAAATTAATAAAGCGAATACATTATTCACAGCACAACCGAAACGATGTCCATAGCTTTTTGTCCACGGTTATAGATTCGTTTCTACAAAATGGTCGATAGATCGAGCACGAAGGATCAGCGTCCCTTTGATCTCGGTTATTCTCGATCGGGGAAGAGCTCGCCGAAAGTGAAATGCTTGCAGATCTTGTTGGCCATTTCGAGGCCCTTCTGGGAAATGGCTTTTTCCAGATTAGGTCTGGTGGCCTCCAATATCTCCCGATGACTGTGGCCCAGCGCCTGGCGGACGGCTTCCTGCAGAATTTTATCGAAGTTCTCCGCCTCGAATTTAACCGTGTAATCCTTCACGTTCAAGTGAGTGGTAATCGACCAGAAGTACACGTACTTCTTTCCGTTCCGTTCAACCAGCTTGAACTCTAGGTGAACTTTCGTATTTACATCCTCTGGAACAGAACATCGCGTTCGTCTATCGATGCAACTTATCGTAGGGTCGAAACAATGAAACGGAAACCATTAAGAGAAATTTTCTAATCCGAGAATTCACCATTCGACGACTCTACTCACTCGTGCTCAAAGTGATCGGACCGTTTCCAAAGATCGGCACCAGGATCCTAGCGTTGACGGTATAATCAGCGTCCATGTGGATCTCATCGAACTGAAGATCGATATCTACCTTTTGCTTCTCGAGATCCACGTGGAGGAAATTCACGTGATAAGGTTGAAGCCCGCGAAGCTTTATGTTTGTTGCCATCGCTTTAAAGTCCGGCGAGTCCGAGATCTGCACTCTATCGATCATCAAAGGATCCACGGGCGGAATATCCAACTCTGGAATACCTTTTCGAAGCTTCGGTGCCAAAGCTTCGACGCTTTTAATCACGCAATCGTCGAGATTCGGGTTCTTCGCTCCGCACACATGGATGTAAGACGCTGACAAATAAATAAAGAGTATAGAAACTACCTAACAACATTGAATTAAAAATAAAACGAGTCAGAAATAATTCCAAGGGGAACGATGCAATTTTAGTTTTTTACAAACCTATTCTTCCTCTACTCCTAAACGAGTCATTTTGAATTCTTTACTGGATTCTATAACTATTTAACATATTTGAATCATCGATGATAATAACGTTTACAATTACTTTTTGTTCCTAGCGTTAGCTTGCTTCCTGTATTTTATTCAGCCGATCTAGCAAGTTACAAGGAAGCAATTAACAGCTAATTATATGATAATTTATTTGCTACAAGTATAATACAATAACTGTCCTCATTCTCGAATAAAATTAACGAACTATAAAGAGATCAAAGTGCCCGTTGTGAACCGATCAAAAATAAAAAATCGCGTGTAGCGATATTTTCTTAATTTTACAAGTGCCATCCATATTGTCTATCAACGATATTACGTTTTTGTGTACTCGCGTTGCACACAACAGCTCATCGTTTTGCAAACAAAGGTAGGACACGGGGAATACTAATTACCACGGACCGATGTTCATTAGAAATACCATCGAGGTCGTTTGTTTGTAATTCAACAAATTCCTCCTGCGATGACATCCTGTTTTTCGATAATATCTACCACTCTGATTTCCTTGAGTTACATCAAAATTTCTTTCCGCATTTTACGACCTCGTCGATCGCGATCGCGTATGTTTATTCATTCGAAAACGCATGCACGACATAATTTATTTTATCGACAATCTCTATGAACGGAATATAAATATTTATATATTTTCTAACTCTTCTCTAAATCTTGGGGCTCCATTATCTAAGATATTTGGATCTATTATGCTTCCTTTGTTTCCTACAACACTTTTTGGCACTTTTTGGCTCAATAAAGTACGGGGGATCCTGTATTTTTAATTATTAAATATGCAAGAAACAATTGAAAGGGTTACTCACGGACTTCAGCTTTCGCGAAGCCCACGACAATGGCGACGAACAAAAGCTCTTTGACAACCATCTTGGACGATCCTTCCTCAAACGTGCACCGGAGGAAACTAAAGCGATCCTCGTGAGTCTGTACAGATCCTCTGCACTGATCCTCGATCATCGGCCAAGCTCATATATATATAGGTACGTTCGAGGATAACAGTGCGGTGCATGGAAAATGATACTGAATCACTTGAGCCCGTGGCCGTGATCGTAGGATATCTGCATAGGAAGTGTTTCTTCCACACAGGATCATGTTTGTAGGCGTATCGGTCGAGAGAAGGGGTATTCGCATAAATCACTTAATCCGACAGATCGTTTGATGTTCTATGTTTTCTTTCTAACGCGAGATTTCCGGGTCAATTTGACGGATTTTTAGCAGCAAGTGCATTTCACTTGGAACAATAGAAATTCTTCGACGTACATACATACGTTAGATACAATAGGAACGAAATAATTTATGCTAGAATTCTTTAAAATTTTAGGATGTTCGAATCCATTCGATAATCGACCCGTTTACATTTTATGCAAATCATGACAGTTGCACCATCGATCGGACGTAATTATCTTCACATTTGCGCGAATCTTTTCAACAAACACGGAATGTGTAATCCATTGACGAAAGAGATCAACAAAAAATTCACGAGTTTCAATTAACATACTCTTGCTCTCTATTGATATAAAAATTGATTGTCGTATGTTTTGGCATTTATTCGATCAGCTTCGTTAGTCTCGACTACTTGAGGGGATAAATATTGACGTTCAACGATGTAAATATTTCCCAATGTCGACGCCCACGCACCTTGGATCGGATTATTAATCCTAAGCGAAGTTCTAGCCACTCCCATACAGGGATTCCGTATTTCTCGATTTCCTGTTGCGAATCGTTGCACTATGTTTTCGCAAACACGAATATCGGGAAGTGTCTCGTTGATCGCACGAAAGAAAAAGAAAAAGAAAAAAAGAAAAACCGGTGATTCGAGTTGCAACATCTTTCCACGAAGTAACCAGTCGATGTTAGATCTCGGTGATTAGGCTTGCTCGCATAATTTGTTCCGGATCGTAGGATTTCGGGTCGGTCTAGCGTCGATCGCGCCTTTTGCAACTTTCGCCGCTCTTAACGAGATCGTAAAAATTGCGGAAATTGGCGCGGGCAAGTTTTTACTCGTCAGCGAATCCGCGGCGTAGTAAAGCAAAGAATGTCGGTGCTCCCCGTAGATCGTGCGAATTAGAGCCGGTTATGTTGCAACGTGTATCATTTTTCGCGCCTTTGATCGATTATCGTTAACCAATGCTCGACGACCGTCAATCGCGTAAACTCTTTTCCGCGTTCCGTTCCCGACGATTATCTATCCACGATTTCCTAAAATCCATTCGATGGGGCAAATGACATATTAATCGACCGCCGACTTCGCAACGGTACATTTCAACACGCATTGTTAAAAAATCCTATTTACGAAATATACAAATTATCAGCTACTCCGAGAATAGGCGAAGAAATTTCTAAATTATTATCTCGTTTTCCCCGAGCCTCTCGGCGAGATTAACGCACGTTTGAATTACACAAAGTTGCCGTAACGCATGTGACATTAACTCCGCGATCCGCGAACACACGATTTTTCTCTGGTTGTCTCGTTTTGCAATCCCTGTCCGATCGCGAACCGATTGGGCTCTAATCAACAGCCCATAAACCACGCATTATCCTAGACATTCTCGTAAAATAAGTTATCGGACAACTTGCAGCTTCGTTTTTATACATTACGCTGGAAAAAGTTGTTTGTCTCGTTTTCTACTATACAAATATGTATCGAGCAAGTACGTAAACAACGCGAATCTGCTGTTTGACAGGGTGGTAGTATAATTCTGGGACGACGCGTAAGAATTTAGAAACCCATGAAAGATTCATTAGATCCGTTGGTAAATCGTTCGCCGGGGCCCCGAGTATTGGCAACTTCGCGGGACGGTTGGCCAAGAATCGGTGCCCTAATGCACGCGACGCGCCGTTTCTGCGGCTGTCGGGCCTTGTTTCTCGCGAAATGCCAGTCGAACGTACAGCGACTGATGGAACGCGAGAAAAACCGCGTGGGGAAGGCGGGTGAAACGCAAACGGGCGGTCAACATGGACGTAGAATCAGCAACCTGCACCGTTCTCCGGTTAACTCTGTCCGGCGAGTTACGAGCGATCCGGGGCTGGACCAATGACCGACAAGTGGCACGAGGCGATCAGCATGCCGAACGCGATAAAGCAATCCCTGTTGGTCTCTCGGGGGATCGCGGGTTAACATATCATCCCCGTCTTTCTGTCGGTTAGTCGCCAAGAACCGTTCGACCGGCCGCGATGTGCGCTCTTCTTGCCCACCTTTGGTACGCAACTCTCGATTCACGTCCCTCTTCCTTTCCGTTCTCCAGTTACGACCACGCAGACCACCGGTCAGGTCCCCGGTGGACCAGGGGGGATCAAAAATCCATCCATTTTCGAAACGGCAAACTCGCGAGAAACGATCGCGGAGAGCACTCTGATACCTGTGGATTTTTTTCATTTGTGAGTCGTCGATAGAGTTAAAGGTTTTGCATTCGATTTTCGTCCAACAAATTTTAAGGGGATATTATAGCCCGGGGCACGAGGGTCGAATCATGGTTTTCAAGGCACTCTGACGATTGGAACTGCAAGGGACACGCGAGTGAAATGGTTTTCGATGATGTTGCAGTACACGTACAGTACGAAATTAAAAACACGCGAGTGATAGTAAATGCATCTTGCACCCTCGACGAAATGTTCCAAAGGTCTTGACGATGTGACACGATGAAAATTTTTAAAGAGTACATGCCTTTTTCTTATTTCAACTTGCATTTTCGAGATCAAAAGAAATTGCTATTTATACTTGATAAATACTCGAAAAATAATTGTACCAACTGAAGGCTTAACAATAAGTGTCGCAAAGTGTTAAATAATCCTATTGCTGTATCTAGAATAGTATTGAAAATTTCGATAAAGTCAAAGGTGCGTTCAAAATTCTCACCGATACAATTGAAAATATTGGAAATCGTAAAACACGGAAGATATAAAGTTTCACAGACCGCAAGTAAGTATTTCGTGGTTAGAAAATGCATCGGTGATGCAACGGCACACTCACAACTAGTCAGGTCACGGCTGCGTTTTTTCCCCCGTAAATCAGCTACTTAACACTGCAACAATAGATCAATAAATTTTTACATTTCGTCGATATTAACGGTAAACCGGTGCAATTTCATTTTAACGATAACTTTCGCACAATTGTTCTAATTACCTGCAAAGTTAATTACAAAATCGCCTAAATCTCTTGGATCTCGCGTCGAGAAATGACGATTAACGTTCGATCTTCTTCTTTTTAGCCTAATGGCGACTCTGGTTTCTGCGGTTTCTGGCGTTTTACGTGAGTATCGTCGAGAAAGATTCTTACAAGATGGGTACAATGTTTCTGGTCAGAAATCAAAGCTAATAGAATTTAGTTCGATATCGTTTTGATTCTCAATGCCTATGATTCGTCAGGCTGTACGCGAAAGCAACAATCTCTTATCATTCGAACGGAGACGTTGACATTAATGGTTCTTTCGAAATTTCGATTCACCGTCAAAGACGTATAAGGCAAATAAATAAATGTCATGTGCATTCTAATGAAAGATTGCAAAATCTGTCGTACCACTTTCGGTTTTAAAACCTGACTGCACTCGTGGCCTTGGGCTGGTTCAAAACGAGATTAAGGTCGCGAATACAGTACACCCTGAAGATATCTTTGGCCATCATTAACATTTATTCGGAATCAATTTGCGAAATTGATCTTAATAAAGAAACGACGAAGGCACAGTGTTTTCAAAGACACTTTAATGCTATTCTAATCGATATTTTCTATATTTCTCGCGATTCGCCACGATTCTCTTTTTCATCCGTTACGATCAATTTCTATTATTATTAAGTCTACAACAATTATGCAAATGGTTTCTTTCCGCAGCGCCTTACATAAAGCCGTGCAAGAAAAGCGAACCCGACATCAACAAATGCATTACAAAGTCTATCGATCAACTTCGCGAGAAATTAGCTGTGGGGATCCCGGAACTGGAGGCGCCGGCGATCGAGCCTCTTCATCTCAAGCAGATTCGACTGTTTCGAGGACCGACCGGGGCGAGGCTCGACGTAAATCTCACGGACTTGCGGGTAAATCGCGGAAAAAAACGAATCTATATCGGAACGTATCGAACCAGAGACCATATTTTAGGTATCGGGTCCATCCACGTTCAAAGTTCGCGACCTCAAAGCCGACGTGGAGAACGTGAAATTCACTTTCAAGGTATCCTTCGATCAACTGAACTTCCAAGGGAAATATAAGATAGACGCGAGGATCCTTTTGCTCAGGCTGGTTGGACAAGGAGATCTTACCGGGAAATTTGGTAAGATTTCTACGACGATGTAACTTCTACGTGAAGTTAATAGAATGTTTATATACTTTCCGTATCTGCATACGAGTGTATAAATGCTGCTCGGAGATAATAAGTTCGCTAGCAGGTTTTACCGGTTATAGTATAATCTCCCTAGAGACCCAGGAAGACTACGCGGAGTAGATTATACCATTAACGATCAGACTCGCTAATCAACTTCGCATTTTGTACAGCACCGATAGATTTTAGAAGAAATTTTTACCAAAGTTCTTAGCAACGTTATTATTGATTCGATATATTGTAATTTACCAGCCGACTACGACTCCGACGTCGCTTTGAGAGCGCGAAAGGTCTTCAGGGACGACGATACCTTCCTTAGCTTCGACAAGATGAAGATAAAGATAAAAATTGGCAACGCGAATCTGCACTTTAGCAATCTATTCGGCGGGGACACGGTTTTGGGTAAGTAAATACTTTCTTTCTTTCTACGTTGGAAACGATTCGCAGCCATTAGCTCGGCCCTACCCGGGAGGAAAGTATTTGGAATACTTTCGTCGCGGGTAACACCGATTACCAGGTCCCACCACGTGGAGGTTGCTGCGACTGGAGACCCAAAGGATGATAGATGGAATCATAGTTCCATCGAGTACATAGATATTTACAAAATCAGCTTAATATTAATTTACAATCAGTTGATCCTTTAAATACGTAATAGATTTACGAAATTATTAAATTATCTTCTAATTATGTCCATGTTTAATCAGGTGCTGCTAGTCACGAATTATTGAACCAGAACAACGCGCTGCTTTTGGAAGAAATAACACCGGTGCTGGAAACATCTCTGGCGGACCTTTTCACGGACGTTGCCAATAAAATCACCAAGTCCTTCACCTACAAGGAATTGTTTCCGGACGACTAAACGATCTGCTTAGAAATAGTGGCTCGTGATCGTCCATGGTCAGTGGTTCGACGTGCAATCGTGCAACGTATCGTTAAATTCCGAAAAATTCGTCCAACAAACTTGGATACTGTGTGGAAATCTTTTTCGTCGATGAACAGAAATCGCGTAATTGCGAACAAAATAGTTGCCAAGAATCTCGCGCAAGACGATCGCAGTTTACTTTGTAAGATAACGAGTAAGAATTTTCTAACAACAATTTTTAAATAAAAGAAGAAATTGGATATTAAATATTATCATTAGCGTTAGACGATACCGAACGTGATCCTTCCTGAATATAAGCTATTCAGTGAACCGAAAAGAGCTATGGATTAAACTTAATTTTCTGTGTTCCTCTTTACGGTTCGCCGACAATTTATGCAATATTCAGTTACGTAAAGCGTGTGATCCAACCAATCGCAGATTGAAACTAATACGCCGCAATAAAACCACGAAAAGACATACTTACGATACATTTATTCGACTCGTTACAGAAATTTACAAACGTATACTAAACGAGGAATCGCGTCGGCAATAAGAAACAAAAATGTAAACATACCAGCTAATAACAGACAATCGGGATAACGAATAAATAATTACTCGAACGTAAGCCACTGTACAAGTCCTATATATTCGATCACATTCTCATTCATCGATGAAGAAGTCGAAAATTTCCACCTCGTTCGCCGTTCATACCGTGCATTACATTTTTCCTCGATTGCAAAGCAATTATTTCCTTTCGACGAATAAAATTAATAATAATTAATCACTCGGGTTTAGTTAGCAACGAGACGCGGATAGAAAGTTTCAAATCGTGAGTAAACGTTCTCCGGCGTCGGAATTAGAACTCATTCGTTACGGCGGAGGCGAAATAAATTGCCCGTCCAAGGTCACCGAGAAACTATTTTTTGGTCGTTCCATTCACTCTCTCTTAAATAAACCTAATCGTGATTCAGATTCGGGGGAAATGACATTGAACGGTCGAGTTAGTTCAACCTCGACTGCCATGATAACGGCGATAGCGAACGATTGGTTCCTGTCGATCATAAAGGATAACGCGAACAATGGACTAGGGAAGCAATTCCTGCTTCGTGAGCGCTCCTAACGCTCTGGCGGCCAATGCTCTGCTCACTGTGGCCGCTGTGTCTTCGATTATGGGACTAGCTATGTCCAGAACCAGGCGGGGATTCGAATTGAAGAAGGTCGCCGCAGCGTCGGCTGAAATGGAACGCAAAAGTAAGGGAAAAATGGTTGAAACCATTTGTTAGCAGCGTCTAAACCAAGGTGCATGTTCTTAGAATCTTTGTCTCGGGTTAATTGCAAGATCTACCGTATATGATATTGTATCGAGTCTTTTACCGGCTAGAGTATGAGACGGGGGTGCTTTCAGTTTGATATTTCCGTCGCCAACGCGAATTTTCGTCACGAGCTTGTCGACGTTGATCCTTTGGACGCCATTCTTGTCGATGACTTCTTTGCCTTGAGCGTTCACTTGCACTTCTGTGTTGGCTGTTTCGTAAAAAATACACGAACCGTTAGAATACACTTCGTTCTACGAGCTTCTCGCGAGGAACCTATATGTATATGTATACGCTAGTTTTTTACATATCGTACTCACTGAAGTTTCCTTTGAAGCTGCCAGCACCGTTCAACGGAAGCAGCAGCAGCCTTCCTTGCACCTCGTAGTCGCCGTTCACGTGGACGTGCGGCAGCTGAACTTTAATGGCGACCGATAGATCGTCAGGGTTCGCCTTTAGATCGTCGATAAGGAAATTGGTAGCACCGTGGACGCGTATCTGGCTCATGTTCGCCTTAATTTTCAGCGCCTCCAGGTTCCTATCGACCGTCAACGACGGCAGGAAGAGCGGATCCAGAGCTGGCAACTTCAAGGCCGGTATACCTTCGGCCAGGTACGGGGTAATAGCTTTTAATTGCTTCAACACGCATCTGTCGTACTGTCCCAAATCGGCCGTTCGAGCACAGGGCTGCACTCCGGGTGCTGGAAACAAACATCGACCCGAATGGTTTCTACGATTCCAACGGGGACCATTTTTCTCATTTTACTTTCTTAATTCGACTTCGAGACATTCCCTGTTCTTTGGTATTAAAAAAAAAAAGAGATTATCGTTCTAACTGAGCAAGCGACAGCGTACAGAGTACGACAGTGTATTGATTTAGAGCGTAAAAAGGCGGATGCGATGAAACGCTGAATGGGCAAACGCGGATCGTGCGTTGTTTATTTAGCGAGTAAGTCAACGTACTGTGTTGAAACGTCAGGTGAGTGAACGCGGGCACCTTATCGCTGACTAAGAAGTCACGGTGAGCGCGTTTCAGCCGCGGCCTAAAATCGAAAGTGCGCTCGTAGAAAGTGAAATTACGAGGCGAGCCGACTCCCAGAGTCCGTACGCCGTGGACCTTTTCGTTGACCGTAAAGGCGAATTCTCGGGGAGAACGCACGTGCTCGTCCGGCGAGAAAGGTTCGATCCTCTGATCGATGGATCGCCGGTAGCTAGAAACCGCTCGGTGCCGCTCCGCGCCGCGACCAATCGATCATTCCCCGCTTGGTTCTCGAGCGGCCGATTATCCGCCGCTGTGAAAGGAGACCTTACAGCCGCTTGCTCGACCCGAATTTCTAAACGACCGAGAAAAACAACGTTTGCTCGAAAACCTGACGGTGAAACTACCCGCAACGGTCTAACTATCTACGATCGAACGTCTTGGTGTCATTTTAAATTAACGGGGTTTTCGAATCCTTTCTTTACGAACAAATTATATGGATCCACAGAGCTTTTTAAATTATTTACTTCTTGATGAAAACACTCGAGTTATAGCCAATAATGTTTACAAGGAGTCAGGATGTCAGTCGACTGTTTGCAATTTATTTGGATCAAAAAAATTAACTATTACCCGATGTGATCGACGATCGAACGATCTAGCTTTAAAAAATAATAGAATGGCAGGCTGGCGAGATGAAATTCACTTGTAAACTCTATCTGTTAACGTTAACGTCGCCCTTGTAACATAACTTATCATCCATTGAGCGGGATTACGTAGTTTTCTGCAACCGGTACATGGAATTAGCATGGGAACGCAATTAACACGTTGACACCAAAATTCTCTCAAACGGAACGCGCTTGCAATTCTGTTTACGCGGTTACCAAACAAAGCAAATTGCTTATGTTTGCGTCAACAAATAATTTTCAGCTATTATGGGGATCTTTGTACCGTGTTTTCTGCTACTATTTCTCTTTCGATCTGTTAAGATTCCCCACAGAGAAACGAACTAAAACGTAATGGCGATCTTGTAGCTGTCGAAGGTAAAATAAAACATCAAAAGTTACGCCAACGTAACATAACGACTGGCCACGTGCGTATCGTCGAGTTTCATAACATAATCATCTAAACAAATTATTATCCGATAGAGCTGTCGATGCTTAGGGATGAACAGTTGGTTCGAAATGAAATATTGTGATTCCAAGATGTTACCTGTTTCTGCTTAGATGGGGCAGAATGGTTTTTTGCTGATTGATCTCGAAGAAGATTGAATCGTATCGTTGATCGATAGAAATAAGGAAAATTATGGTGCAACTGTGGGGATGGCGTACTCACGTAGTTGAGCGATGACAGCCCCGGTCCAGGTGGCAATCAGGAGCAGCCCGATCATCGTGGTCATCCTGTCGCTGCGCTACGGAGCCGCGTGGTATAGCGATTAGCAGGAGCGTTATTGAAAATGCGTACGATGGCCCTTGCTGCTGGGTATATATAAACTAAACAGCACTTTCTCCGCGCGTGTACGACGCCCCACTCTGGGAGATGGTGAATTCATCATGGTAGAATGGCTCCTGTTAATTCAGTCAGGGCCGTAGCCAACACGCCGTTGGCTAGACGCCGGCTGCACGTTGGATCCGTCCTCGTTGCACCGGAACTAGCGGATCGTAGGTCAGGACTTCTACCACGTCCGGAAAAGAGTCGAGCGTTCGCTCGGCGAGACGAGAGTGCTCGAACGAGCTCCATCCTCGTCTCGCCCTGCGCTCCAGGCAGTCTTAATTGGTTATTATATCAGAGACGCTCCGAAGAAGTAAAAGTTTCAGCCTGAAATTTGGTCGGCGACAAGGTGAGAGCGAGAGTCCACGTTGCAGTTGGATTTTACGGAGCGAACCGGCAATTTCTTTCGCCGACGATTTCCTTCTTTAATGGAGGGTTTCTAATCTTCGTTGCTCGTAAAAATCTCATTCTGTTGCTTCTTGACAGGATAAAGTAAATGCACCCATTACCGTGGAATTTTCTTCTATCAATCGCGTGCAAATCCATTTCTTGCTTTTGAAAAATTTGTACAATCTGGCGAGGATGTCTTGCAGCCAATTTAAATCGTAATCAATGGTAACAAGTCTCAATTAGCAGGTTTGTTCGCCGGTCATTAGGATTCTGTGTCAAGTGGTTTGCGTACACAAGCGCGGCTACCACAATCATCGTCTTCGGATTGTAATTTTTTCAGCTAATAGGCTTCGTGACCTCGCGAATTCTGGCCAGCGTTTCCTCTTGTAACTCGAGATTTCAAAAGACGATAATTAAAAGTAATATCCGTGCATACGCGTAGCTTCTGTAAATATCTCTTCGGGAGAATCTCGTCTTCGGCGTAGCACTTTGCGGGGTACATTTTGATTACAAAGAAGATTTGGCAACTGCTTGCCACATTTGGGTCATCGGCGTTATGAATCACGCTTATTTCTTTTGTCGAGAGTCGTACGAGCGAGACCGTTTATTTTTTAGTCGAATTTGCAATTTTTTCATTAACGTCCATTAACCCTAATCTACGACGGATAATGGCTGGAAGGATCACAACGTTATTGAGTATATAATTTAGTATATAATAAGAAATTTACATGTCACCAGTATTGTTACAATAAAATATTATCTAAACCGGTTAAACATTGTCGGTTGAAATTAAATGGATAACGCTGGAGTTAAAGTAGAGGATGCTTAAAAATTATTTATTAATAACTGCATTGCGTGCGATGCCCGAAGAATGATCCATGATCGATTACCGACTTAACGGTAGAATTTGTTTCGGTCTCCTAATCCCACGATATGCGTTTGATGCACGCCGATTGACGGCTACTTTCCCTGTCGCCTAACAGCGGCATTCGCGTGTCGCAATTCCTCGAATTTCCCAAATGCGATTATGTAAAATCTGGCGAATTCTGACTGGTTCCGCTATGCTGACGCACGTGGTATAAACTGCACGTAACGATTGGAAACTTGTTTGTATATCGAGTCTGATGCTTCTTTGCAACCGAAGCGACGCGACTATATTCGAGACGCGAAATAATGGCGATGTAACCCCTGACCCTACAAGTCTCCTCGGATCTATATGCACTTTGGATAATTTTTAAATATGTCTACTGAAAAATGTCGAAAATATTCGATAGGTTGACTGAAAGGATCAATGAAAATTATCGATCTAATGTAATTAATAAGAGTACAACGTATCAACTACTCAGAGTACATAAAATACCTATAATATATGCGTACGTAATGCCTAACATGTGTGTCGTAATAAATGCTTCATACAGTAATATGTATATGTATATATGAAATTAGATCGTAGCTAATATTACCTACATTAACTTATATGTAACATATACGAAATATAAATAGTAGTTTAATGGGTTAATGACTTCTCAATGTTGTAGTCTTCTCTTAATTGGTGCTTTAAGCGCACAGAAATAAATAAATAAATAAAATCGTTTGGTTATAGATTAATATGTCGGCAGGTATATATACCGGTCAAAATAATTAAAGCGTCAGCTAGTTATGTAATACTTCAAACCCGATATATGGGTTTGACGATCGATCAAAAAATACAACCGCGTTAAATGCAACTTGGTCCCTCGAAGTTTCTAAATATAATTTTCTGTTCGATTAATAGTCGATCGAGCGAGTATTTCTATAAATAACGAAAACGAAACACACGAGTCCCTTTGGAGAAAGTATCGTTTTCGAGAAAAAATTTCTCGTTTCTTGAAACTTGAAACGCTGTTACATACTCACAAATCCTTAATTATTTTAAGCAGATTACGACCGTTGGAAAAAATGTCCGTCAAGATCCAGTTTCGCAGGCAGTCGTTCTCGAGTTCCCGGTTAATTGATCGGAAGATTTTTGTACATCCTGTAAATCATCGCGTCTGCTGTTTTGTCGTTGAGGGCCTTGGTCGCTAGATCATCGGCGAGCATCGCGGCGACCGCCTCCGCGGCCATCAGACCTGCGAACGAGACTCAAAATAAATCGAACGCGGTTTTATTTTTAAAAGATAACGGAAAATCATTGAGAATTCCGCGTCTAGGGCCGAAATAACCCTTTACGTCTATTAACATCTCGGACTCGTCCGTGGAGGAGGCGTATTAAGACGTCGCAGAAAGTGGACACTTTTACTCGATTCGCAACCGTCGATCGATGTCGATATACTCGGTGCGCACGGCTACTTTTACTTTTCTCCTTTGTTTCCTGATTGCGCGGTAAGTATAGTTTGCAAATTGCAATTCGTAACGCATGAAATATTAGCTTCTTCGAATCGAAACGAAACGGTCTCGTCGATAGAATTACGTTCGCGTTGCGAGATAACCTCGACAATTTGATTACAATAGCTTAACGAAACGTAAATTGCCAGAGTTTTACTTTCGATTCGAACGCGAACGCGATAAACTTCTGTCGAATATCTTCGCGTAGCATTCATTTCGAATGAAATCGAAAACTTATTAATTTACTCGAGAATTTCGAAACTCCGCTAATGAGGTTCTTAACGAGTCGAGTGTTCTTCTCCTGTTTGCGTTTATTTGCGTAGCATCGCGTGACGCGTAACGACACGATCGCCGAAAGAAAGTATTTTTCAATCTGTTAGGCTCCCCGGTGCCTTATGTAATTGCGTGTACGCAACATTCCACGCGTGTTCGGTGCGATAGGACATCGGTGCGGTCTCCGGCACAGATTATCCGTAACTTTCGGATTGTTTGACAGCCGCTTTCCTCGATCGAATCCCCCTTTTTCTCTCTTTCCTCTGCCTTTTGCTAATCACGGAAAAATACCAGCAGCGTGACGCAAAGAAAACAGACGATAGAGTTTTACATAATGCTGGGAATTTTTACGAGAAGCTACCAACAGTTACCATCGGATTTGTTATCGCGTTCGGCGCGGTTTCTTGCCAATTAACGTTTAAAAAATACTCACCGTGACCAAGGATCGATTTTACCGGGCCCTCTTCGTCCATTCCCTGGAGATCGACGTTCTGCTCTTTGGACTCCAGCTTGCTCCTGGCTGCTCGCACTATTAAAGTGTCTTGGCCCTTGACGTTCTTCAGTTCGATGGTAAAGGCTCCCACCAATTCAGCTTGAAGCGCGTAAAAAAGGATCGATAAACTTCGCCTCCTAATCGCGACAGAGTTTATTTAGAGTTTAACGAATCGAATAAAAATGTTTCCTTACTAAAGTTTGCGTCTAGTCGTCCATTTCCTCTCACCAATTCCTTTCCGACTTTTCCCGTCAGCTGATAGTCCGACTTGATGCGAAGCAACGGGACGCGTATTTTCATAATAACGTGCATCACGTCGTCCTTAAAAAATAATACAACAGCGCGACGCTATAATGGTACGCCTCTGAAAAAGGCAGACAATAAGAAATAACGCTTACGTCCGTGTGATTTTCATTATGCGCGCGCTTGTGTCTCGTTCCCTGAGCGTTTTTCTCCTCCTCCGAATTTTTCGACTCCATTCCGCCGTAGTGATAAACAAGCTGCATTCCTTGCTCGAAGTATCCTTCGTCCTCCTGATAGTCCTTCGCGTATCTTCTCAAACCTTTCAAGCTCTTCGCCTCTATGGCCGCTTTGACCGCGTCGTTTCTCTTCGTCAACGCCTCTCCTTCCGTACAGTTGTATTTCAGCATCCGTCTGCTATCGAGGAAGTCCTAATCGCATAGTTCAGTTTTAATATCGTGATAGCGCCTACGAGTCTAATTAATCTAATTGCATCGATACCTTCGGGACATCCTTGACCCCATAGACCGCGTCATCCACCATCCTCCCGTTTCCAAAACGTTTCACGGTCCCATTATTGGCCCCATCCGTGTAAACGATGTCCAAGTAACCCGGTTGCTTCTCCAACCTCCTCGAATCGACCTGTTGACCCCTGGCGATGAATCCAGGCTGATCCTGACCCTTCGAAGTCCTTTCGACGTTCTCCGACGCCGCCGTTTGAACGTCCTCGTAACCTCCATCGACCCTTCGGCTACCGAAATTCTCTCTTCTGTAGTTCTGATCGTCCTCGTAGCGTTCCTCGGTCTTCCTACCATCGTAATTCTCTCTTTCGTTCGTTCTCCTGGTTCCTTCGTAACCTCTGAAACGAGGACCTGTCTTGGTTCGTTCGTAGCTCTCCTGCTGATAACTCCTGGAGTTCGAGTCGGAATTGGGATCGTAATAGGGCTGGTAGCTTCTTGAATTCACCTCGTAAGTTCCCACCGGACGATAGTTTCTCGAGTTCGTGCCTGAATTCGCCTCGTAATTCTCCTTCGACTGATAGTTCCTCGCGTTCGACGGCGAGTTCAGGGCGCTCATGGCGTAGATCAGCTGAACGTCCGACGGATACGAGGAACTGTCGCCGATCCGACCGGTTTCTGGTCTCGAGAGAACCCTCGCACCCTCCATGTTGAAACGTCCATAGCTCGAGTTCCGCGACGACTTCTCGTTACGATTTCCGTCCACTTGATCCTTCATTTTCTCGGCTTGGATCTTCATCAGGAACGGATCGTACTGTCTGAGTCTCTCCAAGTGGCTCTCCTGATCGAAGGACGTGGCCCGGAACTTGTTCTCCTGGTTGGTGGCCGATACTATCGCCTCGAAGCTCTCGTTCTGTCCTTTCGGTTCCTTGACCAGCATGTGGAACCTGTACCTGATGGAGTCCAGGTCCCTGAGATCGCTGTAGCTCACGTAACCCGCCTCCAACTCGCTCAGATTCGACTTCAGTCTTCCTCGAGCGATGTAAATACTGTCCAAGGTGGAATCGTTCAGCCCGGTGATCTCTACGTTCTTCAGAATTATTCTGTAGCTGGTGTCGCCTTCGGATTGATCGACCTTGATCACCGGTACGTTCAGCGGGTCCAGTTTGCCCGTCTTCTCGAATCCACCGGACAGAAGTTTCGCCCACAGTTGCTGGGACATCTCCAACAACGAACCTTGACCGTTCGCCAGGGCCACCAGGCACAGGGCCACGATCATACCGACAGTCTTCATTTTTATTATCGCTTGTCCCCTAAAATTTTAACGGACACGACTTTATTTCGATGATCGATCGAAGAACGATCTCCGTTGACTTACTTTTCGAGCGTTAAGGTTTACTCCACGGTATAGATCTCCCAAATGTAGGCTGGTTTGAGCAACAGCAGAAGCACAATGGCGGTCACGATGAAGATCAATAGAAAACAGAACAAAACCGCGCACATTAACACGCGTGGCCGAAGACGAACGATTTGCTGATCCAGAACGTCGATCAGACGAGGATCGATTCGACGGGGTGTTCGATAATCATTGCGAGATCGAAGAGACGCGGAGCTTGTGTTATTCGACGGAGGAAGTTTGCGAACGATGTATCATCGTCGATTGCAAGTGGATGATGCGTTCGACCGAGGTTTTTATACGAGATCGTGGAAGGGCATTGGATCTGGGCCACGGACCCAGTAACTCTCGACACACGTTAACTAGGCGATTCTATCTAGATGGATCGTCGTTTTTTCTTTTTCTAGATCGGCTCGTCGTTCCCTTAAGTCCTGATCGCGACGTGCGACTAATAGGGGGCAAGGTCCTTCCCCGACCTTAAGTGGAGAACTGTCCAAAGCCGCAAACAGTGCGCCATTGGTGTCCGATGTTACGTAATAGCCTGCTCTTAAATGTACATCGCCTCGCAGTATGCCGTATCTTTGCGTTTAATCGGGAAAAATGCTGCAAGGTATTAAACCGATACGCCCCGGGACAAAAAGATAGAAAACATCGTTCATATAGGATAAAGTTTAATAAATTTGTGAATATCGATCCGATAGACTCGAAATTATTCAAAGAAAGAAGATGAAAAATGTTTCGATCGACGAAATAAGTTATTAATAGTTCGATCGCAATGGAAGCGCGCAAAATCTTCCATTACCATAATAATCGGCGATGCGATAAAATCGATGCGCAGCAAATATCAAAACGTCGAATCGCGTGATCCATAAAAGGAAAAGAATGACATTAGAAACGACAATGTCAGCACATTGTCGATCTATGGCACGTCCGCGATCCTGGACGACACGCAACTTCGGGATTATTTCGTGGTCGAACTTCGTCGCGGTAACAATGAGTGTCTACGGATCGTTGACAATATTTTTCATGGCGAGTTGTTTGGCTATCGCTTTGCCTGTTCCAGAAATACGTGAGTATCGCTCTTCGAGAATGTTTACAGATTCTTTATTCGATTGTTAAACATTTAAATCGACTTGTTTGTAGCTTATACAATTTTTAATCTATTACTTTGCACCAATATTTCTTTGCTCATAATTTTGCTATTAATGATTACAAGAAAAATTCCATTCGAGATTCTTGGCGATGTACTTCTAGGGCACACCCGATTGATATAATGTATAGATGTCAGCGTTGCATCTGGAGCACGTGCATTTAATTTGCGATGAATCGGTCGGAAAATCACGCAACACACACTCAAAGTATTTAGGTTCGCTCGATACATCTAGATTATTTTAACCACGAAGAACATTAATACCTAACTGACACGGTCCAACGCTATGCTATGCCTACATTATTTTCGATCAAATTTATGCTCAATAAAATAAAGAGTACTGGGTATAATTTACAGGTAATTCTGCTTGTTTTCAGCCTCGTTTTTGAAGATCTGTCACCGAAGCGACCCAAATCTGAACGACTGTATAAAGGAATCCATCAAATCAGTGAAACCGTATTTGAAAAATGGAATTAAGGCTCTCAGGATCCCAGCCTGCGAGCCGCTTCGATTGGAAGAAATCGAGATCAATCAGTCCTCCGGTCCGATCTACATCCACGCAAAATACAACAATATCTCCATCTTCGGTGTAACTAACGTCGTTCCAAAGGCTATCAAGTACGCTATATAGTGAAATTATTTTTTATTTAGTTTCTAGTTTCCTGGTATCTGACTGTGTGTATTAACGTTTTCCCCGCATCAAAGAATTACCCCATCAACAAATAAATATATAAATAATCGGTATACTTTGCTTATCGAAAAAATGCTGAAAACAGTTACCAAATTTTGTTTCGTCAGGCTCGACCTAGACAAGGACCGCATGAGGCTGAAATTCTACGTCCCATGGTTGGAGATGATCGCGAATTACCATCTGAAGGGCAAGATAATGATGCTGCCCATCGCCGGGAGCGGCACGGGACGCGGAAATTTCACGGACATCGAAATAGTCAGCACTTTGCAACTGGAACGTTACCAGAACCAGGAAACCGGGAAAATTCATCAGCGAGTGAGCGACATTTACCTAGACTTTGAGATAGGCCACGCCACCTTGGAACTGGACAATCTGTTCGACGGCGACGACATGCTCTCCGCGGCTATGAATCTTTTTCTAAACGACAACTGGAGGACCATCGTCGCGGAGATTAGGCCTGCCCTCGAAAAGACCATCGGCGACCTTATCAAAGACTTCATCGACAAGATTTTCTCCGCGTTTCCGGAAGACATGTTGCTGCCACCCTGAAACGACATTCCTTTTTTAAAACTCTCGCTTTAATGTAATTTATTTATCAGTTTCACCACATACATGTAACTTATTAAGAAGATAATTTTTTATAATACTTTACTAACCGAGGAGGACCCAAAGTATTATAGAATTGTTTCTTAAGAAACCTGATTTATTGTTAAAATTACAGAGATTTTTAATTAACAAATTTCAAAGCATAAATTTATACTTACGTTGTTCGCGCGTGGTCTTCTTCTGGTAGCTTCTGCTGGTTTTCAGAGTCAAGTTCACAGACTGTAAGAAAACAATTAGAATCTATCGTTAAAACTGTAGAGATTTTTAATTAAAAATTTCAAAGTATAAATTTATTCTTACACTGACTCTAATTCCGGTAACGAGGAGTTTAAATTTCAAATTGAAAAACTAATTAATTTGATTGGAAAGTATTAAATTGGATTACCGCGGGCGAAGATTGAAATCGGCGAACAAATGATTCTATTATCGCGATTCAGAAAACAGGAAGAGCCACGATGCTCTGTAAATAATTTAATACTACGTAAGAAACACTGCTTCTATCCTCGCGTTTGCCTAACACCGTGAACGACAACGTGCTACTCGAGGTCACTTTGTTCCGAGAAACAAACTTGTTGCTACGCACAATCACTGAATCTACCGGCCGCATTACGCGCGGCCAACAAATTTCCTGAAAAGAAAGGGACAGGAGATAAGAAACACAACAAGCACATCTGTGCTTAGCCTACTGGTTTTCCTTTTTCATCTCCTTGCTAGAGGTCGTCAACAGAAACACTGCTTTGCTTAATACATAGTTTGCCACGTAAAAGTTCAATGCCGGAAAGGCGAAGCAATTCAATCGCGATCAAAATACAGTTAAATATAAACTATATTCCAATACATCGTTGATATCTACCGACGCCATTTCCGTATGCTTCGATGTATAGATAAAAAAGATTGTTAACGATTTATATATTTTATCTTAATAATGACCGATTAGAAAATTATGATCATGCTTGCAACGAACGAGTTAATAAATAAATATTAATATACACGTTCGTTTTTGTTACAATAGTTTAAACGTTACCAATGCATATTCCCTCCAAAATTTCTCGACTCGTCTGCCATCTGTTGTGGTGTCGTTTTCGCGCCAATAAAACTTTCCATGGCGTCGAATTTCGATCAGGGACTGGAACAGAGATAAAATACAAATTAAATGATAATTAAACAGTAATTGATAATAAGGAAGTATCGACAGGGTAGAATTACACACCTCGGTTGCGAAACGCCGACACGTCTCGACACGTCTTGCTAGGTTAATTTTCTAAGTAGGAATGGCCCTTCGGCTGTGCTCGGTAATGCTCGCGAATTAGGTGGCGGGGTGAGGGAAGGGCCGATGTCTCGAGAAGCTTGTATTACAAACCCGAGGGATACCTCAGGTAGAAACCGTGGATACAAAACAAATAAACGAAACTTACGAGATCAGCGTAAATACCTTGACTTTGGAATCATGTTGATGGATGGCGATGTCATGTACAAATTAAATACAACCCACACTTTTGTCGATTTACAGTAGCAGACGACAAGATTTTTGAATTTGTTAACATTATTCACTTGGATGATTACATGGATATTATTTACAACTTTAACTGGTCAAAGAATCGCGAATAATTCGTACTTCTCGACTCATATGCATTTACACACAACTAGTCTGCCTATCACACTAATTCAATGAGTTTCTCAACTGACCGCCATCCATGGGAAGAGGACGCTAAAATCACCTCTGAATTTTTAGGTCGGTATGGCAGTCAGATTGGGCCACGAAGGTCGGTAAGGTGTAAGATCTACTCGTATAATTCATTCAACGATTTCTAATTTCTAATTAGTTCGCGTTTATAAATAAAATTTACCATCGACTTCAATTTGTTTTGTATTACAATGTAATTACGCTTCTGCTATATTATGTTTCTTTACGGTTTGTTATATAATAATTGGAACTGATTATTCCGTTACGCAAGAATAGATTTAATCACTGTAGCCGTCTACTTAACTATGAAGAAGATTGATTCAATTGTGTCGCTGCTTCCTGAAAATTTGTTTAGTTTTTTCTATTTATGTTCAATCGTTTATAACTCAAGGAAACAGTACATCGACGTTTAAATAAAATATCAAAGACCTAATAGAAATTTACGACTTTCACGTAAAGAGCTTGTTACGCGTCCGAATAAATTGAAACGTCACACAGTGCGTAATATAAAATTTGTATTAAATGGCCCGTGTACCACTTTTCACCGGTCTTCTAGACTGTAAATTGTGCGAGTTAGAAAGTCATACAAATTAGGAGAATAAATGTACGCGAGTAAAAGATGTCTCGATGTCGACAGAACATGGCTAGGAACAAATTGGGCAAGAGAGCGACGCGGTCTTTCAGAATTTCTCCAAACGGTGTAAAACGCTTAAAAATTTCAAGGTGTTCAAATAACAGGCGCGGTTCAAAACTGAAACAACGTTCCGCGAGACATTTGCTCGGGGACCACCCACTTTTTATCGCTCGAAAGGGAAACAAACTGAGAAAACGTCACACGAAGACGTCCCATCGAGTTCTTCGGCACACCTAAATTAATTAAACGATGATTATGTGTAAATTGAGGACAAACGAACAATGAAAATATTGTGTGCAAATTTATGCACAGACTAAGTCTATCAAACATTCGGATCGTTTCCCTATTTTGAGTATCACGAGCGTCTTCTAAAATAACAGGTTAAATAATTAAGAAAATTGGAAGACAAAATCACAAACGTTTGGACATTTCCAAAAATTCAATGAAATTTTTGTTCCAAAGTTTCGAAGAAACAGGATTATATGTATATTAGTCGTATACGATCTTTATCTTGAAATTCCTTTAATAGTAATAGTGAACGGGGTGTTAGAAACTTCTCTATCGTTCTTAAAAGAGTCTTGCAAAATGCACCTTTCTTCACTATTCATTTCCGAGTAATTTGTTACGTATTCCGGGCACGTCTTCTATCAAGGACCAACTCAAAAAGACAATGACGCCATTACGCATTCATAGCCAACTAAGCAACGAACAGAATATCACGACTTGGTATATTAATATCATCTAAAGTGTTATCGTTTAGCTCCAAGTTCAGAACGAGCTATTAATAAATGAATACTAAGGTGTAAATCTTTTCTAGCTAAATTTAAATAAATAAATACTACCCGGGGGTTGTTCGGGTCACTTGATTAAAACTACAAACTCGTAAATGCGACCAGGTCCTACCGAAAAATAAAAATGTTCAATACCGATTGAGACAAATCGATTCGAAAGTTTGTAAAAGCGACAATTGCTTCGAATTATACTCGCGTATTAATCGTTTCTAATTCTGTACTCCAGGAACTGTTTTCGTGAAAATTATAATTGCTATAATCATGAATATCGTAGGTATAATTAGACCAGTACACAATTAAAATTTCGAGAATTAAAACGATGATCTCGCAAGATGATTTCTCCATAACTCACAGGTAGATTTAACGTTATTAAAATACTTTTGATGAATCGCTTGAACGACGTAGCGTTCGCGCAATGATCCAGCATGGCGTTGCACAAAATTCACTGTAGATTTCGTGGTGTGTGTGCACCACATTTTCTGAGCATCGCTATTATCTTTCATCATGTTTTCTATCGCGCAATCGACAAACTCTGGTCTGATTTAAATGCCCCTTAATAAACTACGTTAAAACTTCTATATTCATCGTTTTTTTAAACTGTTATCTGTAATCGTCCCTCGAATTACAGCCTAGCCGTGTACAGAAGAGAAGAATCATTTGATACGATATTTCAGAAAAGAAACAAAAGGTTTGGAATATTTTTCGTAAATCGATTCGTGGGAGGCACGAACCGTAAAGCCGTGGCTTGTCCAAGTGCGAACTTGGTCCGCGGGAATAGAAAGAGGTAAACTCCTGTCTGCTTTTAAAGCCGAGCACAAGCCGCCACCAGAGAAGGGGAACGCTCGCATATAAGACAGAATATGAACGCGGCCCGTGTTTAGTTTACGACAGTCAATCCACCTAGCCGTCACCTTTATCACCGGGCCAGATCAATCACTTCCGTTTTTTGGTGCTTCGGATGCTATCGCTATCTGATCATGTAACAAACACACCTCGGACCTAAATCGAACGTAGGGGAATTTAAACAAACGAGTTTCGAACGGTGAACTTTTAGAGAAATTTGGAGATCCAGCGTGCGTAAGCGAATTTCGTCGTCAAGGTCCAAGGACAATAGACAGTTAAGATCAGATTTTGCAGGATTCAGATCCACCGAAGGAACCGAACGAGGATTCTCGGATATCGAAGGACCAGTATCGATCAAACCTCGGGGATGAAGTCCTCAAGGATGCTCGGAGGACGAAGACTGGCTTGCACGGTGCTGACGCTCTTCTTCCTCGAGCTGGTGTTCTGCCAGGAGCAAACCGAACCTGGACTCGACGAGCCGGACTTTGAGATTCGTAAGCTTCCTTCTTTAGATCCTAGCGAGCACGTGCTTTTCAGTCCTTCGCTGTCAACGACCACGCGAACTCCGCAGTATCCGCATCGCGTAAACTTCTCATTTAGAAAGTGAAAGTCGACGATTACTGAAAATTCGGTGGTTAGTGACTTTTCCAAACTTGGATAGATGTTCTTGTTGGCAAAGTGAAATTCATCCGTCACTGATACTTGGTTCCGAAACTCTTCGAAGTAGTTTGAAAAGTGTCTTCGATCCTTCGATCAACAAGTCAGTCTAGGATCTATTTGTCGAGGATCTTCTAATCTTCCGAACGCTGAAAGTAGTAATTTGAAAAGTGAAATTGAGAGATAGTGACCTTGGCGACTGACTCGATTATCCGATTGCTTTCGACGATTCCGAAGGATTTCCAGGTACCTTGACCATCGAGACGGGTTCAAAAAGTGGGTTTCCTCGAGTTTAGACCGGGCACCGGTTTCTCCACGGTCTCTCGATCGAGTCCTTTGCTAGGGACGATGCTCGAAGGACCACCAGCCGGGCGATCGTTTATAGCACGGAAAGTGAAATTCGTCGATCGCTTGAAATTGGGTAGTATCGACGATTGGAGTTCCAAGCCGGCGTAGATTGTGCAACCACTCTCCTCATTGGTAGGAGAGAAGAACGGAACCGAGTTTTCGCTGGGCTGGATCACGAGATCGAGTGGCTGGATTTCCTCGATCCGACGCGTGTTCTCCTTGGGTGCTTTTTCCCCGCGATGCGTTTCGTTTAATACGGTGGCTGCCACGTAACAGGTGTACAATGAAGGTGGTGCCCGACGAGTAATAATTATTCCTCGTATTTTCCTTTTACGATCATTGAGCGTATCTGCCTTTCTCTTTCCGCCGCGGAGGGTAATTGCGAGGAACGATTATGTCGCGGAAGCGTATTGTGTTAACCGCGTTTTTCTTCCTCCGTCGTTTAGGCTCGTTTCCCCTCCCGGGGGTAACTCCTCCACTGGATGGAGATTTTAAACAACCAATGCATCGTAAACAATCGTTTACTCGTATATTTTTTTTGTTTCAATTCCTGAAAATCCCCCGAGAGGTGACCCAGTTTCTGACTCAAAAACAGGATCTATTGCGATCCTCCGGGAAACGACGCCCAGGGCCCCTGTTCTCGCAACAAAAGCGAACGGTTAGGATTCCGAGATCGTACGCAGAATGGTCGTTCGGGGCTGGTTAGGTTAAACGCCGGCCCAGACGCGAACTATTATGCGAGGCTGCGCTGGTCACCGTTCAAACATAATGGTACCGGGCATGGCGTAACGACTCTCGATGGCGTGGCGAAGGTTATGTCAGAGATTGCATAACAGCCGAGGATCGGCAGCAATCGGTCGGAGAAAGTACCGGGCTCGAGCCGGTCTTACGACGACGTATCCTCGTCGCACGGACGACGCTCCTCTTGGTCGGATCGGATCCCAAACGTTTCCAGTGAAAGCGCAAACGTAATTCCTGCCGGGTGCATCAGTCGGTCCAGATTCCTATGCTCTCGCCTTATCAACACGCTGCCCGTTCTTATCGATCAGGCGTATCGTTATGCGATTGATCCTCGTCGCCGGATATGGGCTCCTTTTCTACCAACAAATACTAGCCGCTCCGAACGGATGCATCTTTCTCGCGTGTTCTTCGATTCCAATAATTAAATTTCGCCCCCATCGATCCTGATATTTTCCTCGAGTCCGAGGCTCGGTCGAGTTATTAATCCGACAGGATATGAATATTACGGAGCACGATTTTCCAATCATCGTCATGCCGGTAACATACAAAGCAGAACAGGCGTCGTTCGAATATAAAAAATAATACCTATAGATAGGACACACTAACGTTTATAAATTTAAACTTTAAATTTTTTGCCGTTTGTTATGATAGTTCCGCGCAACATATTTAATCGGTTACGCGCAAATTCGCTTGAACGTGCACGCTCAATTTCACCTTGCTTAACGATTCGTAACACCTCCTTCCTACCGTGCACATGACACTACGCGCATCGAATATTTCTGTCGATCTCAGTACACTTCTGCTTCTCCGTACGTAAAATACTACTATAGTACGTACGAAATCTCAAACTCGTGATGTTCAAATATAGTTTATCAAAGAATATAGCACACTGTAGCACGAACGTGAAATCCACGCATTCTCGAGGCCTAAGTAAGTAGAGTACCCAGAAAGAAAGTAGCGAAAACTGTGTCTCGTAAATTTTTCCGACTGATGTAACGATGTCATAATCATCGTGATTGGTTCTCGCCGGAAGATTCAAAGAATTCGACGGAAGAAATGCAGTTTCTATTTTAAAGGGAATAAATCATGTTACATTTGCTGCAACTATATTGGAACAGTTCGGTTAGCGGGCACGAGAAAAAGTTCTGAGAGAGAAAGTAGTTTCTGTTTGAAATTTATTATTTCAGAGCGACGTTGACGTTAGAATGCAGTTAGTGGAAGCAACGGTATGACGTTACAAGCATTATTTGTTCGCTCGTTGATACGTAAAGGGAGATTTTATAGGTTTTCAGGTTTTCACCGAAACGCGGGAGTATCTGGAATGTTCTAAAAAATTTGTTTTTCGCGTGTCAAGGATTCGTGTGTCGAGTGAAATTGTATGTCAATGACCAGTCGATTGCAAGTCAAACGGTGCTTAGCATTTTTATTACAGAGGGAAGCTCAAAACGTCCTCGATGGCAACGTGAATACTAAAAAGTGTCAAAGTTTCGCGAATTGTGAACATAGATATTTCATAATTCGATGCCCGAAATTATATTCGAATTCACAACATTCCGAAAACAACGGTTGCGACCGAATACATTAGAAAACATTCGTCAAAGCTACATACATAACATCCAAGAGCTATATAATTATTTAACGATTAACTAACTGCAAACGCTGACACGGAAAGCCGGGAGTCTCGAAAAATTAGATTAATTTTCCGAAGACATCGGAAGTGAGAGTGGTTGCATAAAGGTACCGGAAGTAGGAAGACGTTGTAATTCGTTGGAAAACGAAATTACGATTGCGTGACTCCACGTGGACTTAAAATTTCACGGATCCGTTAACCGTGTTACGTTAAACGCGATCAAAATTTATAAACGTGTTTCTTGAAAACGCTCTATTTTCCACAGCCGAGTACATATTGCAGTGCAACAGGTCGGACCCCAAAGTGGAGACATGTTTCCAGAAGACACTGAACCATCTTCAACCATATTTATTGAAAGGTAAATACGTATACATATACCCCTTGGAGATACTTTCTATTTGTCTAACACTATACCGTTTCAGGTATTTCCGAATTGGACTTGCCTCCGATCGAGCCACTGATCATTCCGGAACTCGGAATGGAAAACGGGCAAGGGGCAGTGCGCATCAGGGCTCTGTTCTCCAATATCACCGTGATAGGGGCAGGGAATTATACGATCACCAAGACGCGGCTCGATCTACCTTCGTACAGGCTCGATCTTCACCTGTCGTTTCCAAAGATCGAACTTCAGGGCCATTACGAGGTAATAGGGAACGTGCTTCTCTTCCCTATCCAGAGCCACGGTGACTTCTGGGCACTTTTCGGTGAGTCCAGGACTCTTTGGATACGGTACGACTAACGCTGATCGAAGGAACAAATTTAGTAAAATGAGGGAGTTTGATCGCAGGTGACGTGCTGGCGATCGCGCGTGTTCAGGGCGCCGAGGAGATCAGGGACGGTGTTCGTTACTTGAAAGTAGCGCGAATGCTGGTGGATTTCAGCTTGGGCCGTGCCCGATTCCGTGTGGTCGATCAGCTGAACGGCGACAACGTGATCGGACAGGCCATGAATCAATTTCTGAATCAGAACGCGAAGGAGATCATCGAGGAAATGCGACCGGCCGCCAGCGCCAGCATCGCCAAACACTTCAAGGACTTTCTCGGCAAGGCATTGAGCAAGGTGCCGCTCAAAGTGTGGCTCCGCGACACGTAGCTCCCCGAACACGAAGAAATCTTCGCCACTTTCGACCATTTCGCGCCATCTCTTGCAAACGAAACGCGCTCCAACGATCGAAAAGTGATCGCGTCGGGTCCAAGGACGATCGCGAGTTGCTCGAGTATTCTGATGGACTGAGGACGAACAAATTTCCGAATTTCTGTGTGCTTTTCAGCCCGTCGTTCGTCGGCCCTTAGAAAAGTCAGGGTACTTGCGCGTGCTTTAGCTAAAGATTAATAAATAACATTAGAAAAATCAACGACACTGTCATTATCGCTACCACGGTAGAACCTCGATCGCGTCGACTGTTTAAACGGACCACCGTTCGGACGATCGAGTCTCCGAACAATAAAATGATTATTGTAAAACTTAACGATGTTTCTACCAATGGTGTCGAAAGACATTTGAACTTTCTACGATTACTATCCGGTTAAACCCATGCTTGAACGATCGAGTACTCGATCGAATAACGATAGAGTTGTCGGCGTTCTACCGTGTACTTTGTACTGCTTTCCAAAATGAAGTACCGCGTAGTAAATTCGTCGTTAATTTTAACGAGCAGTGATCTCTCGCTTATTTTTTCGTTATTGATAACGTGTTAAAAAACAAATAATTGCATCGCATCTTCGAATTATTACTGTCAATTGTTTCGTTTGGACCGATGGAAATGTTTTGCTTCTATTGCGTTCCACGACCGGGCATAGAAATTAGTCGGTTGATTAAATTATTCGATAAGAGAAATACAGATTGTCACCGTATAATTTTTTGGATGTTCGTTGAAATGTCTGATAATCAAAAGGTTGGGGAACCACTGTCCTGCGTGCATATACCATTCGACGCTTTGTAAATATTATCTAGAATCGTTCCCTTAGAATGTGTCACGTCATTGTAAATACCAAGGGATGAAAAATAAAGCAATAAATCTATGAGTGTCAAGGGTAAATGATTCCTCATGCGAGCTTACAAGCTTCCAGATAATATTGCCTATCGAACTACGGAATTCCGGGTTCGCAAACAATCCCGCTACGATAGCAATTGAAAGTATCTAGAACTTACATATCTTCCTGTTTTTCTACCGAATGTTACAAACAAGTATATCCACGAAGTTGCATCGAACGATCTCGAATAATCCAACGGTCTGAAATAAAAAATATCCACGGTATATAATTAAAAGAAATTTAAATGATTCCATTGCAAGTTAGGTACTGGAAATAAAACCTACTAAATAATTGCTTTTGCCCATCCTCCCCCGATAATTTTCGAAGCAAAGCATCGTTAAAAATTGGTCGAGCAACGTACCCCAATGTGGTGAAACGATTCGAAACGTTGAAGTCGCGCAACGTTGCCAGATAATGAATTAGAACCGTGGTAGGACGTATCGTTCGACCTCCGACCTCTGCGTCTCTGTCCCTCGTTTGGTACGTGGTCTCCCTTCGCTTTGGCTCGGGTAGCCTGAAAAGTGAACTTATGTCAGAGCTGGTACGACCGTGTCACACGTTGGGACAACCGTCTCGAGGGAACACCAGAACACACGGTGTCGCGTTGTCCACGATAACAGTGATGAGTGGAGGTCTCTGATGTGACGCTACCGGAGTTGGATTTTTGCCTAAACAGTCCGAACGACAGAGGATCGAAAGGTGTCGAAGGGACCAGTGACCGCCGAGGACCATGATGGTTCAGTTCACCAAGAGGCAATGGCTCACGTTAATAGTCATCAGCCTCGCGGATTTCGCGAACGCCATTTGCGTATCGTTGCAGGCGCCATTCTACCCTCAAGAGGTGAGTAAAAGTGAAAAGTTTTTCTACGAACGAAATTCGCCTATTGGTTCATTTACAACTAATTAGAGAGTTCAACGACTCCATTGTTAATCTCGTTCGTGTCACCCGCGACCTGTGCCAAACTTGCATCAGTCAGAATGGTCCATTTATCTCCCCTCGACTTAACTTGGTCACTTCGTGAATTAAATCGGGGAAAGCTATTCCGATTCTAAAGTTTCCAACTCCGTTAACGTATCAATTCATCGTACATTTTTCCCCATTGCAATTACATTTCAACGCATGCTGTGCGTTATCAATTAACCGTACACTTATTGATTGAGATATCAAACGCAAAAGCGTCATAGTTACGTAGCAGTAGGTGTGTTTGTCCGTTTACGTCGTTAAATGTTACTATTCTACTATGACAGACGCTTGTCAGATAGATGCAGGCGCCACTTAACTCTAAACAAAGTATTTCGACAAAGTTTATCGGCAAGTTTAGCGTCTATTACGCGGAGTTCAGCGATTATTAATAACCGTTCCCATAAATTTTGCCGGAGATCTGTTATTTCAGTACCCGCGATAATCTTAATTAGTCTACCATTACTAAACAGAATCCTATAAATACATCGGCGATGGAACTGTTATTTTGTCGTACATATGGTCAAGGAACTACGTTTGTAATATTGTTTTAAATTCTAGTACAAAATTCGTACCAGTAACAATGCGTTTGTACAACGAATTAATAATTTATTAATATTTTTTAACTCCGCCTTTCTTTTCTCCGTACAACTTCGACCTTCGACTTATATAAATCTTTAATCGTTGTTTAACAATGTTTAATTTGAATTATTCCACCGTTTCGAATTGCATTTTAATGGGAAGAACAAGATTACGGCTTTCTTCTCATTCTTCTTTTATGAATGATTCCGAACGAAGGAACAAATTATCAAATACGCATACCCGCGTGTCTGCGAATTAACTCGGATAATCCTTATCGTGCCATAAAAAATCGAAAATTCGATTACGCTCTTGTCCGTCGTATTATAATTTGTCTATCAATCGACAAGAGGTCGTGTATAATTACGCGTAATAAACCGTAATCTGACGAAACGAAATAAAAACTTCCGATTAAGAAACGGAATATCGTTTGATCCACGCTTTCCCGCGATCTTAATTCTTTTCACTAATTAGAACAATTACAGCTGCGTTTCTAGTCTGAAATCTATTATTTAAAGTAAAAGTTGATGTAATTGATTTGGAGACTAGAAACTGTACAGGACTGTTCTGTATTTTCGAAAATCTCGGGTACCCGTTTCCATCAACTTCCGATATTTCGGTTCGTAAATCTATCTGCGTGAAACGTTTAAAGTTCATTCAGATTTATCTAGAGGAACGTTAATTGCAGCCCAAACAGTGATACGCGCGGTGATAACGAGACGTGGAACATATCCTGATAGTTCAACAATTGTTCATTTTAATTAACATTATTATTCGTTGCTCCGGCATAGTTCCACTTAATAAAATAGTTTAATTGTATTTTGTATTTTCTATGTTCACAGGCAGAGAGGAAGGGCGCATCCCCATCGGAATATGGCTTGGTGTTTGGAATCTTTGAGTTGGTCGTCTTTATCATCAGTCCTGTCTATGGGAAATACGTGGGTGAAATAATTAAATATTCCCTAAATTCTATCCGATTATCACTAATTCCCAGCGGTATTTTATTAACTTTCGATAAGAACGCGAAGAGGAGAGTCGAAACGCGACATATTTTACTAAATTGAAAGAAATAGTGTGAAACAATTTCGCCTGTTTCCAGGCGGCCTGTTTCATCAGCAATGTTTATCGTTCCTGACGAAATACCGAAACACAGTTTCTCTCTGAGTAAAGGCATCGAGGAATAAACATGTCATTAAAACTCTTATCGTTGGAAGAAGTCGTCTAAAATCGTTAATCTGACTCTTAATCTGTGCACAGTCTTAGAATCCGTGCTGCTTTATCGTGAAAACGGCAAAAAAACAAGGAGATCGAAGGGACGTAGATAAAATATCGTTTACCAAATTCTTTTTCACTAGATACCGACAGATTTACGCTTCGAAAATACGAAAACCTTTTTCGTCGACCGATCTGTTCGTATTTAAAAACATCGTCGCTGTATCTCGCACGCAAATAACATTTTCTTTTTAAATTTATTTTCTCGATAAACCAGAATCGGCTCACTGGCGACTGTAAAAAAATTATTCAAATTAATTCTTTTGCAAATCATGAAAAAAAAAATCATTCTTTTACAATTTCTTTGCGATCGACTTTCTAATAGTGTAGTTTTTGTTCTTACTAATTGGACGCGTTAATTTTTTCCTTGCAGCTGCATCGCATCGGACCGAAGCTCCTGTTCAACGGCGGCATTTTGACGACAGGAACTTGCGCTATTTTCTTCGGTCTGCTAGATAAGGTCAACGGCCATTATCCCTTTATAGTCCTCTCGTTCGTAATTAGGATCGTCGAGGCGATGGGCAACGCGGCTTTCCTAACGGCTAGCTTCGCCATCATCGCAAAAGAATTCCCGGATAACGTCGCCACAACCTTTGCCAGCCTCGAAACCTTCTTCGGTTTGGGCCTCATTGTTGGGCCTACCGTGGGTGGTGCTCTTTACCAGGTAAAACGATAAGCTTCCAAATATTTTACCCTGATTTCAAATTGATTCTAGCGCCGAAGATCCGTATCAGTTTTATTTTTAATAAACTTCCTATCCTCGCGTAAACTAATAAAGATTCGAACGATAGGTCGGCGGATACACGACGCCATTCGTAGTCCTGGGATCAGCATTGTTCGTGACGGCAGTCGCTACCGTTTTCATTTTACCGGTTCATCCTAACAACAACGAAGCCACTCACAGCGCCGGAGGTGTGTTTTTTAACATTAATATTAATGGAGCGAGATTAACGCAGGAAAACTGTACTCAATTAAGATTAGATTTCCTTCGTAAAGTCGAAGAATTACGTTCTAATTTATAATGTATAATTGATACGACTATCAAAAATGAAAATCTAAGAACTTTTCGCCTGGGATCTATGAAATATTTATATGTACGTTTACAGGAGTAACCAGAGCTTTGAGGATTCCGGGTGTACTGGTCGCCATGTCGTCCATAATCGCGACCAGCATGAGCATTGGATTTTTACAAGCCACGTTAGAGCCGCACTTGAGGCAATTTGCATTGAGTCCCATCATTTTGGGCCTAATGTTTGTCATTAACGGAGGCACTTATGCCATTACGGCGCCAGCGTGGGGCTGGCTATGCGATCATCGTTCCCATCCGAAAGTAATTATCGAAATGTTACTAGAATTCCTAGATTTTCGCGATAGGGACAATTCTAAAGGACATTAAACTTCTAGCGTGATCGTAATTCTAATCAATCGTTTCTCAAGTAAAAATTCCCGCGACTCTTGACTAACCTTCTGCTTCTATATCTTATCGAATTAGTTGTATAATATTCTATAACGTTTTTTAGGTGGCCACCGTAGCCGGATGTATTCTCGTAGTCATAGCATTTTGTTTAGTCGGCCCAGCGCCTTTCATACCCTATCCAACCATGATCTGGATGACCATTTGCGGCCTCGTGGTTCACGGGTTGGGCATGGCTGCCCAACTGGTTGCCAGTTTCACGGATGCTTTAAGAACCTCCATGTAAGTTAACGTATTCGCATCGCGGAGCTCTTTAACTCTCGCATCGACGATATTAAATAACATTTACGCTCAGAGCTTACGGATTCGCGAACAATCTCGAGACCTACGGTCTCATCAGCGGTCTATGGACCAGCACGTTCGCCCTCGGGGCCTTTATCGGACCCAGCGTGGCAGGAATTCTTCTGGACAATATTGGCTTTCGGAACGCCAGCATGTTTATCGTGCTACTTCATCTGCTAGTGGTAAGACGCGACTTTTATACTCACTGAAAGAAAAGACACAGAGGTTAATACGTTTGTTGCTCGTTGCGTGAATTGTCTGGTTGTTATCAGGGCGTGATAGCCGCGGTGTTTCTGAGCGCTTGCATGCAAAGAAGGAAACCGTACACGGAGATCGGTGCCACGGAGGACCTGATGACACCGTTGACAGACAGTGGACAATCGCGAAGCGGCAGTTTAAGGCACATGGGACGTGGACAAGGCGTACCGATCGACAGGCCCAGCGGCATGAATTCCCTGATCGCGTGCAACAGTTATTCGAACAGGGCCGGAGCGTGGGCCCGGGCATCGTACAGCGGTCGGTATTCCCACAGTTACGGGTCCATCGACGCTAAGAGGTACCTGGAGATTACCACGTGATGGCCCCCGTGGCTCCTCATCGATCAAACCGGAGGAATAAATTTCGCCCGAGGTCGCGTCCTCCTCGGAGATCCATTCTCCTCGCGAATAGTACGTCTTCTCGTCCATCTTTCGTCACAAACTTCTATGCACACCAACTGAAACATACTCATACACCATTAGACGGTTATATTTTTTACACAAGTCTGGAGAAACAAAGTAATGCACGGTTCAATTTTTTAAGTCTAACGTCTATAATTATAGTTCCTAGTAAACTCGCGTGCTTATCGCGAATGCCCTCAGTAGTTATTATGGTCTTTCTTACTGTACGTTATTCGCGCATTCGACTATGTTAAACATCGTAGAATAATGATCGCTCAACGTGTCTGTAATAAAAGATTTTATTTAACTACTCTCTGCTGTCGACTCTCGACGTTGGCAGAACAAATTTTGTATTTTCAGTTTCACAGATTTGCTTTCCACCCTTCTTGAGGATTTTCACTCTCGATCGTCGCGCGATCCATCGATCCTCGGCAACGGTACGTTTTCTACGCTCGCTTGAAATTCCGAGGCGTTCGCGCATACGTGACACACCCTCGCACGTGTGCAAATTCTTCGGAACAATAGCCATGTAAGCGACCAATGGACGTGGCTCCAAGTACACGTGCGTGTGCAACAAGGAAGAAGCCAACGACTTACCGCGGGTTTCGCACGGAATCGATGATTCACTTCGACCGCGACTGACTAGAAATTGAGAATTGTACGAGAACCACGATATTTCTACGATAGACTACGCTTGTACTCTGTTCAAGGAGAACGGGGCATGAAAAGTAAACTAACACAGTTCTTCACCGTGACCGATGCTGCTTGAAAATAACCGTGGCTCAGAAATCGATGTGTTGCTATCCGCTACCAATTCTTGGAACTTCCTTCTTATCGTATCGCCCGCGGCCATGCCGTGTTATCCATCTCTCTCGTTGTTGTTTTGGTCTCGAACGTCGACCAATACCCAAAATACCGCTTCTGTTCACCTTGGCTCTGTGGAAATTCCTTAGGTAAGTTCAGTCTTGCGCGATTAAGATCGGATTATTTCTAACCGAGGACCCTAAAGTCGACCACATTCCACAAAGTGTTTTTAGGGACACGTGTATCAGCGAATTCGAAATTTCTTAAAGAGGAATCGGTGTAAAGTTATCCACATCTTATTGTGTAAATGTAAATCCAAAGAACGAATAAACTTTCGTGGGGTGGGCATATGCACGGAGTTATGCATTTAATGACGTAATAAATACAGCCGAGGAAACGGTTGCTGCAGAGTTAGGAACAAAGGGAAGGGAAAGAGTCATCGATCAGATGATTATCTCATCGTGCCCTCGACCGTGCTGTTCCTTCCTCGATTCTAGACGATAGAAAGAGGAATTTGCGATGCCGACGTTTTCCTGTCTCTCGGTCGAAACGCGCTGAAAGGAGAAGAAACGGAGAGGAAAAGGGTATAACCTGTATCCACGGACACTTGGATGCACATCGTTGACCCCCGCGTGCGTTAATAATTCACTCCTCTTCCTTTCGTTCCTCCGGTTCGCTTTCATGCTCGTTTGTGTTTGAAAAAATAATTGCGTTGCCCTGTATTCTTAAAGCCTTCTATCTCGCCGCTCGATCGTCTTGTCTCGTTCGGTCCTTTCCTGTCCCCCGTATTTCTGCCAATGTTTAAGCTCGCAAACAATACGAATTTGTGTGCCAGCTTTCTTTTATTAATTTTGTATTCAAAGAGTTTTCAACAAAAATGTGAAGACTATTATTTCTAACTCTTGTTGGTCGATCTTCGAGGACTATTTTGCAGAGATAAGTTCCTCGATCAAGAAAATGATTGTTACGCCACTGGGGTACCAGAATTGGAGGCAGGATTAGACGAAGCTGCCATCCGGACAAGAATATCCACAGGTGAATAGTATTCAGAATGAAAAGGAACAGGTTCACGAGAAAGGGTTTACCGGTTACTCGTTTACGCTTTCGTTCTAATAATCCCAGTTGCCTGGAAGATCGAAACTTACGTTGGTTGAAATTAGACGATAAATCGAACTTGCGCGTTAAAACGCCTTAAATAATGATGAACGGAACGAATTAGGAATTAATTTTTGACAAGAAAGAACGTGTTCTTTTCTAAATAACAACGGTGAAAGTTTTCGAGGCAACGTTTCAAAAACTCGAGTATAAAAAAATACACAAAGATACTCACTGATCTGCTAAAGCGCATGTTTAACAACTCCGCCATCTGGACTATTCTTGGGCCACTGCTAAACACAATAATTGAAATATTAAAGTAAAAACTAGAGGAGAAACAATTTTCTGATAATAATACATTACTCAAAGCGTCGAATATCGTGACTATAAGTAAAAATGTTTGATACGAATGAAAATTCAAAGGATTGCTTACAAGCTTATTGCATGCAGGAACATTCGCCTTAAAAGGAACATCCGTGTTCGGAATCGAACGAGTCTAATACGTGGCACGGTGGAGAAAAAAGTTCGTACTTACGCCATTGTAATAAACACCGACCGAATCGAATGACAGGTGAGGTGCTGCCACCTGAAGAGGAAAAACCACAGGTGAACGGTGCGTACAGAAATCGGTATGAAAAGGAACAGATCCACGTAAGAGGGTTGTCTGTTTTCCCCCCACCAATCGGGCCTTGGATGGTGGGGGAGGGAGTCGTGGGGCGCATGCGCAAGGGGGTCTGGGTCCTTCGACCGAGACTGGCGGCCAGCTCGAGGGCCCAAAGTCTGTTTCCATCGTGAGGGAAGGCCTCGGATCGCGCTCGTCGCCAGCGTATCGTCATTTAGTCCGCGTTTTCCCGCGTCTCTTTCGCCTCGTCGCAACATTTCGCCCCGAAATCGTTCGTTCGAAACGACTTACGCGAGTGAACACGTGCCAGCGGGGATACCAGGGACTCCGGGCAGGCTGTTCAGTACCCTCTAGGATCCGGGAACGATCGTACACGTTTGTGTTTACCAATAGTGTGCAAAGTGTCATGGGGATCTAGGAACGCCAGTGAGGGTGAGTTTTCACGATCGTCCTCGTTGGAAGCTTAGAACGGTGAAGATTTCGGGTGATCCCAGTGTGAGAGGAGAACGCGTGTAAATAAGAATGTGCGAAGACGGTGTCGATCTAACGGGCACGTCGAGATCGAAATGATACGGTTCCTTCATTGGCTCGGAGTAACGTACCAAGTCGCTCTTGCTGTATTTGTAATTAACGTCTCCCTACGGAAGCGAGTCGGTATCTAAGAATTAATTTCATTAAGATTCTCGGTGCGAATGAGAATCGCATCAACAAAGGGGTACGGAATTGTCTTTGGCCAGCGATTCGAATACACGATCCAGTGATAAATTCAGGTTCCCTGTTCTCAGACGGTTGTTCGTCGGTAGCAGACAAAAAAAATGCATAGCGGGATCAGTGTATAACTTAAGGAGACAGTGCATAACTTAAGATTACGCGGTCGGTTATCTCGTCCTCGCTCTAAAAATATCCTCGCGAACATTGAAAAAAAGATCTCGATTTTCATGTTCGGGTCACCGTTCACACGGAAGATTCACTCTCGAGCCTGTCGAGTATCGTTTTCTCGTGGTTTTTCTAGTCTTTGCTCGACGGGGAACGGACAGGAAACGAGCGAACCGAGGAACGTCCATCGCTAATTAGGAGTTAATCTCGTACGAATCCGAGCAAATCGGCGGCGTTCACGCTCGGGGCATGAATGGATTCGAACGTTTGTTCTGAAAAAGATCCGAGGCTCTGCGGCGTGTGGCCTGGGTACGATCGGTTAGGGCATTTGAAATTGTGATTCCAGGCGTGTCCGAGGAGGGAAGGTTAGGACGAACGGACGGACGTTCCTACGTGCGCCTCCGTACGGATTGAATCACGCTAAGCTAATGCAACCAACCGGTGTGTATACACGTATGTGGGCAGACGTATCCGCGGAGGAATCTTAAGTATCCTTAAGCGTCCTGGAGCCTCTCTCGTGGCTGGATCAACCGCCTCGAGAACGCCAGTTACAGGAAACTCTAACGCAAATTATAGGATCTAAACTGAAGTAATTACCGCCCCGGAGAACGTTTTGCTCCGTGTATTCCGTGTTTGGAAATTTACTGGATATTATCCAGTTTTTAACCCTTTGCCGTTCCTCGATACTCAAAACGTTGTCATTCCTGCCCTTTGAACTTGCACGCCTGTTTCGTCGTGGCTTGTAAATAAAACCAAAGTCGTACACGAGAAGATTCTGCAATTTCGCGAGGGAACTTGCCCTATAATATTTCCACGGCGCAACAGTACGTTAATCTATTCGAAGACTGGGCCCTTCTACTTTCACATTCCCGTGTCGAATTTCATCCAAGATACTTTTACGCGAGGAAAATATTTAGATCGAAAAATAACCAAGTTGCCAACGAATGGAAAACACTGTCGAAAATGCATTATTCTCTGGTCGTTATCTATTATTCGAGCAAAATTTCGTCCAAGCTCCGGCTGGTCGGAGACTGGGTCCACAGCCGGCTCGGATCGTTTCCATGTGTTTTGCATATGAGATCGAAAGTGTGTACGTGATGCACGCTTGTGTGTGTTGGGCGTTCGCGTATGGGTAGCCATGAAATGCAGTCGAACCGGCTGTAGATGCATGCACCGTGGCCCGGCTGGGGCCCTGTACACTTTGTGGGTCCAGAAACCACGGGATACGCTGTTCGCCGATTTTTTTCACGATCGTTCTCGTTACGATTGCACGAAACGTAAATAAAAGTTCCGCGGTATACCTCTGTACACGGCAAACGACCACTGGAATTCCATCGAGGCGTTTGCCACGCGTATCTACGGGGAAATGGTCTTTCGTCGAATTCGTTAGAAAGGGGAAATGCCCTGACAAATTGATAGTTTGCTGCGTTCTCTTTTTCTATTTGGAGAAAACGTTGCGTTCTTTAACGGCGGAAGAAACAAATGGGATGCGGTTGAAAGATCGGTTCCTAGAACCGGTATAAATCGATCTACGAGCGTCATTTATTGAATCGGATCTGAAGAATCGGCGAATAAAAGTGGAAATTAGAAAAGGATAGTAATTTCTAGTTAACGATACAACCCATTAGGCAAGGCGAAAACTGGACGCTTTCTTATGCTATCGGCGGGGGGTCCCGGACGTTTTTCTGGACCGATCGTGCGTAATTTTTTTGGAAACGGGCAAAAGTTTAAACTCTATAAGAAGCACACGCGAAAGAGGCGTAATATGTTAGAAAAGTGGCTTGATCTCTGTCGATACGATTCCGTAATATTACGTTCGGCGAAAATACGGCGTTTCCTTTCGAACCGATCATACTATTACGTATGAATATCTAGGGAATTGGAGAGGCCAATCACGCGAGTATCTATTACAGAACTTGGATCGCGGGCTTATCGTAATAAGAAAGTTATTGAATGAACTCTTGGGAGGTTAACGAACAACACGAGTACTTTATTAATAACAGTAGCTGCACCTCGCCTTTGCACCGTAACTGTACATTTGCCCTCGTTTCCGAGATATTTTCTGCAATCTTTTAATCGCCACTGCGGCTGCACTTTGGTGCACCAAACAGTTAATACCTGGCGACACCCTTTCGTCGAAACGAATAACGCGTAATCCTTTCGGTAATTCAGCGGCGATTTCGCAATTGTCGCGCGACCTGTTCGTCGGCTCTAAACCCGATTCCGTCCGGTTTCTCGTAATCTTTTTTCCCCTGGAATAATTTATTCGTTTGGCGCGCGCAATGCCCGAGGAGCCTCTCATTATTCGCCGTTCGAGTCGTTCTTACGTATCGCCGTCGCGGAATTACAACACTCCGGGAACAGGAGAAACAGCCGGGTCATCGAAAAAGAATTCCCCGACGAAGAAAGGCTCGTAAAACTGGCGCGCCGCGAACAAGATCCACGAAGCCCCGGCTCTGATGCTGCGCTGAACAATGGATCCTGACGTCACGAGACTGCACCTGCGACGCGACGCTACTCGACGCCCTGCGCTTGCATGTACAACGACCCACTGTATCGGTCCCTGCCTGCACTCGTTCATTTCAAAACTCCCGGGGAACACCTCGGACCGAGTCGCATTCGATCGTAAAGCTATGTTTGTCAAAGGTGTACCCTTCGGGGTAATAAGAACCGCAGGAAGGAACGGAACAACAAAGGGTGCCCGGACGTAGCCATTAGCCTTCGGTTTTCTCGTAAATTACCTGGCACCATTAATCAGAGACTTTATGGGAAATCTGAAGCAATTAAGTTTCTAGGTGAACGACAATTCGGACAGAAACGCTAGTTTTATGGTGGTTTCCATAAAGGTTTCTTTGTCTCTTGGCTTAACTTTGATGCCCCTAATTGTTCTTCGACGGAAGAGAAACTTGCTTAACGACACGACGATCGAATCTATAAAATTGAACGGTTTGCAACTGCAACCGTTACGTAAAATCGTCGTAAAGCCTGCAACGAATTCGTTGCTTTCTGAGAGGTATTCCATACGCAACGGTTACGTAAGCACGCACGCGTAATAATCGATTGTAAAATACGCCCCTATTAACATCGAAAGTTGAAAATGCGAACATCAAAATGCATCACGTGCTCGTGTTCGTGTTCGCTACATTATCGCTGTCATTACGAGCCGTTGCGACATGAACGTTGACCGTAGAAAGCAGACGCGTCTTATTATCTATAAATATAAACCGCTGGTCGCGACGGAAACCGAGAAAACCGGAAATTCATACGATTCGTTACCAAATCTTCCGCATTCGCGCAAACTACGATAAAACGATGATCATTGGGAATCGTTGCTAAATGAGAGTTTCTGCACGGATCTTGTTCTTCTCGCGGCATTCCGGGCCCAGGGTTTTTCGGGCACGAGGATCGGGTAGACTTTCACCATTTAAGTTTCGTCTGGCTCTTACACCCGAGTCATCGTTCGGCCAGTTCTCCGGACCGGATCGAGAAGGAGGCCTTGCTAAATACCTTATTACTTTTGAATTAACATATCGGTACCAAGGTAACAGGACTTCTCCTCGCACGGTCGCAGATTCCTCGTACGAGTGGGATACATTTAGGTCACGACAGGGCCTCCCAACTTCCTTCGCGAACGTTTACTTTCTTGTACGAGGTGTTTTATAGCGCGAAATATATACAGCTTCCTTGTTTAGTACAGAGTCGTTTCCAATTAATAATGCGTTTCGCTGGAAACTTTTAATTCGATACTCTTTAGGTATGAATTTGGTCCCAGTCTCCGCGAGCAATTATGTAGCACGCAAGGTATCCGCTGAAAACTCGGTATCGAAGTTCGAAAGCCACCGACTGCGTTGATAGAAACTCAAATGAAAGCTGCTAAGTGAGTAATCAGACAAGAGGAGGATTTCTTCTGTCCATCCACGGAACGCGACAGGTTTTTCTCCCGCTCGGAAATACCCAGTCACGAGGATATATCGTGATCCGACCCTATACGCCCGTAGTGTTCCAAGGGAAACACTCGTTTAATCCCATCGATTCGTTAACAACATCGGTTAATAAAATAAATTCACCACTGTTCTCGAATCGGTAGAAGAACAGATATTTTGCGTTGGTTAGCTGATTATAGTTGCACCTCTTCCTGCCTGGGTTCTCTCTTCTATACTTTTCGTGTCCCAGTTTCCGTGAAAACGGAATCGGCATTCGTTCGAGCGACCGGTTCGCGCGATAATCGCGATTTAATGTACCGGTGCAGGGAAGAATAGAGGAAAGCGTCCTTGACGTTACCGTTAGGATAAAAAGGTTGATTAAGTTGGTTTTACACTTTGCTAGGCTCGCGAACGATAAAAAGAGAGGGGAAACGCGACTGCTAATGGCATTGTTAACGGCTTCCGGTTGAGAAAGAATGTTACTTGCGTTCGAATCTCGTTTTCTCGACTCGAAGCGAATATTAATCGACGAGAGTCGAAGATACGAGAGCTGTTTGGGAATTTTCCGCCGGAAAAGAAAGTATCGATAGGGACACCTATCGCGAGTAGCTACTACAGTCTTCTTAGAGATTT